TGGATAAGTTGGCGGTTCATTCCGCTGTGGCGACCCTGGATTAAAAAAGGGACTAAGCCGACAAGAAAATGAATGAATGAATGAACAGGTTGCAGTTTCAGGGAAAGCAGTGGCTGTGCTCACAGTAGCAGTAAACTTTACTTTAAAGATTATGTTCTCATTTTTATTTGCAGTATTCAGAGTGAACAGTGATATTTCACTACATTGAGCTGTAGCTGTGGGTTAACTGTACTTATGTGTATGCTTCATGCTAAAAGAACTAATTTAATTAAATCAACTGAAATCCAGTGACAATTGTAAGTATTGGTGTGTTTGAATGTTGATTATTTAAGTGAAATTGTTTCCAGGCTTTGTCGACGTGATGATGCAACAATTTCTGTTTCCACTGCTCATCTGTATAAAAATGCCTGTAAATGTAAATGTAAAACATTTAACCTGTTTTATAGTGACGGAGAAAACATTTGCTTTCCCTGAACCGGTGGCCTTGTTATGCTCTCAATTTGGTGCTCATCAGCTGACAGCCCCCTTCAGTCATGTTTAATGTATGAAGTCGTATTATTTTACATAGTGCTGACAATATTATTACTGCAAAGAAGAAAAAAAACTGTTGGGTTATAAATAGGTAATGTTTGACCCTGAGGCTATTTCCAAGGCACATTTAGTCTACCTGATTTCAAACACTTCACATCAGTCCAGAAGGCATTATGATGAAATGCTATGATAAATAACCCTGCCTTGATTAAAGCGATAGTTCGCCCCCAAAAAAGATTTGTTTAAAGTTTACTCACCCTCATGTCATCCAAGATGTTGGTGAAATTAGTCTTCAGTACAAAATTCTCATGAATAATTTTAGTTGAATGTGTGGTTCTTAGGGATTCGCAGAATGCTACATCAGTGGCTACTGGCACTTTGGGAGTAAAAAAATTAAATACTTGTGACTGCTGCATTGATACATTGAGGTCTTATCAAGCAAACTGACCTGACCTTGTTTGTTTAAGAAATTATCTTATTACCTTATATATATATATATATATATATATATATATATATATATATATATATATATATATAACCAGTTCTGTCTGGTTCTTGAATCTGATTGGCTGATAGCTGTGCAAATATTCTGCAAATAACAGCACTTGTCCAACCTTTTACCCTTCACCCTTGTGTATTACACCGCCCACATACAGCGACAAGCAGAAGACACTCTACAGTTTGGCAAATATTGCAAATATTGTTTAGATTGCAGCAAGGATAGTGCCTATTTTCAATTATTTATCATTTCTGAGAGACAGTGTGTTGGCAACCATTAGCCTGTCGTATCAAGCAGAGCAAAGACAGTTGACGTTTTCATCCACAAGATAGCGACAGAGACATCATAATAAGTTCTTAGAGGAGAAAAACAGCGTAATTTCTAACTACAGCCGATCCAATCAGGTAAATTACATTCTAAGTTGACCTCTCTCTTTTGATGTTGTAGTGCTGTATTTATACCATAGTAATTGTAGTGTACTGTGTGTGAGATGGACTCAGATATCAGGATTGTGTGTATTTTGTGTTGGCCACTCCTTGTAAAACCCTGGGTTACTTTTTGGTTGGCCATTTGTTTATTTCTAATGCGTCTCCTGTTTTCGTTATTGCAGACTAGTTCAGTTAAAAGAAAGAAAGAGGAAATGGTTGCATATGTTTAGCGTTTTTTCTTATCGCAAACACAACAGTAATCTAGTAGTGTTAGCGTTGCTTTGGCTTTTTCAGGGATAATTATTGTGATCTCTCAATTACAACAGAGAAAAACTGAGAAATCTCTGTAGACTGATGGCATTTCATGGTGTTCAGCCTTATAATCCTAAAATGTCAGCAAAATTGCTTGTTTTGTCATCACTTTAGACATTACACTAGAGAATCATTCAAAGACTAGCTCTAAAATGATGTTGGTGAATTAGTAACGGTTTCTGCTGTTCTGACGTCAGCTGCAGATGTGAATGAATGGCGGAAGAAAGTAGTTCCTCATTCAAAAGGGGTTTTAGACTCTCCATATTTGATTATCTTTTTTTATATACACTATTATGCCATTGAACTGTTGTATAAACGCAATATCACATGAGTAGCGGTATGATGTGGCTGTATATAGTCTACAGCCACATTAGGGCTTCGCAATATATCGTTTTAGCATCATTATTGCTACTACAATCTCAGTACATGCAATGTGGAGTCAGGTTTCAGTCCAGAACACATGAGAATTTTAGATTCATTTCAGTTTAACCATAGTGTAAGTTTATCAATTGCTTGTGTTTTTAAGGCCTGCGTAAACCTTTTAAGCGAGACATTTGGACACAAGGAATTATTACGTGTGTAGCTTTAACAAAGATGAATTATATTTAATTATTTAAACAATGAGAACTATACTTGTTTATTGTACATGCGGTTAGTTTATTTTTGTATCTGTATACTGTTAGACTCCATTATTTGCATATTTACTCTATTTCTGATTGTAGTTTGTTTATTATATTTTATACGGATGCACTCCCCTACAAAATCATCCTAGTCAATCTAAAATTGAGTTAACTAAGTTATCTTGTGAAATATCACAATGTAAATTGCAGAAAATCTAAATATTGCAACTTAAGCTTTTTCAATATTATGCCATTGATAGTTGTATACATTCTGCTGATGAAAATACATCTTTAAAGCCTTGAGGGTGAGTAAATTTAAAGCAAATTTTAATTTTAATCTGCGAATCTTAATGACCTGAAGGGCTTTCAGTCATCTACAGAAAATCAGTCAAGATTCCACATATCTAAGCCATATATTGAATTGATAGGTTATGTAACATTATACAGTTGGTCAGAATTATTAGCCCCCCTTTGATTTTTTTTCTTCTTTTTTAATTATTTTCCAAATTATGTTTAACAGAGCAAGGAAACTTTCACAGTATCTCTGATAATATTTTATTTTATTTTATTTTATAGAAAGTCTTATTTGTTTTATTTAGGCTAAAATAAAAGCAGTTTTTAATTTTTTAAAAACCATTTTGAGGTCAAATTTATTAGTCCCATTAAGCTATTTTTTTTAATTGACTACAGAACAAACCATCATTATACAATGACTTCCCTAATTACCTTTACCTGCCTAGTTAACCTAGTTAAATTCAGGGGATAAACAGGGAGCTAATAATACAGGGGGACTAATAATTCTGACTTCAACTGTATATTATAGCAGTGCTGCTTCTTAATCTGTGATAGACTGTGAAAGTTTTAACGTGACTTATGTAGCTTTCATTCTCTTTGTCTGGAGATTTCACATAGATTGGCTCTTATATATATGGCTTGATTTTTTTCAGCCTGCTGTGGTGTTGTGTTAGTGTTGTGTTTATGCTCTCTAATAAGTATGCATTCTAAAGAGGTAATAACAATAATGTTTGCATGCGTTTCTCACAGGTCTCATCAGCCTTGATACAATAGTCAGATCTGTGTGGTTGTTTGTAACATGAAAACATGCAAAGTATAACTGTAAATAATGGCCAAAAGACAATGTGTCTGGTTGATGATTTGTGACATATTTGACTGTGTAAACAAACAAATGCAAACCCCTGTGTGTATTTGTGTGCCAATTTGAATGTGTAAAAACTCCTGCAGGATTCAGGTCAGGCAAACTTCTCGATCTGACGTTTTTATTTACCACCCATTAAAGTCCTGATCTCATTTCTGATTTTGAACGGCTTTCAGAGCAGTAATCCTATTAAATTATGGATTTTTAACCAGATTATACCAGATTAGAGATTATGTCATACTTGTGATCTAAACCCTGCAGCACATCTCTGCTTTGAAATTATTACACACATCATTTAAATGCGATAAAATCCTGTTTGGTTACATTTTGTAAAACCAAAAGTGAGATTTATTTAAAAAACAGTAATGATAATTTTAAATAGCAATGGAGCTGTTTGGTTTGCTTGTCAAACCTACAACCCTCTGTTAATGCATTGATGAAATGAACAGTTGGATGTGCCAAAACTTTCTACAGTTAAACAAAGAGAAAACTGTGAGTCATTACGTTTGGGAACAGAGATGAGGTTTTCAAGGTGAATGCGTACCTTGGCTCTAAGGGTCAAACAACAAAAAATAAGGTCAAGAATCTTGGTGTTACTCTGGAGTCAGATCTGAGTTTCAGTAGTCATGTCAAGGCCGTGACTAAATCGGCATCCAATCATCTCAAAAACATTGCAAGAATCAGATGCTTTGTTTCCAGTGAGGAGAAACTTGTTCATGCTTTTATGACCAATAGGCTGGATTACTGTAATGGACTCCTCACTGGTCTTCCCAAAATGAGTCACACAGTTGCAGCTTATCCAAAACGCTGCTGCCAGAATTTTGACCAGAACCAGAAGATCAGAGCACATCACACCTGTCCTCAGGTCTTTACACTGGCTCCCAGTTACATTCAGAATAGATTTACTTGTCTATAAATCACTAAATGGCCTAGCACCTCAATACATTACAGATATGCTCACTCAATACCAACCTAACAGATCACTCAGATCTTTAGGATCAAGTAAATTACAAGTACCAAGAGTTCAGCCAAAGCAGGGTGAATCCGCCTTCAGCTACTACAGTACTGCTGCTGGAATCAGCTTCCAGAAATGATCAGATGTGCTACAGCATTAGGCACATTCAAATCAAAACTGAAAACACATCTGTTTAGCTGTGCCTTTACTGAATGAGCACTGTGCTACATCTGACAGATCGCACTGTAATGTCTTTCTTTTCTTTTTCATTCTTTTATAACCTGTTTTAACACATTTAATCTGTTATTAATCATTTTTATTATTTAATTTTTATTTTCTTATACTTTTATTCTTGTTTATGTAAAGCACTTTAAATTACCATTGTGTATGAAATGTGCCATACAAATAAACTTGCCTTGCCTTACAACGCTCTGTGGTTTTCAGCTGGGTTCGACAGGAGTGCACTGTAGTGTCTGTTGCTATTCATATGTCCTTTTTAAACCCACAGGTGTCTGAGGAGGTGAGAGAGGTCAGAGGGTAAAGGCTAAAGGTCATTTCAAGATGAGTGAGCTCGAGCAGCTTCGTCAGGAGGCTGAGCAACTGCGCAATCAGATCAGAGTGAGTGCCAGAGCTCATAATGCTCAAATACATTGATCTTCATTACTCATTGTGCTGAGATCTTCATCACCATGGGGTGCATTTCCCAAAAGATCAAGATTTGTTGTTAAAAATACAGTTTGGCAATTTTGTGTGTCCTGAATGTTTTAACAATCATTTGCAAACAGTTTTGCAATCTTGTGTGGTTGAAACAACACTCTTAGACATAAAGGTACGAGAGCTTTCACTGGAGTGGTACCTTTTCAGAAGGCACACATTCATAAAGAGTCCATATTGGTACCTAAGAAGCATATATCTGTACCTAAAAGTTTTAAAAGGGAGACTTTTGTACTTTTTAGGTACTAATATGTACTCTTGAGGTATTAATAGGGACCCTTTAGGTACAAATGTGTAGCTTTTGAAAAGGTACCACCGTCGTGACAGCTCTCGTACCTTTATTTCTGAGAGTGTACAATACTAGACCTGTAGTTAGAAGCATAGTTCCTGGCTGTGTTCTATTTTGAGTTATCTCCCCTATGCCCTATTACTTTCAAACACTTCACTATTATCATGGCAAATTCAAATAAAGACTTTCAAATAAAGTCTTACAAGGTTTACTTCCAAAAAGATTTTATTCTTTGCAAAGAACAGGTCTGACAGTCATACAGGAACACCCGTTGCTGCAGAGTGTGACACACATGCTAGCCAGATACCAGGTTTTATCTTCTTTCCCCTGCTTCAAGGCCCACTTCGTCACAGTTGACTCCCAGTTCTCTTTAGAGCATTAGATTTTAGAGCCAAGATTTACATCTATTAAATGCATATGTTTAAAAGCAGATGACCACCGTCTGAATGACCCTTCTTGTAAAATTTGTTCTTGTGATATCATCTTTATAAAGGTATGAGTTTTTTTTAAATATATGATGCTTATGGTGAGAAAGAAGTTTTAAAGAAATTAATGCTTTTGTAATAATTCAAATAAATTTTCCACCAAACTTTCCACAGATATGAAAGATTAAAGTTGTCTTGCTTACATTGATTTAATTTGCTCTCAAAGTTTTTTTGCTGTTTAGTTTATTGACCTTCCGATTGACAGTCGTGGGCCCTTCTTAATTCACGGCGAAAACATTTATTTTGCAAATTTTAACATAGCTGTGGTTCGTTAAGAAATGTAGCTTTTTTTTTTCTTTAAATTTACATTACAGGTGAAGTACTTACAGTTGAATTTTTTTCTTTTTGAAATATTTCCCAAATGATGTGTAACACAGCAAGGAAAAATTTACAGTATGTCTGATAATACTTTTTTCTTCTGGAGAAAGTCTTATTTGTTTTATTTTGGCTAGAATAGAACAGGTTTTACATTTTTTATGAACCATTTTAAGGTCATAAATTATTTGCCCCTTTAAGCACATTTTTTTCAACTGACTTCAGAACAAACCTTCGTTATACAATAACTTGCCTATTTACCCTAACCTGCCTAGTTAACCTAATTAACCTAGTTAAGCCTTTAAATGTATAAAGTTTAAGCTGTATAGAAGTGTATTGAAAAAATATGTAGTCAAATATTATTTACTGTCATTATTGCAAAGATAAAATAAATCAGTTATTAGAAATGAGTTATTAAAACTATTATGTTTAGAAATGTGTTAAAAAAATAATCTCTCTGTTAAGTGAAGTTTATTTATAAACTAATTTTGGGAGGATCACGTGCTTATGGCTGCTTATGGCTGGTCTCACATTATCCAATTTATGATTCACCAATCAGATGATTCTTCAGCCATTATAAATACCCTAAGTTTCATATCACAGCCATATTTGTTTTGAGGAATCCCCCCTTCCACCCCTACTCCTCCTCCTTTCCTAGATGAGTGACACGGTGGCCCAGTGGTTAGCACTGTTGCCTCACAGCAAGAAATGGTTCTAGTCCTTACCAAGCCAGCTGACGTTTCTGTGCTGAGTTTACACACTCTCCCCTGCTCACAAGGATTTCCCCCGGGTTCCCCGGTTTCCTCTCACTGTCTAAAAACATGCAACTTAAATTAGATGGCTAATCCAAATTGGCACCATAGACATGCTCCTAGTAAGTAGTTATCTCTTAAGAGCAATCGCTATCTGTTCATTAGCCACTACAGCAGGGCAGTTCTCGAGATCTACCTGAGCTCAAACTCCCCTCTCGCCTTGCAAACAGGAGGGAGCCCTGGGCTCGAGGATCTTATGAGCTTAGGGCTCTCTCCTGTGACATCATGCCCAACAAGCTTTATAATCAATCATCAGCTATGTGTGAACTCTTGAAACAGAATCTGGGGGGAAAAATAAACAGGGGGGCTAATAATTCTGACTTCAACTGTATACACATACACATGGTTTCAATTTATATTTAAAATGGTAGGCCTTGAATTGTTAACCCCCGTTTTTTCCCCTAATTTCTGCTTAACGGAGAGAACACATTTCTAAACATAAAAGTTTTACTAGCTTATTTCTAATAACTGATTTATTTTATCTTTGCCATGATGACAGTAAATAATATTTGACTAGATATTTTTCAAGACACTTCTAAACAGCTTAAAGTGAAATTTAAAGGTTATAATTCTGACTTCAACTGTATATACAATTCTGCAGTGTTTTGAGTACACTGGTAAGAATAGAAGTAATGACTGTAATTAGTAAAAATGAGTAACTATCATTAAAAAACACTACACTTACTAAATAGTAAAAAAAAAATTACACTGTTGTAAAATAGAATTTCTGGAATGTCTAGTTAGCAAATAAACACATTTTGTTTTACATGTCATTGTATGGCCATATATCTGATTTGTATATGAGACAGAAAATATATGTTATATATGTAATATTTTAGTAATATTTTAGTAATATTTTTAAAAGAAAGCAAATGTCCTCTTTTAATAAAGTATGGTAGGGAAAAGGTTGACCAAGGCGAGCAAACAAACTAAGTGTTCATTACTTAAACAAACCTAAGCTAATGCATATTTACTCAAACTCTTACATATCCACACCACTATAGAAATTTTGCATTGTAAATAACATGGTTGAGACTATGGAACTCTGACAGAGTTCGGGAAAGTCTTGTCAATACAATGTTTATTCCCTGAATGATGCATTGTACTATGGTAGTTCAGCGACTTATTACTGTACGTCAGTGTTTGGGAAATGCACCCGTGTCAATATCTATCGCCATATTATCATTTACAATATCCCTTTCATCATGTCATGCAGTAATATCCTTAATGTATCATATCACAGCTAAATACACTTGTATGAAGGTCAACTTATTTTTTCGGACTGCTTTAGCTCAATCTATTATTAGGGAACTGCAGCAACTGCACATTCCCTAAAGGACTGTTCACTATAAGAATGATAACCCAGTATAACAATAATGATATTGTTCTGAATTAAAAGAATAGCAGAGTCCTCATTCCAGCTATAATGATAATGGCACAGAGAGGAGTGATATCACTGAAATCTCTTTAAAAATGATCTTTTCCCCACTGATCAGTGATAAACACATTTACAAAGAATCAGATCTTGCTTTAAAGGAGCGCTCCATTTTATTTTGAAGTAGCCTCATTTTACAACTTCCCTAACAGTTGAGTTTTACCATTTTTTAATCTATTCATCCAATCTCCGGGTCTGATGTGAGCACTTTTAGCTTAGCTTAGCATAAATAATTAAATTGGATTAGACCATTAGCATCTAAAAAATTTCAAAACAGAGTTTTGATAATTTTCCTATTTAAAGCACAGGGGAAAAACATGAAAAGTTGCTATTTTCTAGGTTGATATGTCTTTATAAGGAACTTTGGTGCTGTACCATAGATGCAGCAGGCGCAGTGAAATTGTAACCTAGCTTGGGACTTTTTTCAGGCGTTGCGTACCATCATTGTACCTGCTGAAGCCATGGTATGGCACCAAAGTTCTTAATCAAAGCCATAAGCTTATTCAGGATTGTGGTTTTAGAGATGTTTGGGCCCTGTAAACCAGGGGTACTCAAACTTTTCAGCCCGCAACCCCTAAAATAACAACTCCACGGGCTTGCGACCCCTATTATGCTCAGAGGTGGTTATAAGCATACAAATATTGCACACAATGGTGCACACACACTAATAGAAACGATATAAACATAAGCATATTGACAACACAAAAACACAGTCCTACAACGATATCTTTTTTACAATCATTATTGATTTGTTTAATTTAATATTAACCTCACTTAATAAGAATGGTGAGCATCATATTTATATGAAAAGACTATTCTTGCTTTAATTTTGGAGAGTTGGAGATCATCCTCCTTGTTCTGTCGTGGCCTTAATTTTTAATGTATGTGAGTGCCAGAAAGGTGTCAAAGTTTAATATTGTACCGTAAAATCAATCTACTGCTCTAACGCTATTGCTGTGATGTGAATCTAGCATAATAACCCCAGGGGTCACAAATAAAATATAATAATTGCTAAAATATGATAATAATAATAGTTTAATAAAATATATGAGATTTTTTTTTAAATCACCAAGCGACCCCCTCCCCTCATTGTCCCACGACCCCTACTTTGAGAACCACTGCTGTAAACAAATTTTTTAAAATGCCATATTGGCTTCCATTAGTACTGGGATATTTTGCCTACTTTAGAAACAGGCCTTACCTCCACGTTCAAATAGTGACAGTACAGTGATTTGGTTAACCTTGTCTTCTGTCCCTCAGGATGCCAGGAAAGCATGCGGAGACTCCACACTTACACAGGTGAGATGAAATTAGATGTATGTGTAATCCTCCAGAGGTCTGTGGCATTGCACTCATGTAGTGTTTGTGCGTGTGGTAGATAACAGCAGGTCTGGACCCAGTGGGGAGGATACAGATGAGGACGAGGCGCACACTGCGGGGCCATTTGGCGAAAATCTACGCCATGCACTGGGGCACAGACTCCAGGTACGTCTGTCCGCTGTCTTCTCATATCTCCTGCATCGGTTCACAAACACACCTGGCATCAAAGACAAGCAAAAATGTAAAAGTAGCAGAAGAGTATGATTCAGTGGCTCGTGACTTGGGTTTTTGTTTTGCACATGTTGTTGGCACAGTATGCAATGCAATGAACAGGACACACTGACCTGCAAACTATCTTTGTTAGTTAATCATCTTAGCCCACACTACAGTCATAATTGAAATGACTTTCTTTAAAGACTTTGTTTTTGTGTCTGTGTGGACTTGGGAATAGTGCATGTACAGTTGATTTTCATGATTGACATGAAAATGTGAATGTTAAAGATGTATACTGTAGAAATAATAATAATAATGAATAATAGTAATTAAAATAAATACTCACCCGAGTCAGGTCATCCAAGATGGAGAACATCAGACATGAGCAGCGTCCTAAATGGCATACTATACTCTATGTACTTAAGCACTTACACACTCAACAGCATATCATATGAATGTAGTGTGTTCCCAAAGGGAACACTAATGGTTTTTTAAAACTAAACAGATATTCAAACGTTGCCAAATTAGTGAAATAAATGACCAAACTACCTAAGAATACTTGCCATGTGTAGAACCACAATCACCATCAGGACTCGGGAGGTGCTATAAGCACTTTCATAGGAAAATTTTGCTTTCACAATCTAAAATAAATAAAGTAATCCAACATCAGTGCCCGATGCTGTGTCCCTTCCGCTACGTAAGCAAAGCTGCAGCTGAGTGCTTGAAGTGTCCAACATTCCACACTCCTGTTTACCGGTTGGATAAGGGCATCATCAGTGTAATTACAAACTATTTACACTGTTTATACAACAAAATGGTGTAGAATAGTGCAGGGATTCTCAACCGGTGGGCCGCAGCCTATTAGTGGGCCTCAGTGATCCTGCAGGTGGGCCGTGAGATAATTAGAATTTACCTAAATATTATACTTTAATTATTTAATTTCATTATTAAACAGGTCATATAAAAATGATAGTAGTAATGCCATTTCCCGTTTTCTGTGATTGAACATAATTCAAACTCAGTCACACAATGGTAAAGGTAACAAAGATGACAGTTATTAAACCCAGCTCGCGCGTGCCTCATGTCTGCGACTCATACTGTTTCAGAATTGCACCAGTCCGTTAATTCACAAACTATGCATGCTCTGTCTTTGTGAACAATTCAAAATATCTGCATAGTTGTCCAAGTTAACATCTTGGGGGTGTTTTATAACTGACGCGCCACCGTACAGGAGCGGTAACTCGGTGGTGCTTCAGTAGTGAACAGCTGTTCACTGTTCAACATCCAGCTACAAACCAAACCACCTTCAGATCAATGTTTCAACAGATTGAATTTTTTTAAATGTATTTTACATGTAGGGTTATGGTTAGGTTGTTTATTTTAATGGCTATAGATCAATAGATGAATAGAAATTAGTCTGATTCAAAGCAGCAGCAGCGTTTTTGCCATCTCATGTAGTCCTGTCAGGTTCCTTTACTGAAGAAAAGGCCCAAATACTCTGCAGTTGTAAAGAATAACTGAATTAAAAATTCAGGAGCTTTGAACCGGTCTGAGCATTTAAAAAAATATTAAAATCTATATTATTATATTTTATATTATATTTAAAAAAGAAATAGTATATATATATATATACATACATATACATACACATACATACACACACACACACACACACACACACACACACACACACACACACACACACACACACACACACACACACACACACACACACACACACACACACACACACACACACACACACACACACATACATACATACATACATACATACATACATACATACATACATACAGTAAACACACACACATACAAATGGACAATGTTTTTTTTTTTTTTATAAAATAAGGGAATGATAAAAGGCAAAAGAAATGTTTTGCTAATAAATAAAGCTTTAAAATAAAGACAGTCAGTTTAGGCCTTGCAAAAATTTTCGGAGAAAAAAGTGGGCCTCAATGTGAAAAAGGTTGAGAGCCCCTGGAATAGTGCAGAAGTATGGGATTTGGGACGCACTTAGAGTCTTAGAACATTTAAGAATATCTTCAGCTGAAACTCTGGTTCTTGGTGATTCATAAATCAGAAGTGAACAGTTACTGACATTCTGAAGAAACTAAAGATGGTGTACAAACAAAACAAAATGATTCCCCTTAATTCCTTATGATAATTTAGAAATCTCAGGAAGCCAAATGTTTGAATTGTCTGAGTTCTCCTGTCGCATAATGACAAAAATGAAGACAAGAAGTGTATTACAATCTCATTATGGAAGTATGAAAGGATAACTTTATGTTTTTGTTACATTTGTCATTAAAACATTAACCTAAAATGGATAGTTCACATAAAAATGAACGTTTACTCAATGATTGCTCGCCCTCAAGTGGTTTTAAACATTTATTAGCTTCCTTTTTCTGGAAAGAATATATTTTGAAGAATGTTCCTACATGTTAAAATGTAATCAAATCAAATACTGTGGAAGTCAGTGGCTACTTGTTTTCATTGTGTGTCCAACAGAAGTAATAAACTCAAACAGGTTTGTGACAAGGATGAGTACATTATTTCAGTTTTGGGTCAACTATACCTTTACAAAATGTATTACACATACAAATGCACATCTAATATGACCTATTACAATAAACAGTACAAAACTGTTTTAATATTCATTCATTCATTTTCTTTTTGGCATAGTCCATTTATTAATCTGGGGTCGCCACAGCAGAATTAACCGCCAACTCATTCAGTTTTACACAGGGGATGCCCTTCCAGCTGCAACCCATCACTGGGAAACACCCATACACTCTTGCATTCACACACTATGGACAATTTAGCTTATTCAATTCACCTTCTTGCTGTAAGGCGACAGCGCTTCCCACTGCACCAACTATTTTAATAGAATACAAATAGTCCTTTATGAATGAAAATTAGAATATACATTTATATAAACACAGCAGTCTCTGGTATTTGATGATCACACTAAACTGGATCATATCCTCAGCAACTGTTAGTGTAGAATAAAAATGAAATACTAAACAACTGGTTTCATATATCTGTCAAGACTTGACAAGTTAATCAACTTTATGGCCTGCCACCGACCATTTTGCCTGTTGTATTTTGTTTATAATCTATCCATAACAATACATGTCTGTTTTCTTCTCCTCTCCTCAGGCTTCTTGTTAGTGCCTCACAGGATGGAAAACTCATCATCTGGGACAGTTATACTACAAACAAGGTCAGTAGCTGCATCGTTGTGTTACACGTAATCAGCGTTGGGTACAGAAAAAGTAATTTATTACTTTTATTTATTACTAATTATATCTTTACATTTTTATTTACATTACTTTAGAATTACTTTGTCTGAAAAGTAACTTAATTACTCAATAAATAACAGAATTACTTTAAATTGACTCAATAATTAAATTGATTTGGCTCAATACTACTTAAAATTTAAATTTTTTTTTTTTTTTTTTAAGTTTCAAAAGCATACAAAATACAAATTAAACTATTAATTTAAATTTTTATTTATTTGACAGCCTTTTTAGAAAAACATAACACTTTAGAAATGTTAAACATATGTATCAAAACACAACTTATTTCAAAGTAATAATGACACCTGATTTCATATATCGATATGTAATTTCCATTATCGGCCGATATGTGGAATTTAAAAATCAGCGTAAATCTTTCCATGTGTAGAGGTTTTCCATATTTTGCATTTATACTTCTGTGTCTTTAAGGAAAGCCAGTCAGATGTGAATCCAGCACTTGACAGACATTAAAATAACCAATCCTCAATTTCCAGCATGACCCTATGTTGTGTTACAATAACATTCTTATTCATATTTCTGCGAGACATCAGAGCTAAATTTAGCATCCATCATGTGGGGTAATATTCAGTGTAATATACCATTTCATACACAGTATGTTCCTTGTTTTATTTAATACTACTAATATGCTGATACACCTTTAGTCTTGTATTTTTTTATTTAAATGAAACAAGACAAGACAAAAAACAAAACAGACGCATAAATGTTTATGATAAGTTATATTATTAGAATTATTGGAACAACCAGTTAAAAAAAGCTATTTAAACTATATTTTTACATAAAATACATGAAAATACACATTCTGTTTGTAATATTGTTGAATAATAATTTGTTCAGTAATTATGAATCTTTCACCTTCATTAATCAGCAATTCTTTGAGTTTTAACTTAAATGCATTTAATTGATGTTTTGATAATTTATGCATAATGAATGTTCAAATAAATTAGTAGAATTTTTTTGCATGTATTATACATGTACTGACTTCAACTGTATGTATATTTGACTGTACATGTATTATGTACACGTCGTTCAGTTTGCAAATTGATCTCTCAATATCAGCATCAGCATCATTAAAAATACCCTGTTGGTCCACCATTGCCGTTAACCATTGACTTCCATAATATTTGTTTTTCCTACTATGAAAGTAAGCAGTTACCGGTTTTCAGCGTTTTCAAAATATCTTAGGGTGCTTTCACACCTAGACTTTTGTCTCGTTTGCTCAGTTGGCGCGGTTTGTTTGGCAAATGTGAATCCAGCAATCGCACTCAGATCCGCGCCAAATCAATCGTCCGAGATCGCCTGATTGACGTGGTCTCCGCTCGATTGACACAAACTCAGGAGTGGATCTATTGTAGTGAGAAAGCGATACGATCCGAGCCCGGCTATATTACAGTGTATCATGGATATGCCATATGCATATGAAGAGAGAATTATGAGTAGGGCAGGAGGTCATTCCTACCGATAAATGTGTGTTTCATGTAAAAGCCAATAATGCATAAGCCAACTCCTATGTATGAGAAAGTCTTACATCAGATTTATACTTGTTGACGATGTCTGTAGGTGTCTCCATCCAAAATTAAAGCTCAGCTTTTCGCTTATGATGTCTTTACTGCTCATCATCATAAATTAAAATAAGGACGCATGACAGATTAGCAGGACTCTGCAAAATAAACCCTGAATCTCTGACCAATGTGAGGAGAGTTTACTTGCAAATGACTTGTTTTATCTCCGTTAAGAAACTTTGTTGTGTAAAAGCGAACCGCATCAAGAACAAAGTGCAACAATGTCAAAATTTTAATGCCTGTTTCACAATGAATGAATCGATTCACAGGTGTGAAAGCGCCCTTATTTAGTGTTCAACAACAAAAAAATAAACCACTTGAGGAAGAGAAATGTGTAAATAAATTCATTTTGTTGCTGAACCTTTCTTTTAAAATGCATTGTAAGATCACAATAAAACCATCAGGTCAAATCCGATTATAATTCCTAACACAGCCAGATATTCAGTTATATATGAATATACAGTATTCCTGTTTAAAAAAATCCTGTTTTAAATTTGTGCATGTGCAATAATCCAAACTTCAGATTCATGCCATCCCGCTGCGGTCCTCATGGGTGATGACATGTGCATATGCGCCATCCGGGAACTTTGTGGCCTGTGGTGGACTGGACAACATTTGCTCCATATACAGCCTGAAGACGAGAGAGGGCAATGTGAGAGTGAGCCGAGAGCTGCCTGGACACACAGGTTTGACAACACACACACACACACACAACTACAAAATAAACAGTGAATCCAGGTCATTAGACATTAATCGATAATATGAACTAAAATGCTTGTCTTCAAATATGACAGTTTTGTCTAATAGATCAGTTTTTAAATATTTATATTCCAAATAACGCTGGCAGCAGTGTTGGGTAAGTTACCAGTTACACGGTCTTTCAACTCGTTTTATGCTTCTACAACTAAATGAATGCTGAAGTCTATTAAACCAAAGACTATAGAATACTCAAGACATGTCATTCATATCATTTTTTTATTTTTATAATTATCTTTTTCGGGGTTTTCACCTTTATTGGGAGCAGAGAGAGGGGAAGGATCGGCATTGGACTGCAAGGTGAAATCAAACTCTGGTCACCGTGGGCAGCGGAGTGCATGTGTCAACACACTAACCACTGGCTCCGACCACTCATATCATTTTAAATGAGGAAAAGTATAATGGTCCATATGGCAAATAAAGCCCCGCCTACTTGTGCAAGAGTTAATCATTGATCGCTATAGACTGATGACACTCTGGGGGAGGGGCTCAGACCAGATGCAAGTTTCTACAAATTTTGTGTGATTCAGACGTTCAAAAATGAAACTAAAGTGACGGTTGTCGTTTAATTTAATTGATGTTTTCAAATATGAAAGTTAATCATGAGCTTGGCAAGCAGTTTTGGAGAATTTGATGTTTCCCCTTTCAAACAAAATGCCCTAACATAAAGCCCACGAGGCATTTCAGAGATGGCCTCTGAGTGAAATGATTTGTCTTAAAGGGACTTTGATTAAACTGAATGCAATTAAATGACATTGCAACATTGATGCTACAAAAGGAACCTTATGAAATTGAAAATAGTCATGTTAATCATTTACCAGAAGTTCATCATTGGCTGATAAACACTAGCGCACTTATTAAAAGTAACCGCTTATTTTACTTTTTCAGTCGATAAGTCATTTCTACACAGTGACTCAATATTTGACACTGGTTGGTAGTGGTCTAATGGACCGCTTATGAGTGTTAAGATGTTTCTTTACCTTCATGCAGTTTAAGTGTGTGACTTCCTGTCTGTTCATTTCCTAGGTTACCTTTCCTGTTGCCGTTTCATAGATGACAATCAGATTATCACCAGTTCAGGAGACACAACCTGGTGTGTTCAGTAATATGAAACTTCACTGTCAATTACTACATATAGTACACTATATTACTGTGGTTCTTAACTGGTTTTGCTTCAGGGCTCAGACCTGTGGCATCGAAACCTGGTGCTAAAATAATCCATTGTGTGTGTGACAATGTATGTGTGTGCAGTATGTGTTGTGCATATATATATACATACACACACACACACACACACACACACACACACACACACACACACACACATACATACATACATACATACATACATACGTGTGTGTGTGTGTGTGTGTGTGTGTGTGTGTGTGTGTGTATATATATATATATATATATATAAACATTTTCTCATATGCATGCGTGTATTTATATATATACATAATAAATACACACACTACACTCACTCAAATTATGAAATTATGCATTTAATAAAAACAAAAAAAAAGAGTTTATTTTGGATGAGATTAATTGCGATTACTTTTTGCCTAGCACTAATACATTTTAATCAAACACATAACTATAAATTGTAAATCTTGAGAAACTGTCATTTCAAGTGGTCTCTTCATTTTTACTACAGCTGTATATATAAATAATTTTTATTAACATTAATCTGCATTTGAAAGTACTCTTACTATTTTAACAACCAATAAAAAATTCATTTTAATTTCAGATATCGATATTCTCTGTGCAACAGTAATTCAATTATAAAGCTCTCATGTTCCTAAAACGTGCTAAACTGTGACTTTAAAATCTAATATGACCAGAATAATATTATTAATACCAAAATAATGATCCATTGAGAGCCACAGAAACTGCTCATTCAATTCCAGTTATTACCTTCTTTTAAATGTATTTTTAGGCCTGGGCAGGGCTGTGCGTTTTACCATTGTTGTGTTGTTTTTTTCCAGTGCTCTGTGGGACATTGAGACAGGTCAGCAGACCACGCTGTTCTCTGGCCACAGTGGAGATGTCATGAGTCTCTCTCTTGCTCCAGACTCTCGAACCTTCATCTCCGGGGCCTGCGATGCCTCCATTAAACTCTGGGACATCAGAGACAGCATGTGCAGACAGACCTTCACCGGCCACGAGTCCGACATCAACGCCGCCTGCGTAAGTAAAACACAAAACTTTCTGAATATCCACATTTAGCTTACGCCCCATGATGTTTTGCGTGATTTTTTGGAAGTGGCTTCCCTTAAACTGTAAAGTGCTGCAATAAGGTGTCGTTTTCCTCTTTAGTTCATCCATTAAATAACAATAGGCTATTTATTACATTTAATCACTTTCAGCAGACCATGGAAATCTCCCAAAATGTAAAGGTGCCATAGAATGGAAATCTGAATATACCTAGGTATAGCTGTATAATATAGATGGAACCTGGGATCAGCACATGGAAAAGACATGCCGTCGGGCTTTCCTCGTTCTCTTGTAGTTCCCATGAGTGGAAAATCCCAGTGAAAAACAGGCCAGTCAGACAAAAACAAAGACTGTGGTGATCCACATCGAATCACTAATATGCACACCACAGGCAGCGATTGATCGGCCATGTTTTCTAGTGAGGTTACAGCAATATTTTCCCCTTATTATTAAGTTTATCCAAGCTTATCTATGTGGGACTCTTATTTTGGAAACAGGAGAGGCAGGGAGACTAAAAAGAAACAGATTAGTAAAGCTGGCAGGCATGCTTCTCATGTGTTTAAAGCTTGTCAGAACACAAAACGTGGGAAAGATGGATTATAAATTTATTTAGTGGCACCCTTCCGAGCAGGGGTCTCAAACTCAAATTGGTGGGGGGCCATATCAGTGACTGACGATTCATAGGAGGACCGCTTTAACATTCAAGCACAACAAAATAAGCGGAAACCCGATGTAATTGATGCACTCAGATATTCTTCTGCTGTGAATATGCAGTCAAAGCTCCTTACATATTGAAGGGGTAGTTTAAATTGTTATGAAAATACTACAATTTAATAATAGGTATAATAATAATAATTATTATTATTAATCTGTCCAATTTGGTAACTTATTTGTTAACTTTAGTGACTTTACTGTAATTGTTCTTCTCAATATCTTAATTTTTTTGTAAAACTGCAACAACACCACCATCATAACCCGTAAGCCAGATGTGTTTGTACAACACAATACAGGCGGTATAAAACTAATTATAATCAAATGACCCTTGAATATTTTCAAAAATACAGCTTGAGTAAAAATAGAGCACTTACAGACATATATTTCTAGGTTTAAATCAGCCTCAGAAATAATCTACATGTGTTACTCTCTACCGCACGCTGAGAGAAACCGAAAGTAACCCGAACATATAGTATAGTGCTTTAAATGTCCAGTAGGTGTGTGTGTGGGGGTGGGGTGGGGGGCTGTAGGCTCGTACACAACGGGACACTTTTCGTTTGCGTTTATCGTCAGCGTTTGTTCGGAATTAAACCCAAGTGATTTTTACTGCCGTCGAGCAGAAGAAATCACTCTATGACGTTGATGGCGCTACACAACTTTAAGCTTCTGACACCAGCTTTTAACACAGAGGAAGATGACAGAAAGTTGACAAGCTTGTTGTTAAAGTTACTGGTGATTTAAACAAGCATGGATGGTTCAAGTAGCAGCTCCAGCTCTAGCGTTGCAGAACTGATTATTATTCACCAGTTAAGCAGCTCTGTGCACGTGAACAAACGTGCCAATCTGATTGGTGAAGGTTTTCACGCGGCGAATCCCAAAAAAAAAAAAAAAAAAAAAAAAAAAAATATATATATATATATATATATATATATATATAAATAAAAAATAAAAAAACGAGCATGAGATTTTAAAAAAAATTACCCTTTTACACCTGCCGTTTTGCACGTTGGTGTGCACGATCACATTGGCACCCTTTATTTAGTCACGAGGCGGAAAACGTTGAGGGAAAACGCGAGCAAAAAGCTTTGTGGTGTGCATGGGCCTTATATGCAACTGCACAACAATGATATTGTTTCAAAATATATGGTTTGGTGGGCCAAATCTTGTTATGATAGGGAGGGGGAGGAGGGGGTGCAAATGGCCCCCGGGCCAACAGTTTGAGACCCCTGATTTAGATGGAATAATCTGTATTTATTGTAAAATTTCCGGCATAATTACGTTTGTAATGAGGGAACAGACATGTATAAACAGCTAAAATTAGTCCTAAATGGATGTTTATGCATCGTGTCATATCTCTCAGCTCTTATTGTGATTTTTCTTGTGTGAAAGTATGCCTAATAACATTATTAAACTAATTTTTATGCGGACGCTGATACTCCTACCTGTTTTCATATATCTTAAATCTTCAAAATACAACTCTAAATACTAAAAAACTGAACTACACTGTTCCAGTTACTATGACCATTTATGTGAAGCTGATTTGACACAATTTACATTGTAAAAGCGCTATACAAATAAAGCTGAATTGAATTGAATCTCTGTCAGCCCCTTTTGTTCACTATAATAATTATTAAGGCTATATTTCCCCAAATACAATAGTGTACAGAGTATAAAAGCAGAGCTCGTTAATATTCATGACCATTCTAAATATGGTCAAAATCAAGCTTTTCCTTTCCAGATATAATTTCTGGGCTTATAAATGAGCAAATATAACAGTTTCTGGATTTTTTTTTGCACATACTTAAGCTACATACCTATTATGTAGATATCTGAAAACAGTTTAACATTTTTAAATCAATACAAGATATGGGAGCTTTAAAACACAGCAAAATTACATACGCATTCATCAAATAAATATTACTGTACTGTAGGAATTTCATCAAAGAGAAAATTCTGAAGGAACAAAACACAGTGAACTTGAAAGTGGCCACAGATATGCTTATAATACTGAAGTTATGTTAAAATACCACCAAGCGCAAGGCCTTATGCATCCATGTGTATATTCATTTGCACTGTGTATATGGATTATTTATTAGTGCAAGCTCATTATTCAGAATGATTTGTTCCAGTTCTCTTGAATAGAAATTCTTTAAACCCGAAGTGTCACTCCTAAATGAAAACACATTAGTTCATATCTGTGGGGATATAAGATTTTTATAAACTTACCCTTTTCTCTCGTTCATCCCTCAGTTCTTCCCCAGCGGCAGTGCTTTTGCGACGGGTTCGGATGACGCCACCTGCAGGCTGTTTGACCTGCGTGCGGATCAGGAGCTGTGTTTGTACTCTCACGATAATATCATCTGTGGCATCACCTCTGTGGCCTTCTCTCGCTCCGGACGCCTGCTGCTCGCCGGATACGACGACTTCAATTGCAACATCTGGGATGCCATGAAGGGAGAGCGAGCAGGTAAACACACTGGTGGGTTTTCTTGTGTGAAAATACAGTAACCGTATTTGTCAATTGTGATGTTCTGGATCAATCGTAGTGTAGGATCTGCGAGGTTTACTGAGGGAAGGATTCGCCCTTTCACAATTTATAGTTTTATACTGCATTTTAGGGCTGAACAATGTATGTTTTGAGCATTGATATCGCAATGTGTGTATCCGCAAGAGTCACATCGCCGGATTAGATTATTGGTCACACTTTACAATAAGGTTCATTAGTTAATGTTAATTAATGCATTTAATAACATGAACAAACAATGAACGATACATTTACTACTGTATTTGTTCATGTTATTAAACGTTATTTAATGAAAATACAGTAGTTCATTGTTAGTTCATGTTAACTCATAGTGCATTAGCTAATGTTAACAAGCATGGACTTGAATGTTAATAATGCATTAGTAAATGTTCAATTATGATTAATAAATGCTGTACAAGTGTTGTTCATAATTAATTCATGTTAGTAAATGCATTAACTAGTGAACCTTATTGTAAAGTGTTACCGGATTATTTATTAAAGATTGATAGAAAAAATGATATCGTTAAATATTTGTTTTATATATTGTATACAGGGTTCAAACACATTTTACAAGGATTTTCAAGTCAATTTTCACGACTTAACGTTTTATTTAGTGTCTACGTATACATGGTAAATCATTAAAAACAAAACAATGCACATTTAAATGTATTACAGCACATCATAAATCACACAACAATCTCTTTAGTTTCAGTTTATTTTTATATTTATGTAAAATAGATAATGCTTACAGAGCACTAATAATGTGAGAGCATGTGTTTGGCCAAGAAAAGCAAAGTAAAAATAACTAACATCCATTTCAGTATACAGGTATTTGTCAAACTCATTTTAGATCATGTTAATAGTTTGTTATATTCGTTTTTTAAACACACCGCACTTTATCACTCTATAGACTTCCATTCATAGGCAGACCGGAGATGCAAGCGCGTGTGACAAGTGTTGCATTTTGCTGCATTCGAAAGTTCAAGCTTGGTGAATTCTTTGATTGTGTTAAACTAATAGAAGATCATTTAAAATAAGAATGTTAAAATATGGAGCAATTGCTCACTTTTTATTAACGTCTAACCATATTGTTTAATCCCGCCCTTTTTCGCACCATCGTACGACAGAATTTCGCAAGCATAGGCTCTAGTGTGACCGCAGCTTAAGTCGCTTTGGACAAAAGCGTCTGCTAAATGTAACTTGTAATGTTACATCTAAATGTAATGACTTTTCCAAAACCTTGTGGGTTTTTCTGTTTTTCCAAAACTTTTCCAGGCCTGGAAAATGCCGTGTCAAAATTCCATGATTTTCCATGACCGTATGAACCCTGCGCATACAATTATTTATACAATGATGACTAAGATATTTTACGTTTGATAGTTCAGCTTTTGTTTTTGAATACTGTTAGCCCAGATAACCATAACGTCCTGTTTATTTAACCTTTATTTGTCTTCTGTCATATTTATATATACTTAGTTTATTAGCTTTTATGCAGATGTAAGGCATAGAAAAGGACTTGATCAAACTAGTCGATTAAAATATTTGAAATCTTTCTAAATAGAGCTATTTAAGTCATCTGGTGAAATTATATTCATATCGCAGTATTTATTGCAGCAAAACAAAATATCACAATGTTAGGTTTTTCCAATATTGTGCAGCCTTACTGCGTTTATACCATACCTGTCAACCCTCCCCTTTCTCCTCTATTTTACAATTCTATCCTGTTATTATCCCGTAAAGATATTTTCCTGTGTTTTGAATGTTTTTATGAAGGATGGCAAAAAACGTTCAAGAGCCGATCCTCCCTATATGCAACCCATACCCCCAAACCACCAGGGGACGTCCCTTGCTTTTAAATGTGAATCTGTTCTGTGCTTTCATTTTATTTAGGCATGAAACACTTTGAAATAAATATAAAAATAGCAGGATTCCCTTCCTTTTCATTACAGGTGGCGTTGCCCCTCCTATGCAATCCTTAAAACTTGTAGCAGTGCATGACTGTCAGACGTGCTCCATATTGATAAATAGACGCTGTTTCCCAAACTAATAATAATAATAATAATAATATCTAAACATTTCCCAGAGATGGGTTGTGGCCTGAAAGGCATTCGTTGTGTAAAAACGTGCTGGATGGCACTTCAGATCATTTTGCAAGGGCGTTTTCTATCCAACACTAAAAAGGGCATGTGCACTGCACAGGTTGAGCCCCATGTGTGCATGTGCCTCCTAGAAATGGTATTTCACAGTGATCTTCTCTTTTAAAGAAAGAGCACATAACTATGCAGCCACAAAGGGGTGTCCAAATGTTTGCATAAAACAGTATCTGAAAGATCGAGAGCCACCGTAAACTCGCAAGAATAAATTACTCTTCAAAATATATGAACATAGTTACCAGTAGGTATTTTAACTATTCATATTTTGCAAAAGAACGTTTTTTACTAGGGATGCTCTGATCAGGATTTTTACAGCTGATACAGAGTACCGATTTCTTGTCATGGTGATCAGCCAATACAGAAAATCGATTTCTTGTCATGGTGATCAGCCGATATAGAGTACCGATTTCTTGTCATGGTGATCAGCCGATACAAAAAAACAATTTTTTTGTCATGGTGATCAGCCGATACAAAAAACCCATTTCTTGTCATGGTGATCAGCTGATACAGATAACCGATTTCTTGTCATGGTGATCGCTCCGCATGTGTCATACCATCTCAAAGCACTGGACATACAACTGTTGCAACAATAAGACCATCACTTGCGCGAGTTGCATCAATAAACTATATAAACAGTGTTCGCAACACATGTATATATTTTAGCTACTGTGACATGCAACAGTCGCTCACACCCCATGCATCATTTATCTCCTCGCATGTTGTAGCTGCTGATGTATATACATGCGTCATCTCTGCTTGTAAACCCAAACAAACACTTGCAATCAGTTTATGAGATCCGAGAATATCGATTGAGCCCTTAAATATGATTATCGGCTAATACCGATCTCCGGCTGTTCGATCTGAGCATCCCTAATTTTTACTCTCTCCACGATCAACTAAATGCAGCCTTGGTAAAGCATTTTTTAAAAATCTTGACTCCCAAAATTTGAAAGGTGTGTACAGACCCCACAGCATCTGTTGTTGTTGTTTTCATGACGGATGTACTCCACTTTTATTCTGACCCAGTATAAACTGTCTGTTGTCCTGGTCTCTTAACAGGAGTGCTGGCTGGCCATGACAATCGTGTGAGCTGTCTGGGAGTAACAGATGATGGCATGGCCGTGTGCACAGGATCCTGGGACAGTTTCCTGAAGATCTGGAACTGACCAAACACACACAGTACACATAATTCACTCAACACACACTGTATGTACTTTACACTCACCTACACAGACACACACACACACATGCCTGAATACAAACTGTACATACTAATATAAATAAGGCAACTAGGTAAACATTTACACCAATCTTTTCAGTGCCACATCGCTCCATACGTACAGTGCCCTCTATTAATATCAGCATCTTTCATAAATATGAGCAAAGAAGGCTGTGAGGGGGGAAAGATGCTCAGATTATGAACAAAAAAAAAAGAGAGAAGACGCTCATGTAGAATTTTCTAATAGTTTGAAACTTTGGTTGTATTCCACTCCACTTTTAGACACACACTTGTAATCTTCCCTTCCCTCGTTCCCTCAGGGGAATACCAAGGCCATTATAAGTGCGTTCCACTTCATCAAGTGAATGAGGGAAGCTTACCTAAACATACTCTTGATCCCTCAACATTGACAGATTTTGCATCACTCCTGCACCTGTATGTCCCAGAATACATTGCAATTGTGACATCACAACTGTGTTGTTCACAAGTGCTCAAGGGTTTAGGGCATTCCATTCAAACCCATTCAGATGTTCGACAGCAGTGGACACTTTTGTAACGTAATCATGACTTACATCTGAGGGAACGAGATGGAGGGAAGGTAGCGAGTGAAGGGTATAACAAATTGGACTGGAATGCAGCCTTTCCTACCTAAAAACTTAACAAACTTGGGACGGGATAGACACATGTCCTCATCCAGACTGATTCAGAACACTTCCAATTGACTGGAATGGCTAAATGTTCACCCTGAGGGTAGCCATTTTTAAGGTTTTTGCTATTTTCACATACCTTCTTCCTATTTACAGAAACTCAACAAGCTCTGTTTTTTGCTGTCATTCATTGTGATCAATTGCCTCCTATTTCCATCATAATAATATTTGAAAATAATATTTTTACAGGCATATTTGGTCCTACTTACAAAAGATGTGAATATTAGTGAAGGGCACCGTATACAATCACACTGTAGGTAGTTTTGGACCACGAGTATAAAACAGGAATGTTTACACACACCTTCCCCCCCTCTCATGTAAGCTTTGCCAGACCTCCACTTACTAAAAGACACCAGTGGATTTGGGGATGTGCGTTGAGCGAGTCTTATTCGAAAGTACGATCCCAAAGCTCCCAAGTGGTGAGAGTTGATCCATTTGTTTTTATTTTGAACTTTGTCATTGTCTCCTGTGCGCAAACATAAGCCTAAAGTACCAATGAGCATGTAGAGCTGGACAGATGAAGACCTGAGACTAACGTCCTAGATCACACTTTATGTAGTCCATGTTTTTATAGAGGCGTTTGTTGGCATATTCCAGTATATAAGTAAATATATGATGTTCTTGTCTTCATTTTAGGTTCATTTGACATTTTTAAACAACACTTATTTTATTCATGTTTTTCTGTGTGCCGCACCCCAAGGAGAATAAAGAAAACTAAAACATTGTGCCACTAATTAAGTGTCTTTTCTGTGTTCATTTTGGTAACTGGCTTGTAGAGTACGTTTTAGGTTAACAAAACCAAACAAATCCAACTTGGTTAAGATCAGGTTAAGTGGTTTCGCAATTATTACTAAAACAATTCCACCGTTAACTTGAGGTTAAACCCAGAGTTTGTGATTAACTGTGGAGTGCATGCTGTAAGTGTTAAACGTGCAGCAAACAGCCAATCACAAGACAGATTACAAATGTAGCTTCACAAACAGCAAAAAAGTCCTTTTAAAAGCTACATTTAAATTGATTTCATTAATTAAATTTGATTAAATTAGCTGTAATAACTTAGAGCCCCTATTTTGGGTTTTTAAAAATGACCTTATGCAGTGTGTAACAGCTTTAACCAAAGTGAAATATCCAGCTAAGGCTTAAATCTAAAAGTGCGCCGTGTTTAAAACTATAGATTCATCTAAATCCTAAAAGAGTCCACTTTTAGTGGTACGAATGAATCGCTGCTGTAACGAGTCTTTAGCTGTGGTGGTGTGACGTCAATACGGAACTCAAGCCCGGCCCATTTGTTCCACATTCAGACCTGGAAAAAAAAAAATGAAACCCCTGGCCACAAACACTGTTGAAAGAAAAAGAGATTGATAGATTGAGGGATAATGATCGCTCTATTAAGTGTCGCCTCTTGGTCAATCTAAGCTCTTTGGTTACAGTTTAGCAGCCTAAGTTACCTTGGCAACAAAACCAAAACCAACTCACCTTCTTAAGCCCAAAAAACCCAAACTGGCTTTTTTTTGCAACCGTACTATGGTCTTAGTTGTGTTTGTCAGCCAATATCCCTTGTGGGTCCTGAAACATGGTTTGAAATGAACAAACCAGACAAGTAAAATGATCAACTTTAAAAGCTGTAAAAGCAAAAGCAGATAGCAGAATACCTGACATACTGAACAAATGAACATATAACATATGAGAGTTATATATTTGGCTTGAGGATCAGTAAAGTTCAGTTGAATAAGAAACTTGAGTGGTTACTGGTTATTTCTTAGATATTACTCAAAAATACTGAATTCACGATAGAAAGCTATTAGATATTTTAGTTTAAAAAGGCAAGTAAACTTGACCTACTTTTTACCAAAAACATTTAGTGCAAAAACATTTTATTTAGAAATCTAATAGTTCTAAGTTAGTTCAATAGTTAAAATGAACTAACAATGAACTACTGTATTTTCATTAACTAACGTTAACATGAACAAATACAGTAGTAAATGTATTGTTCATTGTTTGTTCATGTTAGTAAATGCATTAATGAACATTAACTGATGAACCTTATTGTAAAGTGTGACCTAGAAATCTTCTTAAGAATATTTATAACAGGAATCACATACACAGTTCTTTTGAAATCTTCATACACAATCATTCAAGCCACCAGATTTCAACCATCTGTCAGTTACATTTCAAATATATTTGATAGTTATCTGATCACTTATTCTTTCAGGAAGTACACTGTAGGTCTGAGTATGTGGTTTTTCTTTTCCATAAATATATTGTATATGTGTTGTGCTGCTAATACTGATGTTTTTTTTTTTGCCAGAAAGGAGAGAATAGTGGCATTTGAGTGTTTTAATAATTATCCTGTATCATTAAATTACTTTAAACATTTTTATGCTGAACATATGAATGCACTAAACATTCCTCATTTATTTCAAACACAAATAAGATCCTAAATTGGTCACCTTTGCACCGTCAGTGTAATGATGGTACTGTTGTGTAACACAATCTGCAAAAACATCACCCTGAATGATGAAGTTTCTACTTCTGCTTATATTGCAGGTAAGCCATCTGCCTGTATCAGTCAACTAACCAGGAAACTTAGTCGGGTTTTTGACATTTCACCAAATGACATGTGATTTTATAATTAGCCATGAAAGGATAAAAATGTTGGATATTATAGAGCACAACTCACTTTGCTGCTGCTCCACACTGTCTTCTGATGAAGCCACGGACCGTTGAATCAGAAGATTTCAGACCGGGTCGATCCTGTTAGACTGAATGGCCTGTAACACACTGCATTAAAGTCCCCTACATATTTAAGTACTTAAAGACACAATACGTAGGATTGTTTTCCTTATATGATATATATATATATATATATATATATATATATATTGATATATATATTTTGCTGGCCTGTGTACTTACAGTATATGATTCCAAATGTTTTGAAGAATGTACAAATCCAAAGAAATTAGTGATATTAACTTTTGACACAAACCGGTTCTTGTGTGGTCGTGCTAATGACGTCACACACCCTTGACTTTATAAAATGTAAACACCAAACACACTTTATTATGTTGAGTGTTTTATTAACCTGCAGAGTGCAGCATTATAACAGAGCCCTAAAATCTATTCAAATTGATAAATCAGCACTGCTTCTTCCCCAAGTGTTAACGCGTGAAACAACAGTAAGCGATGGACTGTGGCATAAAGAAAGCTCTGGTGTTTTCATGCTGTATCAAACTCACCTCTCATCTTTAATTGCTTCAGTGGTTTAATTTCGATTCGACAGCTTTCAGTGTCACTCTACTTCATATTACCATTATAATAAAGTTAGAATACTTTAGCTGATCCATGAACGTGATTTCTTTAGGAGTCCCATAAGATAAAATGAAGATGACAACTCTCATGACTCCACACTTGGCCACAGAGTCATCAAATTTCACCTTTGTTTGTTGTGAATATGCACCCTCTTGTGGTGAAAATGACATATTGTGCCTTTAATACTAAAACAGTAATACTATTTAGCCCTTTTACCACCTTTTACACAAGACTTTCTTGGGTAACACTTTACATGTGTTTACTAACATGAACAATGCCTGTACATCATATATTAATTACAGTTCAACATTTGCCAGCGCATTAATGTACTCTTCTAACAATGAACAACCATTTTCATTAACTAACAAAAACGTTGAATAAAGACTGCAATGTATGTTTATTGTTTGTTTATGTGTTTCCCTTAATTACACCCTCAGTTAAAACATTAAAGTAGATGCACTCAATTTATATCTTTGTATACTCACTGGCCACCTTATTATTACCAGGTTGGACCCCCTTTTTGACTTCAAAACTGTTTTAATTCTTTGTGGCACAGATTCAACAAGGTACTGGAAATATTCCTCAGAGATTATGGTTCATATATGACATGATAGCATCACGCAGTTGCTGCTGTTTTGTCAGCTGCACATCCATGATGCCAATCTCACATTCCACCACATCCCAAAGGTGCTCTATTGGATTGAAATCTGGTGACCGTGGAGGCCATTTGAGAAGAGCGAACTCATTGTCATGTTCAAGAAACCAGTCTGAGATGATTCGCTCTTTATGACAGTGCATTATCCAGCTGGAAGTAGCCATCAGAAGATGAGTACATTGTGGTCATAAAGCGATGGGCATGATCAGCAACAATACTCAGGTAGGCTGTGGCATTGACATAATGCTCAATTGGTACTAATGGGCCCAAAGTGTGGCAAAAAAATATCCCCCACACCATTACACCACCACCACCAGCAGCAGCAGCCTGAATCGTTGATACAAGGCAGGATGGATAGCCTCAGTTTCCTGTTCTTTGCTGACAGTTGCTAGTAGCACCTGGTGTGGTCATCTGCTGCTGTAGCCCATCTGCCTCAAGGTTGGACGTGTAGTGCGTTCAGAGATGCTCTTCTGCATACTTCAGTTGTAACGAGTAGTTATTTGAGTTACTGTTGCCTTTCTATCAGCTGGAAACCAGTCTGGCCATTCTCCTCAGACCTCTGTCATCAACAAGGCATTTGCGCCCACAGAACTGCAGCTCACTGGATATTTTCTCTTTTTCGGACCATTCTCTGTAAACCCTAGAGATGGTTAAGCGTGAAAATCTCAGTAGATCAGCAGTTTCTGAAACACTTAGACCATCTCGTCTGGCACTAATAATTACGCCACGTTTAAAGTCACTTACATCACCTTTCGTCCCCATTCTGATGCTCAGTTTAAACAACAGATTGTCTTGACCATGTCTACATTCCTAAACGCATTGAGTTTCTGCCATGTGATTGGCTAATAGGAAATTTGCGTTAACGAACAGTCGGACAGGTGTACCTAATAAAGTGACCAGTGAGTGTATATAAAATCACTTCTGTAAATTGATTTGCTTTCGACGATAAAAAAAGGATCTCTCATCAAGGACTCATATGAGCGATAGGCCTATTTAATCACCCATTTGATAATTATCTAACACCATAAATGAACAGGGACACAAGATAACACGGTTCATTTGGTGAGTTAACTAAAAGTTTTAAAGATGCAGTGAAGAGTGAGCTTGAAGAAAAACAAGTTGGACCCCTTTAACAGATCAAGTTATTTTTAATTTTCAAATAATGTTGTATCGAGACATTACAGACTTGTGAATGCATTCAATCTTTAAGACTTAAAATCATCCGAAGCATTCCTCTCCTAAACAGAAACGCTAAGAAATATGTCTGAAACATCTACCGCTTTCTTCTGAAACAGAAAAACGTTTATGAAGTAAAATGAAAAGAATGATAATCAACCCATCACAGAGGATCAACTTTTATCAAGACCTCCAAAAAACAAACAAAAAAAAACACCCAAGCTTTAACCTGTCCTGGCTGCTGCCGCTATGAGAATGAACCAAAAGCACAAAAGATCTACAAATCATCAACTCTTCTTCTTTGGAGTAGTAAATATCTTACAAAAATCAGCTAAGGGATTAACTTCGGATTACAAGAGAACAACAAGAGAAATGCCACTTGTTAGCATAGCTGCTAATAGCATGTAGGGTAGATAAATCCCGCAAACACAGCAGTAAAAGGCCTTAAAACGGAAAAAACCAGACAGATCTCCATGATCGCTACACGCAAACTGCCCTAGCTTTCGAAAGACTGACTGGTTTTAGAAAGACGCGAGAATAGAACAGGCATTTCATGATGAAATCGGTCGCGGAGGGGGATGAAGTGTCAAATATCATCTTCACATGTGCACTTAAACCCTCTAAAACTCTTCAGATTACATTCAATAACGTCCATAATAAAGCCAACACCATGTGTACCTTCAAAATGACCCCTGATATGGTAGTTCACCCCAAAAATGACCATTTACTCATTGTTTACTCAACCTTTGAGGTTTCTTCTTTCTGCTGAAAACAAAAGAAGAAATTGAGAAAAATAGCAGGTCAATGATTTCCAACATTCTTCTAACTATCTTCTTTTGTGTTCAACAGAAAAAGAAACATACTCAAGTTATTTTTTGATGATCTCTTCCTCTAAAAGTCTCTTGCATGAGATCAGAACTGTGGTCAGTTGCTGACAGAATGACTGTAGAATTGGTCATCGCAAACATGACTGGAGTCGCATCTGTGATGATGTGTGCATGTTTGACCAAACTGGTCCTCGACCATCTCTTCTCTCTTTCCTCTGAGGGAATAATGAACAGCACACGCACGCACGCACAGCAAAAATAGCTCTCCTATTCACACATGCGGAGTCGCACACCCACACGCTCGCTTTTATAACACTCGCTGGAAGAAAAAGAGGGGAGAGAGACGACTCGTATGTACAGAAGCTTGTGCTCGATTATTATTATTATGATTCTTCAGCCAGACAAATGCTATTACATATAATCAATGCATTCGTTTCTTCGCTTCTAGAGAGCAGGTTATGTTCGTTAAACTCTTAATATAAATTCACATCTATTTAGCTCAAAAAAAGAAGAAGAATTCTGGGATTTTAGATATATTTTACACACATATATATATATATATTTCCTTCATTCATCCAGACAGGCCACTGTAATCCTAATATAAACTTTTATCTAATTTATAAAGCGAATATGAATCTTTGCTATATCACAATTTTGCTATAAAACATAAGCTCTATTCAATCCACCGAATTACATCACACGCATGTGAGCAGCCCAACACCAGAGGTTTTCCATTTGGCAAAATGATACAGCCACCAAAAAACGTGCGCTATTTCTTGTAACTGTTGGGCGTTTGGACTTTAATACGGTGCTCTACAAGTATCTAAACACTGCAAGAGGAGAGCACTGCCTTTAAACCAGAGGAATGAACTCTATATGGCATGGCTTTTGTGCTCAAACGGAGTGAGAGGAGCCTGTCTTGGTGCTCTGGCTCTTGTCAGTTTAAGTGCACTTTGTTGGCACGAGAGCTCGAACTGCGCACTGGACTTTTCTCTTCCCTGAACTTCACTTCGTATTGAAATAATCACATGCTCCACGCTCCTTCTCTTACACACACATGCACACACATTCAACCCCAATCCAAGGCACTGTTAATTCAGTAAACATGGCAGTTAGATTCACTAAGCAAGAAATGCTTTAATTCTATAGGATGAGGGGCGAAAGCAAGTCTCAGAGAGAGCGTTGATTATGTTATAATGGCACTGTAGCAGTCAAGTTTGGTCTTAGTTGATGAACAAAAAATACCTCTCTCTGAAATGTGACTATTTATAATGTTGTTTGTCTGAAGTGTTTTCACGATGACTTACTGAATGTGTCATCGCTCGTCTAGACTGTGCGACGGTATTGAGGAAAGGGGCTGTTAGGTAACTGATTATGATTGTACGGCCACAAGCTACTGTACGACTAGAAACTAGAAAAATATTCAGGAAGGACGAAAGTGCGTCAAATATTTCAGTGATTAGTGTGCACAAGCTTATTTGTAAAGGCAGCATTTCTTTAAGTGTTATACCATCTTGTTTTTTTAAATAGAGAATCTGTTTTTGGGTAAATACTGTTGAAAAATGTAGATCATCTGCATGAAAATGAAAGTGAAAAGCTTGAGAATAATCTCTGGTCTAGTATTGCAGAGCTGGAGACAATAACACCAGGCACAAACCCGTCACGAATTCTTTAAACTATTGCTTTATACTGATCCTACTGTACGTTACCGCTTAATATTTCCCTCACACACATATATAACTCGCTCACACACTGTTAGATAAACAAAAGAATATTTATGTTCCGATCCATCGAGTCCTCATCTACAACATGACGTTTTGTTGCTATAAAATGGTGGGGGAGTTCCAAATATTAAGATGTTCAGGTCAAATGCGCACATTTCCCGTTGAACTACAAATCTGCCTAAAACAACTACACTTTCCAAAAGCAATTTTGACAGCAAAAACACATGACTCGGTTATAAAATCACTCTCAAGTGTTTAACGCAGTTGTGTAGTGATTCAATTCTTAAAAACCATAATAATAATAATAATAATAATAATAATCATGTGCCTACAAATGTTATCTAAATACGATCATGGCTGCTATGTACAATTTACACGGAGACGTCCGAACTACACGTTTATGCTGCCAAAAAGCACCTTCAACTTCATCTTCCTTTCTGAAATCAAGAGAAGACCCCCTGTAAAACTTCGAACAAGAACGAGCACACATCACGTATTGCAATAGAACAGCTATAGAACAGCAGATAATAAAAGTAGGAGTAATACCAAATACGTTTACATACGGAGAATATCAAACTGTAGTAGATATGATGATACTTCTCACATCCAAAGAAAACAAAAATAAAAAAAAAGTGCTTTGAAAAGCAAAACCAGAGACTGCTGCTCCATCGTGGGTGGCTTGTTTTCACCAGCAAACTACTAGTGGAAAAGCGCTGGATTGTACTTCGTAAGCGGCCACCGATGTTCCCATCCAACAAACAGTTTGGTGAAAGATTATTGTTTATACATCAAGAAAGCGAAAACCTTCCCTCGTTCGGAAGAGAAGCCGTCTTGGAATATGCTAAAACTCAAGATTCCTCTAAACTTCTACTTGCTGAAAGAAAACATTATAATCACTTGAATCTGAAACTCTGAACGCAACCAAGAACAAACGACTACTACACTATACAGTGGTCAAATGGTAAAATTACAGATGTGGCAGTACCACCTCACACCACTGCAGGTTCAAGTTGTTTCTGCTGCTCAAAGTAGCTTATAAAGTCTCTCGAAACACACGCACACATGTCTGCTGCGTCACAAACGCGCAACAACCGAACGATTCTCATAGTTTTGTTTACACGCATCGTTTTGTTTACACGCATCTCTGGTACAATGTATGTACAGTTAGCCTTTTGTCTAGTCCTAAAAGCATCGGAGGAACGTTGGCCCCGGTGAACTGAAAGCTAACCGTGTGGAACTGGATGAACTGAGGTCAGCAGGGCTCAGTTGGCTCAGAGATCACAGGAGAATGGTGGAGGAGTGTCTTCAGGAAGATGTGTCTGTAGGTTTGTGCAGGAAAGTGTGAGTGTGTGTGAGAGTAAATGTGTATTTACAAAGTGTTTGAGGGTGTTGTAGTGTGCGAGGACTTTATCTCTTCAGTGTTTGAATGTGTGTACACAGCAGAACCCATGTTCTTTCACCAGTTCATAATGCAGTTTCTGTTGAGGGTCATGAAGTAAACTTGGCTGCTGCCACCGGAACGCACTGACGCGAAAAACACCTAAAAGAAAGACAAAAACAGCATTACAGTGGACGAGAAGTATAAGTTGATTGTTTAATTATTCAGTTTTTTAGGTTATAATGCCTTCCGCAGCATTGGCTATATTCATAGCAAAACCTTGCCTAAATATACAATTTATGCACTCATATCGGTTTCTTAATAAACATTCATTATACAAAAACACATACAAGAAACAACAACAGCACTGAAAAGAGTCATATATAATACTTAAGTTTGATTAATGAAAAATATTCTAAAACTCCTTCAGAAGACACCTTTTTAAACATTTCCTTTCAAATATTTTCTGAAAAAAAAGAAGAAAAAAAAACGCTCTCGAATGTAATAAAAAAAAACCCACACATTTTATTACAATGTTTTATCTTAAAAATATTTATATACAAGTCACAAATAGGTTTTTCTTCCCCTTTCAATAAAATGAGAGTATAAGTCTTGAGTGGCTGATTTTACATCTCGTATGTACATTCCCTGACAAAAGTCTTGTCATCTATCCCAGTTGTAAGAGCAACAAATAATAACTTGACTTCTAGTTGATAACTTGGAAAAGTGGCAGAAGACCTACTGGAACGCGCATGGACCCAAGATTCTCATTGAAATCAGTCAAGTTTGGTGAAGGAAAAAATGATGGCTTAGGGTTACGTTCAGTATGGGGGCGTGTGAGAGATCTGCAGAGTGGATGGCAACATTAACAGCCTGAGGTTATCAAGACATTTGTGCTGCCCATTACACTACAAACCACAGGAGAGGGGAACTCCATTAGCAGGATAGCACCCCTCACACTTCAGCCTCCACATTACAGTTCCTGAAAGCAAAGAAGGTCAAGGTGCTCCAGAATTGGCAAGCCCCGTCACCTGACATGAACATTATTGAGCATGTCAGGGGTAAAATGAGGCATTGAAGACGAATCCAAAGAACCTTGATGAACTTTGGGAGTCCTGCACGAATGCTTTATTTGCCGTTCCATTTGAGCCATTGCAGAGATGTATGAATATAGTCCTCCAAGCTCACGGGAGTCATACACAATATTAATTATCTTATTTTATTAATTTAAAAATCAAGGCATGATCATGTTTTATTTTGGTAAAATAAGCATAATCCAAAGGCTTTAGCCTCTTTTTTATAAAAGCCACTTTTAATACCAAATGATCAACTAGAGGTCAAGTTATTATTTGTTGTTCCTAAAACTTGGATGTGCGACAAGACTTTTGTCAGGTAGTGTACAACCTGATGTTTATTTTCAAAATGCTAATTATTTCTATCATTTACAAATGGATTCACTTCATACAATTTTGCTGTTTCTACATTCATCTCATTCCATTTGCCATTTACCATTAATATACAGATTTAAAGCAGGTTTTTATAAGTTATATAACTTGTCTACTAAAGCAAAGTATGTAAATCAATAAACGTCAAACAGAAAAAACATGCAAAATGTACACATTTGTATTGTTGCTGAATGAGTGACAAGTATTTGTGAAGCACATTTTTAACACAGTGCAATTTCAGTTTCACTTTAAATAAATGTGTTCAGGCTTGATTTCTAAAATAGAGGTTTCTAGTATCATGTTTACAGTAAATAATTGGTATAGTACATGCTATTATAATTAGTGTTTTATGCTTATATTTGTTATACACATTACATTCCTGTTATGAATAATGTTACATTGAAAGGGTAACAAAGTTAAATAATAAAGTTAAGGTAAAAATTAGTTTACAAACATTTCTTACATAACTTATTTTTATTTTTTATTGATAAAACTGTCAAATTTGACTTGCACATCAATGCTACTTAAAAGTCAGGAGTGCCATTTTTAGGTAAATTACCTTAATTATCTACAACTGATGTATAACTGTACCAAGTTATACATTTAATTACTACCTTATTTACCAAAGAAAATGTAATAATTGTCCTTCATTACAATTACATAACAGTTTTAAATCTGTGATTCCCTTACTATTATTTGTAATCTACAGGACATCTCATTCGATTTTCAATTTTTTTCCCTACAAATTGTAGCGTTTGTCAAGCTCATACATTTAAACATGTCATTAATGGATTTTCAAATACATTTCTATAGATGTTTATTTAATCTTTAAAAATAAAAAGCAAACTAGGAGATTAAACTCTAGTGGTGTCTTATATTTGATTTAAATATGTAGCATAAAATAAAAAGAATATAAATACATCAAAAACAAACATTCATTTTTTTTCTTGGAGGGATTTGGACAGGAATTGTATAGGTTTTTTTTTTTTAACATTAGTGTGAAGTGCAGTGTGTGTGTAAGTGTGTGAAAAGAAAAATCACCTTGTCGTTCCGTTCACACAGGAACTTAAGCCTCTGGGCTCTCTTGTGCATGAAGACTCCATCCAGGTGTCCCGTCTCAACAGAACGGATCTCAATGGCTTTCTCTCCCCAACCCATAATCTGATTAGAGCAAATGTGGGCTACAAGCAAAACACAGACACAAACACAAAAACAGATTTCAGAATTCACTACAGAAATATGGCTTCTACAGAATCTTAACTAAAACAATCCATTGAAATCCTATCTGATTAAATTCTACCTCTGCTGGAAAACAGAGAATATTTGCTTTCATTCAGTCTGGTCTATATAAAAAATTACAGAGATCATCTCAAGCCATCTGAATAAAACCAAGACCCCCATATGCCCCTGACAAACCATCTGTAGTAAACACACTCTTTCATCTCTCTGATCACTCCATATAAAAATAAATAAATAAATGAATAAATTATTGTGCATTTATGAAGTGTGCTTCTTACAGATAAGTGGGCTTAACAAACCACCTGTAGAAACAAGCTTCTCTCTCTCAAAAATAATACCACCTTCTTTTTCTAGCACTAAATCAGAGTGCAAACAGTTCCTCTGTATAATAAGCACTTATTGTGTGTATTGCCTCTTCTTACTGAATCGCTGAATGCCTCCTAATTGTAAGTGGCTTTGGAAAATAGCATCTTCTAAATGAATAAATCTAAATGTAGAGGTAAAAAATAAATGAATAATAAAAAAAATCTCTCCATCTACCACTTTTACAACTGTGCAGAAAGCAGAATGTGTGTTTGTGTGTATTTGTATATATACCCCCCACACTCTTCTCATAACTTAAACTCCCCATAAACACTGTATTATTTATTATTTAATATTTGCACAATTAAAATTGAACATATTCATTGCACTACATTGCACTTTCATCTTGAATTGTACATATCTACTGCACATATACATTTATAAATTATGTTAATTCTTTCGGCATACCCCTGATTATTAATAGCAACCTGTACATATATTCACTAATTGTAAATCTATGTTCATAGCTAATACAACCTATATATAATGTTCATAGTACAACCATCTGTAAATATAGTTCTAGTTCTAGTTCTATTTATTTATATAGCACGTTTCCAACTGCTACAGGGCTGCACAAAGTGCTTTACAGAGAGAAAATAAACACATGATATGAGCATAAAATAGTTTAAACAGCAATAAGCACATAATAGGAAGGAACATAGAAAAATTATCAATAAAAGAGCAAAAATGTAAATAAAAATAAAAAATCGTAATAATAATAATACAATATTTTTCCTAATTAAAATATGCTACCACAGTTGACCAACACTAAACACGATAGAGAACATGACCGTTTTTATCCCCCTCCCCACTCCCAACACCCCCCCCCTTCTGAAAGGGAAGGACTTATGCTTCAAAAAGACTTAGAAAATAAATGCGTCTTTAATTTGGACTTAAAAATAGGCAGCGACGAAGCCCTTTTTAGCTCTAATGTTACCATAGTTTTTCTATAATTGCACTTTATAGCTTATAGCTATATCCTGCACTTGTTGCTATTGCACTGCTGGTTAGATCTAAACTCCATTCCGTTGCCTTGTACTTGTAATGATAATAAAGTTGAATCTATTCTAATCTAGTATACACACTCACCTACTGATGTGGGCATTTCTCCCCACTGCAGCACCACATCTTTAATGATGCGTCCGTACGTGTTGACATAAACACCTTCGTCCTCATAACACAACAGCATCTCCATCCCATCTGAGTTGGGCAGGAACACGATGGCGTGAGGAGTGATCTGTGACTGGATCTACAGCAGCAGACCGAGAGCAAGAGAGAGGAACATGGATTTATAGGAGAAATAAATCACTATCAAACTCTCCTCTGCATTTTCCAATTGACTGACCCAGTGTATTCTTGGTGTGTCACATGACAACATAACTCACATGTACAGGAATGTAGATGTCGTAGTTGTTTCCAGAGTCAACATCAATGGCATGGAAGCCAGCCAAGGAGCCATAGATGACCTTTAACCTCTGACCCTCTTCCACTGTGAGGTCAACCAACACAGGTCTGTGCGGCAGGTCTCCAAATGACTAAGAAACATCAATAAAAGCATGATATTAATTATTTTTAACAACAACAAAAACATAATAAGATTGTAAATTAAAAGAATTTTAAGGCAAGGCAAGTTTATGTAGCACATTTCATCCACGATGGTAATTCAAAGTGCTTTACATAAGAATAAAAGAAACAAGAAAATAAAAATTATTAAAAGAATAAAGACATTTTTATGATTTTGAAAATTCTTAAAAATCTTTATCTTATGCATTTTTAAATGTTGAAAAATCATTATTTTGGGGGAAACCAGGATTCTTAAAGGGATAGTTCTCTCAAAAATGAAATGTGGAAGATATTTTGAAGTTAATTTGAAGATATTTTGAAGAATGTTGGAAACCTGTAACCATTCACGTGCAAAGTAGAAAAAATAGTTGCACTGGAAGTCAGTGGTTATCAATTTTCAACACTCTTTAAAATATCTTCTTGTGTGTTCAACAGAACAAAAAAGGAGTTGAACAATTTAAATGTGCATAAATTATGACAATTTTTATTTTGGGTCAAACTATCCCTTTAAATACCCCTTAAAAGGGTTTTAAAAACAATTACAAACAATAGAATTTATTCAAAATACAAATCTTTTGGAAAAGTTTTAATATTTTACCATCATTTCTGATAATTTTACTTTGTTAAATGAAAGTTTTTCTTTTCCACAGGCACAAAGAAAAAAATGAATCAATCAAATAATAATAAAAAGCTGACCAAAACATTTTGAAAAGCCTTAAAATCCCCACTAAAGCACATACCAGCATTGTATGCGACCAATAAAACAATCAGACATAAACACAAAGCTTGCGTCAGTACCTTGAAGGCCATGAACTTGTGGTAAGGTTTTGGAGCCCAGGCGTAAACCTCCACTGCATTCTTCAGAGCGATAACCAGAAACTTAATCCTTTCATATTTCACTGGGAAAATAAACACGACATTCACAGCACTTTTATTACAAGGCACAAAGCACTTTAAAAGAGTTGAGAGGAAAATTCTAAGATAAAAGTAGCTTTCCTCATGTCTTCTGACCTATTCGGTTTCACTTTTGCTTATTCGCCAAGCAGCAGCTGAGCACAATCTTTCATCACTTTCTTTTGGTTTGCGCATAATTAAGCACCTCATACATGCACACTTACCCACTTTATAGTGCACACAGCCCTCCATTTCCCCTACAGTGGTCCAGCCCTGTTTCTTCTCCACCTCTGGGTCATTATGGAGGATCTTATTCCTCAGCCAGGCCAGATAATACACGCGTACCTTATTCTTCTTGCCTAAGAAAAGAGAGAAACTACACATGAAGATCCTAAAATAGGTGGTCTGGTCTATATCTATGTGTCCCGGCAAAGATAGACGGGTGTGTGAAATAAGGAACAGAGCATTTTATAACCTGATATAGTGATGAGGAGGTTCAGTCCCTCCAGGACATCCATCTGCTGAAATCTGCGCGAGTTGATCAGTGGATACACTTTACCCTGACCGCTTCTGTCCAGCAGCTTCAGACCATTCTCTGTCCCGACCAGCAGATTCACACCTGACAGAACATACACAGTTAAAACACACACACCCTTCAAGACCTAAAATGCTCACAGACTGTGCTATGGAGCTATTCTGAGAAAACTGTTTATCATGCTTTAGGGGTGTACTGAATTTAAAGTAGAAAAGTTTTGACTGTATATAATAAACTCTCTGTAGGAGTGGATGAAAAAAACGGTACACTGCTCAAAAGGGTATTATGGAGAAATTTGACCTTGTGCCACTTTATTCCACCATGCTTTGTGGTCATATTTTATGCATTTTGGCCAGTGGGTGGCACTGCCATCAAACTAGTCCTCCTGAACGCTCAGGGAATTGGTGCAAAGATAACAAAGTTCATGTCAACACATTAAAATGATACACAGATACAAATATATTTCTTGAAAAAAAACTTCTGTCTGGCAACCCTATGAGTGTAGTATGAGCTTAAAAAGATAAAAACAATTGAACAAGGAGAAAATCGAGAACAGAAATCACTTGTTGCACTAGCACGGCTTAGAAAAATCAGAGAAGAAAGAAAGTTTTGTTTCTAGGAAACTTGCCTGAATTATTTTAGCTAAAATGTGCATTACATTTTAAAGAGTTTGAACTGGAGGGTTTAAAACACTAAAAGAAGAAGGAGGAACAAATAGCCTTGATCTCATCATGTGCCAATTTTCACACACTTCATACACTAACCTCACTACCCTAAAATAATGTAAAAACTTGATTAAAAAGAACTAAAATCAGCAATCAGTAAAATACTTGAATCAGTAAAGTGACTCAAATGGATCAAAGCTACCTGAAATCAATAGACCCTCTTCACTTTTCCAGGTTTCTCAGTAGCGGAAGTTGTCATATTTGCGTAAACTTAATGCAAGGTGAATGGGAGAATACAAGAAATATTTTTTTTTACAATCCTATTTGCTCAAATAATAAAAGATGATCAATGATGGTGTTATCAAGACTTGCAGAAAAAAGAAAAATCTGTGTTAGACAGTTAATGGCAGACAGAAGAGAGAACAATGTCACATTTAGTGTCCATCCATACACTCTGATTACCAATGCCTTGCAGAAAAAGTAGATCTTTTTTTTCTTTATAATGCAAAGATGATTTATTACATACGTAAATGCATAAGAATGCACCTACATAAAAAAAAAAAAAAAAAATTCTAATAATTCTGACTTTAGCTGTATATGAAGAGTTTATTTGCAAAAACAGAAAAACATAACAATTTTTAGAAGTTTTCAGAAATCATGTTTTCACATTGAGTACTGAAGAGTTCAACTGCAAAATACTAGATTTATGAAAAATTCTGGGAACAAAACAAATTTAAAACTCTTCATTTATCACCCTTTTAAAATATTAAGAGCTTGAATAATCATTGCACAGAGATGATGACAATTTTACTGGCCACAGAATGGGTGAAAACACAAACAATAGATATAGCAATACGATTCGACTTATCATCTGCAATAAATGGTTTAAACGGAATGAGATTATCAAGTCAGGACTTTCTGTATGAAATTATCTACAAAATAAATGCAAAAATGAAAGTCTTACAGTTGAAGGTTGAGATGAGCAAAGTGGCAGAAAAGCTAAAACTTAGAGAAACACTGTTACTGTCAAACACTGTTTATTACACTGAGTCAGTTTAATGGTGAAGGGATTGATCCAATAGGCCTATTGATAGTAGGTTTTGGGAAGAAATGTCACGATGCTTTGTAAAAGTATTTTGTAGTATTTTTAAAATACAAAAATACAGTTTTTATTTTTATACACATTTTGGCTGCTGTCGTTTGTAGTTTATTTTAATGCACCTACACTTAAACTAAAAGGTATTTGGCATTTTATTTTAAAATACATTTTAAAGTATTTCTGCCCAACCCTGATAGTAAGAATAGACAGTTGGGATGGCTTTATGAGAAATGTACTTCGTTAGATTGACAAACACACGCATGGCTCTTACCCCAGAGAGCAGCGCAGAGGATCTCAGAGTTAAATCTCTTCTTGTATTTGCGGATTTCAGGAGTGTCACTGACCGGACGTGTGTTTGTGGGATTGACATTGACCATGGAGCCCTTCCTCACCTCCAGCTTTAGCTGCTCAAAACGAGAGCCCAGACCTACAACACCCACAAACCGCACAGCAGAGAGACACTGAGTCATCTGTCAGAAACAGATTCACAGCCATCAAGAAACAGTCACAGGTCTAGGGTGCTGAAATCATTTTCTTGCTCAGATCTTCTGTCTTGTTTTCCAGTAAACATGTAGAAGATTCATTAGAACAAAACATACAGCTATGGGGGAAAATATGTAATGTTATGAGAGAACATAATTTAAATATATGCTGCAATTCAAGTATATATATATATATATATATATTTCTCAAGTAATGTAAGAAAATTTAAATTAATATAGCATTTCCAGTAGATTCATCTGATCAATTTTGATTCTCAACAACAACAAAAAAAGTAAATAAATATTCTCATGTATTCCAATGTATTAAGCTTTACACAAACAGCACTGTTCAAATGTTTGCTTTTTCAAATAATCAATATGTATTAAGAAATTAATATATACATATTCAGCAAATATTTAACATTTATAATGTTACAAATTATGATTATTTTAAATTAGCATCTTCCTTTTGAACTTTCTATCAAATGCGGCTAAAATGATCATGGTTTTCACAAAATACTAAAGAAAACAACAATCTTGAACACTAATCAAAGCATATTAATATGACTTTTGAATGACACTAATTACTTAATGAGACAATAATTATACTTAAAAATCTTTCACATTAGTTTACATCATAAAATTTATCTTAAAAATTAATGTTTGCTAATATTTTTGTTTTTCCTGTAATTGTAAATGCAGTGAACAGAGTACACCCTGTGTTGTTGAACAATAGTGTATCTTAAAGGGGTAGTTCACCCACAAATGATTCTAAAAAATTCAACAAAAATTCTGTCATCTATTACTCATCTTTGACTTGTTTTTAAACCAGTTGGGAGTTTTTTGTTGTTTTGAACACATAAAAAGAGATTCTAAAGAATGTTGGAAACTAGTAAACATTAACATGTGTTGTATGAAAAACAAATACTATGGAAGACAATGGTTACCCATTTCCAACAAGCTTCAAAATATCTTCATTTAGGTTCAACAAAACAGAAACTTAAACAGGAATTTACATTTTTGTGTTAAAAATCCCCTTAAAATCTCCGTACCCAAACTAACCACTTTACCTCCAACAGAAATGTTATCTCCACTACCCCCTGATGGCTGGTACATTCCAAGGTCCACAAAGGTAGTAAAAGAGGATTTTCCAGAGGCCTTGACCAATCCCCTGGACTGATACTGAAATGAATAGCATGATCACGGTCAGCCAATTGAACACACACTTGTTGTCCAGTACATCAGATAAAGAATCAATTACAAAAAAAAAAAGCTGGATGGCATGCTGATGAAATGATAAACGGTGGAGTAACTGAAGCTCCAGAAGTGGGCAGAGACTCACATCATAAGTAGAGTCTTTCCCGGGGGAGGAGTGGGAGGCCGAGTCTGTGGGAGAGTGAGAAGGCTGAACCACATCAGGCAGGTTGGTGTATCCATTATGACTGCGCTTCTCTGGAGTCTGACAGAAACAAACACACAAACAAACTCGGGCTGACACTGGTGCTATGATATTGGCTTCTAGCATGCACATAAAGGCTTTATCCTTCTGAGGCATAGTGGGACACTAATGAAGGGTCAATGAAATGCTTAAAACCTGTAGTAAGTCAAAATATACATACAAACTATATGCTGCTTTAATGAAATAAATAGAATTAGGGCTAGTTTTATTTATTTTTGTTTATGATTTACTCAGGAATGATGCAATAAAGGGACATAATAATATACCATAGACATTATATTTTATTATTTTCAAATAATTCTTGTTCTGTTGAACTGTCTATTCCTTAAAGATGATTTTATCCATGATTTCAACACTGATGATATCAACAAATGTTTCTTAAATGCCCTGAAGGATCAGAATCTGAATAAAATTAAAACATATCAATGATAATTCTACCTTATAAATATATTTATATAAAAACATGTCTAATTTTAAGATATATTAAAGAGTTAAATTAGGATTAAAAATATTTCACAATATATGTACACTTAAAGGCCCACTTTATTAGGTACACCTGCCCAACTATTAGCTAATGCAAATTTCTGATCAGCCAATCACATGGCAGCAACTCCATGCATTTAGGCATGCAGACATGGTCAAGACAATCTGCTACAGCATCAGAATGGGGAAGAAAGATTATTTAAGAGACTTTGAATGTGGCATGGTTGTTGGTGCCAGACGGGCTGGTCTAAGTATTTCAGAAACTGAAAATCTACTGGGATTTTCACGCACAATCATCTTTAGGGTCTACAGAGAATGGTTCGATAAAGCGGAAATATCCAGTGAGCAGCAGTTCTGTGGGCGCAAATGCCTTGTTGATACCACAGATCAAGGGAGAATGGCCAGACTGGTTTCCAGCTGATAGAAAGGCAACAGTAACTTGTTGCCTTGTTGATACCACAGATCAGGGGAGAATGGCCAGACTGGTTTCCAGCTGATAGAAAGGGAATGCAGTAGAGCATTTCTGAACGCACAACACGTCCAACCTTGAGGCAGATTGGCTACAGCAGCAGAATACCACACCCGGTGCCACTCCTGTCAGGTAAGAACAGGAAACTGAGGCTACAATTCACACAGGTTCACCAAAATTGAACAATAAAACATTGGAAATAATGTTGCCTGGTCTGATGAGTCTCGATTTCTGCTGTGACTTTCAGATGGTAGGGTCAGAATTTGGTGTCAACAACATAAAAGCATGGATATATCCATCCGGACTTGTATCAATGGTCCAGGTTGGTGCTGGTGGTGTAATCTTGGCACACTTTGGGCCCATTGATACCAATTGAGCATTGACATTGTCACTCACATAACAATGAGTTCACTGTACTCAAATGGCCTAAATAGTCACCAGACTCAATCCAATAGAGCACCTTTGGCATGGGGTGGAATGTGAGATTTGCATCATGGATGTGCAGCAAACAAATCTGCAGCAACTGTGTGATGCTATCATGTCAATATGAACCAAAATCTCCTTGTTGAATCTATGCCATTAATTAAGGCAAAAGGGGGTCAAACTTTGTTCTAGTAAGGCTTATCTAATGAAGTGGTCAGTGACTGTATGTATTGTTTTAACTGTATTCTTAAACAAATGGAGAATAACTTAAACACATTTAAAATTCATTGTTTTTATTATTAATTTTTCTGACCCAAACCTAAGAATTTTAATGCACATTTTTACTTCTCATTACAAAACGGAATATTGAGTTTGCTGTTAGTTTTTGCCATTTGCTTAATTCACAAGTCTTTGTTGTTATTATTATTATTATTATTAGAGAGAGAGAGAGAGAGAAAGAGAGAGAATCTGTTCTAGATTATATAGATATAATGTAGATATAAATTCCTCTCCACTCCTCTACATGAGGAAGCTACAGTGTTACCATTAGTATTTTTTTATTTAAATACTTTAATTAATAATTAATTTTAAATAGGTTTATTATGATAATTTAGCAATTCGATTTACAGCTATAGAGGGATTTAGTAGTAGATGCCTAAATCAAACCCTCAAGCTAGTTTAAAGTTTATGCTGAGGTCTCATGAATGAACATCCCACCAGCGCACAGACACACAACTCATCCTACCCTCTGCACAAGCATGGTTTGGTCTCCATATCCTCCAGCACGTTCTTCTTCTCCTCCTTCACCTTCCTCCTCTTCATGGACAACCATAGTGTTCACAGAGTCAGAATCTGCATCACGGGGGCTGACAACACACATTCAAAAGAAAAATATGAAAAATAAAGCCATAAAAAGAAGTTATCCAGCCGTTTTAACAGGCTTTAAATCTGACAGTGAAACAGTCAAACTGGAAAATAAATAAAAACACTTGATTTTAATGTACATTTTACACTAATAACTAAGACCATTAACTAAGAATTTTAGCTCAATAAACTACTAATTAGCTGCTTACTAACAGATGGCAAGGTAAAAGTTGGATTTAGGTTTTGTGTAAGATTAGGGATGTAAAATAGGATCACACTTTATAAGTGCTAATAAACAGTTTATATCTTTATAACAGGCAGGTAATAAACCAGGAGTAAATAATGTGAATTGTTACTTAAACTAAAGTGTTACCAAATGCACATAAAAACCGAAATTACACACGATTGCATAAGAAAAACACATGGAATGTTTGATTGTTCTTTTAGACTTTTAGATGATGAATGACAAAATAAGCCAAATGTGTATTATCATCAGTCGTCAGTTGGGACACTTCTATCTTCTCTCACCGGTCAGTAGGGCTTTCCTCCTCTGCTCCTTCTCCACTTTCACTCTCTTCGCTGCTTTCACTGCTCTCTGAGGAAGAGGAGTAGTCGTTGGCCTTCACAGGGGGCCGCGGCTGCTCCTCTGCTCGCTCCTTAGAGTACAGACCATGATCCTGACACATCCACACCAACAAATCAACAGGTAAATGAGCAACTGTCATATAAATAATCTCTGATTTATAAACACTGGACCCGATAAAGTATAAACATGGGATTTCGATCATGCATTCCGTCTTTCAAAGTCTGGAGTGTGGAGGAAGTGGGATATATTGGGGAGGAGGGTGAAGGTGGTCAGATCAAGACCGTAAGTGCAGGACTGTCCCTCAACAGATGCTGATGGTTGCAGACGGGTGACATCAACTGGATAGAGACGTCCAGGGAGAGACGCAAGACGCTAAACAATGGCCCAAAATTCACATGTAATGTTAACTTTGATTATATATTTTAAAGGTATAATTTATGGTTAAATGTTTCTTTTCTCTGTGGGACTCAAAAGACATAATAAAGGCCAATGGAATACAAAACAACACTGGATTTTCACTGGAGGCTGCTTGAAGCACCACCCAAAAAAAAAAAAAAAAAAAAAAAAAAACATTTGTGTTCCACAGAAGAAAAATAAGGTTTGAACTAGGTATAAAATCACTTTTTACACAAACATAGTTGCAATATGGATTTATGTGGGTACTTGTTTATTTAACGCTATATTCATCTACCTTTAAGCATCTGAATTATTATAATCAGGATAGATTAAAAAATACAGGGTTTGCAGAATTTCTAAATCCCTGGTAGCCCGAAATAAATTCCCCTAAGTTTTTAGTAGCCTGAAATAAACTGATGTGGCCCAAATAGAAAAAACACTATATAGTTAATAAAAAGAAATGCATATATCTACTAAATAAAGTTATAAAGTCATTCATTATAGTCTATTTTTAAAATAACCACATTTTATTTCATTATTGTATTCATTATTATCATTGTTTTTTATTTATTCATTATTATTATTATTAGTAATATTTTTCCTTTCTAATTGTACCTAAAACAAATCATGTGAAAAACTGGTAGGCTTACCTTTATCACTTTACCAGTTTTTTTGACAACACCAGTTAGTGCAAATGCTAATATAAACACATATTGATAGTGGCTCCTCGATGCATGAAAGTTACATCCAACATAACTACCCAATTTGTGAGAGAATGCAAAAGCATTGAAATAGGCTATGGCTGCGTCAGATATTGACTACTACATAGTAGGTACTGCATTTAAACTTAAATGTAATATTCGACCGTTAGAAAAGTAAGTTCTATACAGTATGAATGTGAGCAGTGTGAATGAAACTTGGACATACTACAGTACATCCACCATTTTGTCATGACCTACACACGTCAGTTGTGTCTTTTTTTCTATTTTTGGTAGCCCGACTGGAAAATATAATAACACTGGGACGTCAGGCTTGCAGTTTTGAGAGCCCTGAAATATATATAACTGTTTGAAAGCAGGATGTCAATAAGACTTTTTTTTTTGTTTTAATAAAGTCTCTTACGCTCAGCAAGGCTCCATTAATTTGATCATCTTCAATGTTGTGAAATATTACTACAATTTAAAATAACTGCTGCCTATAGTAATATTTATTTTTAAAAAAAGGCGATCTATTGCTGTAATTTTTAGGAAGTCTTACTCCGGTCCTTTGGTGTCACCTGATCAGTCAGAAATGATTGGAAAATGTTGATTTATTAAAACAATAGAAACATTTTGTTTGTGGAATTTTATAATTACAAAGTCAGCCAGCAAAAACCTTCACCGATTTAGACTGAACGTATGCAATGCATTATTTCTATTTTTTAAAATCATGCTAAACTCAAATCTCTGAAAGGATGTGCATACAAGATTATTGGCTATTAATTTAATTATCATACTGTAATTAATTCAAGACAGCCTTTAAGAAATGTCATTCTTAAATCATACGTGATTAATGCAGCAATTATTTGATCATTATTTTAAACATGATGATGACACAACATTCATTTGACATTTAGCTTCATCCACATGGACACCATCACGAGAAGATGCAGTCATGCAAGAACAGAGACTCGGACTCATGCAGATACACAGATACGGGCACTGACCTCTCCTATTGCTCTCTTATAGCTCTGAGGGCAGGAAGAGGAGGAGGAAGAGAGATTGATGAGAGGAGAGAGGGATGAGAAGGGTAAAAGGAGAGGGGGAAATGTAAGGAACAGAGGTTAGTGTTTAGAGGAGGGCTGAGCGTGTTCATTCTATAAACAAGACACAGGCAAATGATCTGGGACTCTATGTGCATGAGTGTGTGTTTGTGTGTTTAACATGCGACCCTTTGTGTGTTTGTAATTGTGTGTCTCACCGCTGGTCTGCTGGGTCTAGATGAGGTTCGGGATTCTCCTGGTTTGTGTCGGCCATCATGAGAGAGGGTTGGAGAGGAATCCATCTTAGATGAGCCTGAAATATATAACATTATGCACTGCTATATCTGCTTATAATTGCTTAAGACAAACCCTACCTAAAAATTTTTTTTTTTAAAAATCACATTTTAATGTATGAATCATTATTTCTAAACGCGATTGCTCTCAGGTATCCCACCAAAGGAAATCTGCCATATTTGTCAGATTAAATAAGTGGTCCACAGTGTATTTTAAGGCCTGGTTGTGTATATAAGATGCAAAGCAATGTGTGCTTATGCTTCACTTGTAAAAAATTGTATTATTTTCTTTTTAAATCATGTTTTTTTTTCATATATCTTATTTTGATTAACTACAGCTACTCAGCTAACATGAAAACATCCTCCTCTGAAAGCCCACCCTCAAGAGGCTCTGATTGGTCAGCTAAGATAATGTGCTGTGATTCGTGGATCGGCTCCAGGTCACCAAAAAGCATCACATCCAGTCACTAACACGTGCTGTGCCCCGGCTGTTTGTTGTTTGAGATGCAGAACACAGGGAAAGTGCCTGCATAGAGAGACACTGCAGTGCTGGTGAAGATTGTGGGTGTTTACAGTGGTTTGACAGGAAAATATGAATTTGTAGCAAAATTGTTAATGTGCCAAACAGCATTTCCTCCTGTTTACATCCTTGTTTACGTCCTCGCTACAACATACCGTTAACGCTAGAAACTGTGCATGCAGTTGATCAATTTTAACAAATAAAAATACTCACAGGTTGTGGCTCACAATCCACAGCTTCGTCGGTTGGAGGAGTTAACCGAATCCAGCACTGAACTGGGAGAGATTTTAGAAGTTCTCCTTTGTCAAAAGCTAGCTATGTATTTTTTTAATAATTCTCTGGAACATAATTAAAATTAAACTGTAAGCACTTCTCTCTGTGTCGTGACTTTTGGAAGCCCAAATACAGAAACAGAACAAGCTCTTTGGAAATAGCAGCGTTTGGTCAGCAATTTAGCTTTCTCTGCTATGACATTACAGCGACTCTGGCCACACCCCTTTGCTGCACAGGGTGTATGGGCATGGTGAATGCGCGTAACCTGAAGTGTTTAGGATCCTACTAGCCTGGATGTATTTTTTGTAGACCCCAAACTTCGTTCGCTCTAGGCTTTGCTAAGCTAACTCTGTAAAAGCCAATGCCTCTCTTTGCACTGAACATTTAGAGTCTTACATTCAGAGATATTGTTTATGTTCACACAGCTACATTACACATCAAGTAAAGTTTAAAATATGATATCATAGTGGACCACCTCTTTAAGCTTTCTTTTCCTATAGACCAATTACCATGTTTGTAAACATTCAGGATGCGCTCACAGGGAGGTGGCAGAAAGAAACCAGGAGACCTAGCATTTACAGCAAGGGAATGACATCCAATGCGGTACAGAGTTTGTTGTTTTCTTAGAAACAAAATATACTGATTACGGATTATATATATTATTTACATAATGCTTTCAGCGTATTATAACAGCTTGTCACCCAGTGATAACACTAGAGATTCTGCAAAATTAACGTTAAAGTGAGCGACATTTGCGACAGCACCCTCCCATTGAATATTGGATAAGACGAAATGGCCAAGCATCCGGCCCCAAATATACAATCTCATTAAAGCTCCAAGTGATTTTACAAGAAAGAAGTTAAAGGCCTACACATCTTTGGATGCCAACAATGTTGTTCTGTGTGGTCATGTTCAAGAAATAATGTTCCATAATTACCAGATTCAACACTATGTAGTGCTAAAAACCGAGGTTCTGCCTAGCCAAAGACAAGGAAAGAAGACGGAACTGTACAAGGCCTGGGTAATTAATCATCAACAAGCAAAACGACTGCATTCTGACAGTGAACTGCACCTGTACGGCAGGATATGTGAACTTACACATAAAGGTAAAGTTGGTTTTATATTCACACATTCAGACTTTCTCCCTAATAATATCATTTCATAAAAGTATTATTTGCAAACTCTAAATAGCAAAATTATATTAGCAGCCAATGACTATCAAAGTACAACATTGTTCACAGTCAAATAAACAGTGTTAATGTTGTTTTCAAGTCACACTTGCGGGTTATTTCAGACTGAATATTCAAAGTGCCATGGTAAACGATAAAGGGAGTGTCACAAGTTGTCACTGAATGAATGTGTGAAAATAAAACCATGTTTACCTTAATAACTTACACTTTCACGTTTCATTCTTAGCATTCAGTGTTTGCAGTTTAATTAACCATATGTAACTGTTTTTGCTGAAATAATTTCTGCAATCAAAACAAGTAATATGTACGATTCAGCATAGCGTGAACTTACCTGATATAATATGAGAACTGCAGAGTCCAGTATTTCTAATTAGGTCGTCACTTCATTCAGCTCCCTTTTAATGTAAGACATCTGCAGTTGGCATTAAAGCAATGTGGTGTATGGTAAAAGCTAAGTTTTCTATTTTTGAACTTTCGAATTTGGCATCCTACCGCACAACACGACATGTTTACTATTGCAGCCTGTCTTCTTTTTTGCAACCGGGGACCCGTGTGACGTAGGTTGGTAATTAATTAATAGGTTAACAATTTTTTTAGCTTCAAACACAAACTTTTTTCAAAGATTATATATCAGAACCAGCCTTCATCTTTGTCAACACAACTCGTCATTACCAAGACAACAATTGTCATAACTCTTATAAAATTCATGATTTATTTATAAAGGTTTAATGACAATCATTTTAATGACAGATTTATGACAAGTTGTCTAGGTAATGTCAAGTAGTCATGACAGACAAAAACAGGCTGTGGTGTATTTGTTTAATATTGGGTTATCACTAACAAGTTCATCTTTGCATTTAAAATGTCGTAACTAAGCGAATGACACTTAATGACAGTTGTTATAAGCGACAATGTAATTCTTACACAGCTGAACGATATTTTAAATTATCAAGCTAATGTTTTAATTCTTGTATGCAATTATTAAAAGCATTAATGAGTAAATTTTTTAAAAAACGTTTAAGCTAAATTGAGTTTTGCTATTGTGTTAAACTGGCAGTGACTACTGAAATGCTTGTGTCATGCCAAACACCAATGCCAAATCAGGCATTACTTGTATAAAATTCTGTTATCACTCAATTCGCGAAATCCTTGAGGACTTTATCAAGACATTTTTTTATTGTGGTTATGTTATGTGCTGTCCTTACAGTTAGGCAATCTGAAGTTTTACTGTGCTTGAGGGCAGATGTGCTATCACAATATTTGCAAAACATGTCGCATACAACACTCACTGAGTATGCGGTGTCTCTCCAGAGAGCCGGTCTGTGGCAGGTTGGACATGATGCTCATGCTGTCTCCTCTCTCCCAGCGCTCATTGCGACTCAGATCTGGATTACTGACACAGAAAGAAAACACGGTGCAGGAGTCAGGCCAGTCACACGAGTCGTGTCACTTCAGATGAACGTGGGTGTATATATATATATATATATATATATATATATATACGGTACACACTTTACCTTGCTCGGACTGGGTGTCTGATACCAGAGGAGAGATTTGTGTTCAGTGCAGTGGCTATAGAGGCTGTTCTCTGAGGAATCTAAGAGAGAGAAATTAGGAATTATAGAAAAATCATGCATCAGTCGTGCTGATGTTAATCATTACAAGGACAAATTAGCACACATCTACTGTTGTATCTTAATTTAGCGACTATACACAGTTTATTTGCACAAGATTTTTAGTTAGATTAACAAAGCCTGCATCAACATTTTTTTTCCCACACCCAATAATGCTTTGTGGAGGGAGAAACTTCTGCTAAACTAAACAATAAGTGCTTTAAAAAGAAATAAAAAAATTAGGGTGCAATGAGAAAACTTTCACAAATAACATCAATAACTGAAAGAAGAACTCGAAACTGTCTTACTGTAGGGAATACAAAAAGAAAATCATCTGGAGGTGGCCAAAGTGATGCTTCTAATACAAATGCTACATTACAATGCCAAGTGATCCAAAGGACTAATATCCAAAATATACAAAGCCGTGTCTAACTCATGTACTTCTTCCTTCCTTTAAAGAGTGTGTGGGGAAAAAATTTATGTCATGAAACTCAAGATACCGATAGGTCTGAAAAATGTAAAAATTTGTTTTCTACATGTACTTCATTGAGTGTTCATAAACTCAATTATAAATTCGTTAACAGAGATTATCTTACACCCTTATATCTGAACAAGGTTTACAGAAACTTCTCTGGTCTTTGTTTTAACTGTAAAAAATGCAAAGAAACAATCCTGCACTGTTACTGGTATTGGGACAAAATCATCTATTTTTGGAAGAAAATACAGTGGATCCAGAAAGTATACATAGCGCTTCACTTTTTCCACATTTTTTCATGTCACAGCCTTATTCCAAAATTAATTCAATTCATTTATTTCCCCATAATGTGGGTAAAATAATGTTAACACCCCATAATGACAAAGTGAACAAGGAGTTTTTGAAATTGTTGCAAATTTATTTAAAATAAAAAAGCTGAAAAATCACATGTACAGAAGTATTCACAGCCTGTGCCGTGAAGCTCTAAATTGAGCTCAGGTACATTCTGTTTCCACTGATCATTATTGAGATGTTTCAGCAGCTAAATTTGAGTTCACCTGTGGTAAATCAAGTTAATTGGACATGATTTGAAAAGGCATACACCTGTCTATATAAGGTCCCAGGGTTGACAGTGCATGTCAAAGCACAAACCAAGTATGAAGACCAATGAATTGTCAGTGGACCTCTGAGACAGGATTGTCTTGAGGCACAAGGCTGGAGAAGGTTACAAAAAAATTTCTGCTGCTCTGAAAGTTCCAATGAGCACAGTGGCCTTCATCATCTATAAGTGGAAGATGTTTGGAACCACCAGGACTCTTCCTAGAGTTGGCCGACCATCTAAGCTGAGTGATCGGGGGAGAAGGGTCTTAGTCAGTGAGGCGATTAGTAACTCAATGGTCACTCTTTCTGAGCTCCAGCAATCTTCTGTGGAGAGAGGAGAACCTTACAGAAGAACAACCATCTGTGCAACAATTCTGCATGATAGAGTTGCCAGACGGAAACCACTCCCCACCTGGAATTTACCAAAAGGCATCTGAAGGACTCTCAGACCATAAGAAACAAATATATGTCCTTGAGTGGCCCAGCCAGAGCCCAGACCTAAATCCTGATGAACATCTCTGGAGAGATCTGAAAAGGCTGCACATCGTTGATTCCCATCCAACCTGATAGAAAGGTACTGCAAAGATGAATGACCACAAATTCCCAAAGACAGGTGTGCTAACCTTGTGGCATCATCCTTAAAAATACTTGAGGCAGTAATTGCTGCCAAAGGTGCATCAACAAAGTATTAAGAAAAGGCTGTGAATCCTTCTGTACATGTGATTTTTCAGGTTTTTTATTTTTAATAAATTTGCAACAATTTAAAAAAAATTTTTCTTCACATTGTCATTATGGTGTATTGTGTGTAGAATTTTGAGGAAGTTTATATATATATATATATATATATATATATATATATATATATATATATATATATATATATATATATATATATATATGAACTTAATCAAAATTCTTAGTTAGAAAGTTAGAAAATTTTGAAAATAATATATATTTTTCATGGTCTGTTAAAATTCCTGATTCTACTATAAAAAAAAAAAAAAAAAAAAAAAAAAACATAACCATAGCAACTAGAATAGAATATTTGCTGGAGGCTCCATTTCTCTGTAGTGCGAATGCACATGTTCTTAAATGTGTTCAACAGCCCCTAAACACCGCCTGCTCTCCACTGCTGAGCTCATTCATCAGCCCAGCAGCTGGAGAGACTCATGTAAACTTTTGACATGGATAATCTTAGACCATGTCCACATGTTTTTTTATAAGAAGTTTTCCCCGTTTATCTGTCCACATGAAAAATCAAAAAGGCATTGTGATGTATGTTAAGGGCAAGCTAAACCTACAGGCAGAGATAATGACACCTGTCCAAATGGGAGACTAAGTATTTTTGCTAGTAAATTGCATACAAGTCAGTGCAAATGTGAGAACAGATGTGGTATAAGGTCTTGAGGTGCAAATGATGCAGAATACAGAATGTGTGTGCCATGAATATGTCGAACCCAGCTTCGTTGGCCAATCAGAAAGGTGAAAACATCGCACACACTGATGTCACAAGTTGAAAACTCCAGTTGCAGGATCCACATGACCACACTGTACCAAGAGTTTCAGAAAATCTCGACCCCGGCTGGAGTTTTCAGAAATTTTTGATTTCATTAACTCAATACTGCATTTTTGTGTGGAAAATTAGCAATACCGTGAAGAAATAAAATGCTGTTTTGAAAATACCCATGTTTGAGTGGACAGGGTCTTAGGTTTTATATTAAAGGTGATAAGACTCAGTAGAATATTGCCTTTGATTATAAACTTTTTCTTTTGCAAAAACAAATACAGTAGGTAATTGCAAATTAGATTTCTGGTATTGGATCGCTTACTTCTCTTCAAACACATTTTGCATGAATGAAATTGTACGAATTAGCCACTTTTGAAACACATTAGGAAAAAGATAAAGAATTGAGGAAACCAGTCTCACTTTAGGAGGTTGTTCAATCTCAGGAAGACGGATCCAGGGTCCGCGGTCGTCTCTCATTGGCCGGGACTGAGGGGCAGGAGTCTCTGAGGTGGGGTCAGAGTTTTGACGGACTAGTTCTCTGGAGTGTAGAGGACGAGGTGTGGGTGTGGGTGAGGGGTCCTGGGTGGGGAAGGCGGACATGGTCTTAGTGGGCTGATCACAAAGAGACTGAGAGCGAGGGACTGGAGCGGCGTATGGTTTTAACGGCACTAGATGGGCCATCTGGAACTACGGCAAATAGAGGGGGCGGACATGACATACGTCAAAGAAATCCAAAAAGGAAAGTGAGAGGGTGGGGAGGTTTTTAATAGAAGAGGCAAGTTATGAGTTTGTTTTAGAGAGTGGAAATAAGTACAGGCAGTTTAGTAGAAGTTTAAATGTGAGTGTGACATGCGGAGAAGGGAAACAGGCCACCGGGGTTGGGCAGCAGAAAAATGCAGAAGATCCAGCGCAGGATATGCAAGAGAAGAGGATGTTCCCCAAATGATGGAGGATTACACAGGAAGTGAGTGGGCCCACAGGAAAGAAAGAAAAGAAAAAAGAAATCATTGAAGAGAGAGTAAAGTGTTAGCCAGAGCATGCAGCATTAAAAAAATAAATGATGGCAGCCTACTGCTAATCACTTTTGATGATTAGTCTTGATGAAGTCTTTTACTATTCATTTTTAAATATTTTACCTAGTTTTAAATGAAATACCATTACTGACAATGCATTTATCAAAATAAACTACGAATCAACATTTGCTGAGAGAATATTTTTTTTAAGTTTTGGAGACTTTTTTCCAGAAACACTTATAAAACGAATCCAAAATGACATTTATCATGTTACAAGATAATTCTATTTCGAATAAATGCTGTTTGGTTGAACTTTAGCAAAGCACTGTAAAAAACAGAATCATGATTCCAACAAAAATTATTGATGCTATTTTAAAGGTGCAGTAGGTGATTGTCTTTAGAAACATTTTTTTTTTGTTGCGCTGGTTGAAAGTCTCTTGACATTCCAATAGTAATGATTACAGTAAGAGATCTAAATGTGTTTATATGTATTTTTAAATTATGGGTAAGGCATAAGATTAAAAAAATTTTTATTTAATCAAAAATTGTCAGGCCAATAATTCACATAATTCTGATAAGTATCCCAAACTGTCTGTCAACAAATGTAGACTGGTACAACTGCGCACCTCTGTTCACGCAGATCTGCCCATTGCGCATGTACATGTGCTGCGTTCGCGGGAGTGATAGCAGCAAAAACAAATGCTGAATCAAAACTTTTTAAAATCCTGAACCAATATTGGAGTTACTTTTGCACGTTGGAGGAAGGACGACACCATGACTGAAGTATTTCTTTCAGACAAGTAAAAAAAATAGTGTTGATTTTGTTGTTATGAATGGGTTATATGCACAGAAGGGTTGTTCAGCCACTGAAATCCTCCAGCAAAAGATTGATGTGACTAATTTTTGTATCATAAGGGACCTTTTACAACATCAATAATGTAGATTTTTATTTAGTTTAACAACAAAACATCAGTAAACATCGCTATTCTGCCTAGCCTGCTCTATTGAGGTGAAGTTGCTTTTATATTTACATTGGTTCATATTTGAACAACCTGTGACGAGCTCCCTATATTGTTCACCGTGCCACTCTGAATATTCGGTCTAAAACAGCATGCAAGTATGACTTAGTAATAAGTGTAATTTCTGCACGCTGCTAGCCAACCACGAAGAAATGGGTTGCACTGTATTTTACTGTACTACTGTACTGTGCACTTACCTATGAAATTACTGGGTTATGTAAGGTAACTACATGGGTTAAGGTTAGGTTCAGGGGTGGGTTTAGGGTTAGTACATAGTTATTAGACAGTAAATGTAATGTCCATGATAAGTTAATTGTATTTACGTGCAAAAACCGCACTGTTAAACAAAATGCAACCCTGAAATGAGGGACACAGAACTTTTTGATTCCTCAATTCTTTTTTTAAAACTAATAATAATAGATTAAACGGTCAAAATATTTGCACTGACACCCCTAATAATTGCATCACTTTTCTGGAGATTCAATCAAATTCCTTGATTTTCAAAGGGAATGAAATGACTTGCACACCTTTCCCTGTCCACCCTGCGGCTCCACAGGTCTCTGCATGGGCGGCGTCTGCGCAGCTCCTGATTGGTTGATTGACTCAGAGCGGGATTGAATATTAGTGTCAGAGACCGTGGTGCAGATTTTGGGAGAGCCCTGTCTGTTCAGCTTACTGCGCTCCTCGACCTGAGGAACAAAGCAGGACAAATTGATTTTGAGGCTTCAGTTTATGGCCCATTTCCACTGAGTGGTATGGTATGGTACACTTTTATGCCCGTTTCCACCGTCAAAAAATAACAAAAAATTAACCGTACCATACCACTTTTAGGGTACCCTTTGCAAAGGGTACCAAGCACAACAAATGGGTACCAAAAGGCAGAGCTAGCTGAACGCTACTGGTTTACAGAAATAGGTCACTCGCTCATGGACAAGCAGAAGAATGAAAACAAAAGAATGAATATGTTTTAAATACACAGCCGAGACATTACATTTATTAATGAGCCATGGTTGACTCAAGCGTACACGAACCATCATCGTCTTGATGAAAAGCCACAAAGCCAAGAAGAACAAAGTCTGCTGTCCTCTTGTTGTTTTACGAGCATGCTAAAAAAGTGAGCCGTTTCACTTTCTCCATAGCAGCTCGCGATCTTGTCTATATTTAAAATATTTAAAGTTTCGAACTTCTTGAGCTGATGATAAAAACATGCGCATGATTATTGAAGTGCCTCTGATATCTGATCCTTTCAGAAACAGACAAACGCAAGAGTGAAGCGTGAAAAAACAAAGGAGAAGCCAGAAAAACAAAGGGGCAAATGATTCTTTCAGCAAACTAATACCTGAACAAACTGCCATGTTCAACTATTATCATCACCTTTTGGACTATTATGAACTCAGAAAGACAAACTAACATTTATAACTAACTATTCTAACAGAGGTTACATGTGCTGGTGAAGATTAAAGACACAGATGAGAGGTTTGCACTGACTGTGCTATATTTCGTCTTGTTTTTGAACCCAAATAAAAACGAAATAAATGTGTGTAGTTTACTGTAATTGGTAACATATCGCAGACTGTAAGGGTCTGTATATGTTGCATTTACTTATTTTTGTTCATATAATTGCTGATATTGCAGTAGGCTATTTAGCTATTTATCATTGATCTGCAATTAAAATCATACCATTGGTACCATTTTGGCAGTGGATATGCAAGCCTAATAAAGGTCACCCGTACTGTACTATACCACTTAGTGGAAATGGACTATTAGAGCGCTTTTACCCTCAGTGGGGTGAGAGCGTACCTCTCTAGCCCAGGCTGGTTTGTTGTTCTCTAGGTTCTTGCTGTAGTGATACATCTGTGGTTTCTTGTCTTGCTGCTGCTGCTGTTGCTGTAGAGAGACCAGATACGCATGTTCCTGCTGTAACTGCCTCTGAAGCCTCTCTGACTGTCTCTGCTCCTCCAGCTGTTTACGCTTATACTCCTACACACACATGAACAAACAATTAATAAGTCATTAAGCAGCGAGATACACTGCACTGTGTTGTTTGCAGGTGGAAAAAAGGACTGCACAGTCAACATGCATACACATATATACACATAAACGTAGAACGTACCCCTTCACAACATGCAATCGAACAATTGTGTATTAAAGGAATAGTTCACAAAGGAAGATAGACTGAAGCCATTGTCATCCATAATATTATTTTTTTCCAAAATCTTTAGAATATCTTAAGTTTTTAGAATTGCTTGAGAGTGAGTAAATGAGGAAATTGTCATTTTTGGGTGAACTATCCCTTTAGTGAATTATTACACACACAGAAAACGTAATTATTTGAGTTTTACATTATATATATATAAGATCATAGCTCACATTTACTGAAGAGTCTGAGCAGTGTTTATTGTACAACTGAACGACAAAAGCAAAACATTTGTCTTAGCTGTACGATTCTTCTTCAGTGTAGTGGGTATACAGTAATTATTGTGTATAATTATGTCATATTGCATTTTGATTTTATCCCAAATTAACAAATAAACAAATCCACACATTTTAAATGATAAAAATCACCCACTTTATACTGAATAAAACACAAAAACACATACGCAGAGGATTGTAAAGAAGTCAAGTTTGATGAGTCTCACTTTAGCAATGATTCTCCTGCTTTAGAATAGGGGTCTTAATTTATCTTTATATTGTAAGTTGCTGTTGTAAAAAAAATCTAATGTTTGGGTCAGCAATGTACTTTTAGTGAATAAAATATGTATGTATACTACCCCCCCCCCCTTTTTTATGTTATGTTATGTTGTTTGGATATTGTGTAAGTTCTGTTTTGTTTTTGTATTCTAGTGTTAATATTTTGTGATTGTGATTAATTGTGGGACCCCCTTGAAATAGAGATGGTACATCTCAAGGGGTTTATCCTAATAAATAAATATAAAATATCAAGAATGCACTGGTCAAGAGTGACAGAAAATACATGTTACATAACCTCTGTAATTCATATGAATGTTACCTTTTCACAGTTTTATTAACATCAGTGGTTTAAAGTTACAAACTACAAATACTCAAATGTTTGTAATTGAGTAGTTTTTTTTTCTTAGAAATTGTAATTTACTAAGTAATTTTAAAAATGTGTACTTTTACTTTCCCTTGAGTATATTTTAGTACAGTATTGGTACTTTTATTCCACTTCTTTCCTTCAACCTGCAGTCACTACTTTACTTTTTTTTGTCTACAGGAATTAGAAAACGTCCAACCTAAAAGCAACCAAATATCAATGTCATTTGACATAGTTATTGGGCATCAAAATAACGTTGTCCTTAGACGCTGACTACACCTTGAATTTTGGCCACCTGACATCACATCTTAAATCCAATCTAATATTAACATCTTATGAAGTTGTGTGCCTGCTGAGCAAGAACTAAATGCACTACAGAATGTTACAATTACACACATCCACAAATTACATGTCAATGCATCAGCTTTTTACAGCATAATACTCACTACTCTAGAGTACTTTTAAAAGATCTACTTTTTACTCATACTTTGAATAATATTCACAACAGATATTTTTACTCGCACTACATTTTTATTCAAGTAATGCTTTTAGTTGTATGACTTTTCAGTACTCTTTCCACCATTGATTAACGATTAAACTAACACAAAATCAGCATGTCAAGTTAATTTCAGATTAAAGACTGAAGTAATGGCCACCTAAAAATGAGATTTGTCATTATTGAATACAAATCTGATTTATTTAACAAACATTGAAAATGTTCAACTTTAATTTGTAATAATATGTCACAATATTACTACTGAATTGTATACAAATGTGGTGCTGGTAGAAAGATTTTTCCCCAAATCTTTCAATCTGTAGTCAATGGGGTATATGCCAAACTAGTGTGTTTCCCATACTGATAAACTTCTGGTGACCTGTTATTGTGAGTTTTTTTTACATTTTATACCGTTCCTTTAACAGCATCGATGTTGTAATGTAATTCAAATACAATCAGTTAAACAGACTTTGGCAATTATTTAGTTGCTCAAGCGTAAAACTAGACAAAAAGCCGCTTGCTCGCACGCACACATCAGAATCGCAGGCTAGCGCAGAAGCTCCATTGAATATACTGGGGTAAAATAAATGCTCATATTATAAAGACATGGCAGGGATAATGTAATTTATTGCAGTGCTTCTTGTACAATTTGAGACCCACTTTATATCGCATATCACTCAGCCAGTGGAGATCGCTTATTTTTAAAGAAAACAGACATTAAATGCACCGATTTTGCATTGGCATACAATTTACCGGAAACAATTAACCCAGGTAACTGGCAAATTAAAAGTCCTATTAGCATGCTTCGGCATATACCCTATATTCAGCTTCATATGATTAAAATTCCATTCTTGATTTGAAAATGATTGAACATTTACATAATACAATAATATTCTCATTTTGAAGACTTTTAGCTTCATTTTTAACCATGGCTAAATTTAACATAATGCTATATTTTATATCTCACAACTTTATTTATTAAATCCAAAATTAACTGTTTTCTGTAGTCATATGATAGCTCCAAGAAAGGAGGTCATATGAAGCACCTTTCAGAGCAATCACAAATAAGAGATTTTGTTTTATACTGATTACTTTGCAAGTTTAGTTTTAATGCTTGTTTACAAGTTGAAGTCTCAATTCAGTTATTTACTAATTTAAGTTATTTAACTATCTATTAATTTAAGTTAATTTAATTTAAGTCAATAATCAATGCCAAATTGTATACAAATTATCAAAGTATACAAATGTGGTGCTTCTTTCAATCTGTAGTCAATGATCAGCTTCATATGAAAAAACTTTTTTTTTTTTACTTGTGAAAATGCTAGAACATTTGCATAATACTTATTTTGTTCTCATTTGGAAGACTTTAAGCTTTAATTTTAGCCTTGGCTAAATTTAACATAATACTATAGTTTAGATCTCATAAGTTTATTTCTTATATCCAAAAATGTCTTCTGAAGTCATATGATAGCTCCAAGAAAAAAGGTCATATGAAGCACATTTCAGAGCGATCACAAATAAGAGATACAGTAAAAATATAAATGTAATATAAATATATTGGTTTATACTGATTACTTGGCAAATTTAATTTTAATACTCGTTTAGTTAAAGTCCCAAATCAGTTATCTACTATTTTAAGTCAATAACAAAAGCCAAAGTGTATAGAATTTATTAAAGTATACAAATGTAGTGCTGGAGGGAAGATTTTTCCCAAAATCTTTCAATCTGTAGTCAATTTTGAGCTTCATATGACTGAACTTGCATACTTGACTTGAAATGCTTGTATAGTAATTTGCATAATACTTCTCATTTGGAAGACTTTAAGCTTCAATTTTAGCCTTTTATATTTTATCTCTCATATCTTTTTATCTTAACCATTTAATTGCCTGCTCTACCAAACGGTTGACCGTGTTTATATAGTTTTGAATAACTGTTAAAGTCTTTTAAAGACAAACAAACATAATCCTGGTGCACTACTACACTTGATTTTGGTTTTACTGAAAAAACAACATCAAGAAAATATGTTAAATGAGAATGTGAGATATTTTATGGCATACTTTACAATATAAAGATGATTTAGTGTTCAAAAATGTTTTATTTTGAATTTGTATTTTTTAATTAATTGTTCTTCCACTTTATGTTTCCAAATTTTTCATAGTATAATTTTTAATTCCTGTACCAGAAACTGGCATGTCAACCGTTATATATATATATATATAAAATAAAGAATAAATGAAGACCCCATTTCAGAAGATTTCAAGACAATCCTTACAAGCGGAGTCTAATGGCCTTGTATGATGAGACACACCAAAGGACCGAGCAGACCAGAGCAAAGCAACAGAGGGGAGTGAAAGAAAGCAGTGTTTACCATTAGCAATGCCTGCTCCTGCAGTAATTGCTGCTGCAGTATCTCTAACTGCCGCTGCTCTTCCTCCAACTTATGTCTTATAAACTCCTACAGAGAGAGAGGGATGGAGACAGAGAGAGAGAGAGAGAGAGAGAGAGAAACAGGGAGCAGTGAAGGAGGAGGAAGAGACAGATCAGAATAGACTCAGAAGGATGAAATAAAAAAAGCTATTTGGGAGAGCGGACAGATGCACCTGTCTGTAGAGCCTCTGAAGATGGAGGCAGACATTTTAACATAGTGTTTCTGATGGGCTTTTTAAAATGGCTGAAGACACCTTAACAGAGCAGATTTCTCTTCACTAGCTCTGGTGGAGTTGTAACATCACACCGCCTCGATGATCTTAAAATGGCGAGTGTTTACAAGTGGTTTCAGTCACTGTGTTGCGTATTCATGTGTCTCTACAGTCGTTTAAACTAAAAGAAGTGTCATTTACATGTGACTTGGCTTTGAAGAGAGTGTCCTGTGGCATATTGTGCACTAATTCATGCTGATTGGTCTTTTGTGTTTCTGTCAGTTCGAATTGAATTGAATGTAGGGCTGCACACGCTTCTCTCCCACACACACACACACACACACACACACACACACACGCACACACGTACACGCACACTGCTGCCATGGCAACCACTCCACAGACATTCCAGGGCCAAAGCTGTGCTGAGTGGAACACCCACGCTTGGTTGTGATTGGATGGCTGCCTGCAGTTCTGTGGCTATGATTGGTCAGCTGTCTGCGGTTGCGTGGCTGTGATTGGTTACCTGCTCTCTCTCTGCCAACCTCCTGTCCTCCTCTCGTCTCATGTCATCGAGTCTCCGGTGAGGAGCTTTATCCTGTTGTTGCCGCACCATCTCTCTCTCCTTCCTCTGTTGCTGTGTGTGAGAGAGAGAGAGATTGAGAGAGTGAGTCACTTTAACATATTTGGCTGAAATAATGAGAGCCTTCCTGCTGCTAAAAATCAGCCAGTGCTTTTTAGAGGGGAAATTAAAGGGGAAGAGAATGAGGAGCCGGGGAAAAACACTGAAAGTGTAAGTGACGAAGACATTGGGCACCATTCTCGAGAGAAAGAGAGAGAGAGAATAGTGAGATTGGTGAGTCAGTGCACTGCGGTGCTGCATTCAGTGGGATAGTGGCTAGATGGTGCTAGCATCCCTATTCACAGAAGCTGCTTTATTTTACAGTATAATAATTCACTTCAATTGAACTGTCCACTGACAGCAGGACAAAGGCATGGATTACAAATGGTATTAAGATGCTTTTCAGTTAATAGGATCACAAGCGGACAGGGGAGACATGATCTGGTTTACACCTGGTGTTTAAACACGTCTCTTTTGTCCATTTTCAACAACTTTTTTGATGAGAGCAGGTGCAACTGTATTGGCTTCTCTTGTCTTTCAATCTAATAGCGCACATGTTTGCCAATTTTTTTCAACTGTAAAAATTTTTTTTTAAAGTACCAAATTAATTAAACAAGCTTTATGAATGGGCTAGTTCGGGGATTCTCAACCGGTGGACCTCAGCGATCTTGCAGGAGGGTCGAGAGCTTAAAAAAATTATAGTATAATATTGAGAGTTAAGTTTATTTAATTATTAATAGCTATATTAAAATGATCAAAGTAGCGCACTTTCTCCTGTTCTCTGATTGATTACTTCAAACTTAGCACAAAAACAGCCTCATGATCTCATCTAGTCCACGCAAGTCTGTTCATTCACAAAAGTATGCATGAAGTGAAAGTAAAAGTCTCTTTTTGTGTATTTCTGTGTGATCTATTTAATATATTCGCATAGTTGTCCAAACTATTGTCCTGTAAGTGTTTTATAATTGATGTGCAACAATACCTCCAATACAGGAGGATCTAGCAAGGCTCAATAGGGTTTCTGCCATAGAAGGTAAAATAAACTTGCATTCAACATTCAGACACTCTCTGGCGGAGCTGTTCACTGTTCCCGTCAGCGATCTCCCAATTATACCTAGCTGCAAACTCAACCGCCATCAGATTGACGCGTTTCAACGGGTGTTTTACATTTGTCTATATATTTTTGAATAGTAGATGTTTAATAGTAGATATTCAGTCAGTCCAGTTTAAAGCAGAAGCTGGTCTAGTTTTATATATGATTAAATTTAAATAAGATTATCTATTTTTTATACTATGCTGTTAATAGAAATTAATAGAAGGCACAACAAATGTATTATATATATATAGGTGGGTCTTCAAAAATTGATTTGAGAAAAAAGTTGGCCCTGAAGTGAAAAAGGTTAAGAACCCCTGGGCTTGTTTATGCACTGAGCAATGAAAATAAAGACAGGCCCCCCCATGTCCACTATTTCCAACGAAATTATTTAATTATTTATTATTATTTTATTTTATTAAATTTATTAACAGAACAGTAGCTATGTTTTTTTTCCAAAGATGCAAATTAAATGTATGCGCAAAACTGGAATATCGCATAAAAGACGTGTGAATAAAGCAGCGTTTCCATCCAATCAAAGTCAAAGTGAACAAACTTGTCACTTCCTAATTAACCAGTGCCAATTATCCAAAGTAAAAACGTAATTTGCTGAAAGGAGAAGCTGCATGAATCTTTTCCTCATTTAATAAATGACTTGCGCCTCAGAAGACAATACCGACATACAATGAACGCTTTTTACTGTTCTGGAGGTAATTAATAATATGATAACACTAATATTGGCATTTTAGAATGACCAGAGCAACATTTCAGATGTTTTACAAACATTTTTTTAAAATCCCACGATCTCTTATAACAAAATCACATGGCTTTTTTTGTGTGCATATTGGAATTTGTTTGGAAAGTGTTTCCATCGTAGTTTATGCACATCTTTTCTTATACAATAAGAAAATCCTATCTTATCCTACTCAGTTATGCGCATATGTTTTTATGTGTATTTTCAAAATGTATACGCATTTTCAAAATGTATACGCATCTTGCCATTTCCACCAACCATTTTTTTTCCCAAAATGTGCATAAAATAGGTCGATGGAAACATGGCTTGTGACTTTATTCAATGATATTCTAATCACAAAACTGTATCTCTCATGAAGAAACACTGATTTAATGTAACAAAGCTTATATTTTATTAAAGGTCCTGAGATGTGTTTTGAAATATGCGTTTTTATTCAATGTTTGACAATCTCAATCATAACACAAAAAGAGTGTGGGACAGTGTAGCTCCTCCCCTTTTATAAAAAAAAAAACAGCCAATAGTCTTTTGTTTTATCACAGCTCTGCCAGTAAGAGTGGTTGAACTCAAGCGCATCAAATGAAATGCAAATGAAAAGCGTCTTGAAAGGGGCGGGGCATATCAGATACTAGTGAGCATTTCATTGGTCAAGATTTGATTAGAAGCTATAGTGTGAGGTGACGTGAATAAAACCGTTGATCCAGATGGGCGAAAGTGCTAAAGTACAAGCGTTACATGTTTATATAAGTTTTATGTCTTCTAAACGCAAATTTTGTCATTGTTTTAGAGCACACTAGCTAGATATCCTAAAAATGAATAATACTGATAAACATCTAAAAACCTTTATTTTAATTTAATGGGACCTTTATTAGACATAACCAGCCTCTGACTATTATAACCAGACTATTTTTCTAGAGTCATTTTCAAAAGCCTCTAATTTGGCTTAAAATCTTAGGTGAAACATTTTTCCCTAAATTTTGGCCCTCAATACAAAATGGTGGATTACTCAGCAAATCCAAGATATTAATTATTTTTGTTTTTATCAGCATTTATATATTATATGTCATATTTATACAAGTACAAAAAATTTAAATCTAAACTATGTGCCAAAGAGATCTGACTCGGAATGACCCATGTTTGCTTTTTTCAGTATTTCAATACTCAGCTTAGTAGCCTCCAGCAAACATGTCTTGATCCCACATGGTCTTGATTTAATTAGCTTAGCTGCAAGGAGCATGACTGTGAGAATCTTTCCTAGCAATCATGAACACAATGAGCAACAATACTCAGTACATATCAAATACACACACTCCTTTGTGCTATAGCCTCTTCATCACCTTGTGATGTTCAAGTTGCCTGCGATCATCACGATACCCTGTGATGTGACAACCACTGTGTCCTTCCACAGTCATGCAGTGACAATGACCGCTTGCACTAATTTAATTAAAAGTTTGACATTAGTATAAAGGCTTCTCAGTCGTTCAGCTGGTTTCCCTCTCTCAAATTCACCTCCACGTACCTCATGACATTCCACAGATACCACCCTGAGTTCACTCTAATGAAGAGAGAGCAGCTCCAGATAAGAGAAAAATGTTGAGCACTTCAACAAACACTGCTGTAAAACTTTCCGCTGTGATGTATGCCTTTTAAAACATGGCATGTTCTCGATTGATCTTCTCATACAAACTTTAAGCTCTGTCAGTGGGGTGCTATGAAGTTCAGGCCAACTTTAATAGCCAGGATGATAGATTCTAAAATACTAAAACGACAAGATCATTCAACAACAACAATCTTGTTCTTATATTGTTACTTGTCATTAGGAGTAAGAGTTATGACCAAGTTTATATCACGGTAACAATATATTTCACGACAGAGTTGTTTATGCTGGTAGTTATTCCAGAAAAATCAACAAAAAATTCAGATAAATAGAGACCCTTAAATTAAAGACCCTGAATATTTCAGAAATGAAAAGGTCTTTTATTTGGACCTTGTTAAATATAGTAGGGATGAACAATAATGTATTTTTCCAAGACTTTTTGGTTTTTCCTTTTCTGTTTGTGTGTTTATGTACAAAGTGTTTGAGTAAGGTTTGAGATTTTTATTTCTCAGTAAGTATTAGCTTTGGGGTTGGTAAAAATATCGAATTTGGTACCAATCGATGCTGAAATTTAAAAAATGTTGATATCCCGCTAACATCGGAGTGCTGTTGAGCATGTTGTTAAAGGGTCACAAAACACCAAAACACATTTTTTTGGGCTGTTGACAGTCGTATGTGTGTCCCACACTGCTAACAACACTATTAGGACACATATATCTCACTAAAAAGTGAAAATTGGTTGTTATTTCGAGCAAATCTGTACTTCCGGTTTGAAACAAATTTTTGAAGCTGCGTCACAGCCATGAGATCTTGGCTGTGTATTCCAGCATTTATACTGGACGTCTGTACCTGGAAGTACCTCATGACATCTCTGAGTGTGCTGCATTCATTCATGAGTAAGACTTGGTTCAAACCAATCAGCACGCTCTATTGTGTATGCGGTGCAACTTGATTAATATGCATGATAGCTTCGAAGACTTTTTTTACCTGTTACAGTGTTCAGACGGTAGATAGACGCCATGTTGTGTTGCAAGTGGGTGAACAAGAATAGTTTGGAGATACAGGTCATCAGTGCTGCTTTTATAATTTGCTGCAGTGAAGGTTTAGTTTTCATTTTCCCTTTATGAGAGCCCAGCTGGACTCACGTGTGGATTACAGTGCAAGCTACTCTCGACAGAAATACGTGTCTAAGGAACATTGTTTACCTGAGAGCTTTTCTTATCTGCAATAGTGTAATCTGGATTTACCTCTAGTCTCCTTTTAATAAAAACGCAGCTCCAGTTGGTGTTAATTGTCCTGTCTCACACACAGATTTGGTAAGTAAGCGATCATTGGTCTTTGTTTGTTTATTCATAGGCAAAGTTAGTTCGTATCGTCAGCAGTACTCTTTCCATGTTTAAAGATGGACCTTTGTCAAATGATTTCTAAGTTAATAAAGCTTACATTACGTTAATATCACTACAATTTGGACTGAAAAATCTGCTGTAAATGCTGCTCTCCGAGTGTAAACATGTAAGCCACACAATCAAACTTACCGTGGTGTAGGATTTTTTACCGCATTTTTTGACAGGACTAACACACACAGCATTCTGACACTACCTACTGAGTGCATCTAAGTTACAGAGAAAAGCTGAGGTTTTTTTTTATTTCATTCGCCGTGCAGTAACAAACATTGCATGAAAAATAATTGCTTCCAGCAGTTCCTCGAATCAAATATCTTGTTTGTCACGAGGGCCATGAATGAAATTCCTGAATGAAATAGCCAAACTGCAGTTAAAGTTGACAAAGTAATAACTCGGCAAATAATTTGATAACTGATGTCCATGTAAACACAGTCACTGTCTTTCTCCTCTGCATTTTTGTTTGTTTTGCCTCTGTGAAAATCAGCATGTGCCCAAACCGACACTCCCATTATTATGCAAATTTTTTACAGACCTTCCCTTTTTCCCTCCTCCGACACTCCCCCCTAAACAGAGATGGACATGCCCACTTTCCTGACTTTTTCCAAAGTAGAGGTGTGAAAACACCCTGCTGAAACAAGAGGGTTTCATGGCTCTTTAAACCCTGTTGATTGGCCATTGTTCACAACATTAGAGTATTTCAAAGCTGCGTAGATCAGTTAATCCATCAGCGGATCGCTCGTATATCAGCTCATAAAGAGACAAGCGGATTGATGTGACTGAAATGCTTCAGTGTCCGTATATCTGTGTTGGCACTCGATGAACAGTGGTGAAAAATGGTGAACACAATGGCCAATTATTTACTGTGATGCCACAGTAAATAAGTCAATATTTTTTCTTATATTCAGAGCAACTTATTAAAGTACACTAAGCATTTTATGAAGTAACTTGATGCTATTGTTGTATTTTACATGTTATTTATTTATTTATTTTCATTTTCCTAATGTAAGGTTTGTAGCAAACCCTATGAATCAGCCATCCTAAAAGTGGGCATTAGGGCTTGTGGGAGGCTACCAGAGTCTGTAGCGCTACATAAGATACCATTTAATTTATTGTACACAGAGTTATTCTGTTGTTACATTTAAGTCCGTAATCCAAAGCAGTTATTTTAAATCACAGGTAAAAGTTCACCTCAGATTGATGGCCTAATCTTACAATGAGCACTCTGATCAGAACTTCCCTGTCTCAGGCATACTGGATGTGAATTAATCACACCCAGTCACATGTCATGGTATACATGGAATAAAAAAAATCTATTACAGTTGCACAGTAACAATATATACATTATACCGCCCAGCCATACTTAACATAACATAGTCATAACATAAACCAGTATCACCTTCTTTTTGTTCTGCAGAACAAAGAGAGTGTACTGCTCACTTTTGTATGCATGTAATGCAAAGAAACCTCCTAAAGCTGTTCATTTTCAGGAAGGTTGCAAAAAGAATCATAAAGGTATTATGTAATTGGTTCATAGGGCTTGTCTTCTGAAGTCATATGATAGCTCCAAGAAAGGAGGTCATATGAAGCACCATTCAGAGAGATAAATAGATAAATATACATGGAACAAATATTTTGGTTATTTTTGGATTGCCATTATTTTGGGAAACAATTACAAAAAAAAATTGACTTTTAATGCTTGTTTACTAGCCGAAGTCTTAAATCAGTTACCTAATAATTAAAGTTATATCTCAAGCCAGCAATTTACTGGTCAATCAGTCTGATTTGGCAAGTAGTTTTACGAAGAAATATTTTACCTGACATTATTTTGGTTTAACACTCAAACAAAACAATTCATATATAAAAAAAATAAAATTGTGGCAAGTAGCTTTATTCAGAGATATTTTATGATTGGCATCATTTTGGGTGAACAATCGCAAAAATAAACAACTAAACTAAACAGGTTTCCTTCCTTCCTTCCTTCCATCTATCCATCCATCTATCATGTTTTACATGTTTGGCAGGTATGTTGGTGGATGAGGAGATTCCCCCTTATTGTGTAAAGCGCTTTGAGTGCCCAGAAAAGCGCTATATAAATGTAAGGAATTATTTTTTATTATTATAAGTAGGTTTATATATGTTATGATTGGATACTCATTTTCTTTGAGAAATCAGTGTAAGTTGGAGTACCTCCTCTAAGCGTCGCCTCTGCTCTTTCTGCTCCTCTATGCGCTTCTGCCGGTCGTGCAGCAGCTGGCGTTTATGCTCCTCAGGGTCTCTGCGCTGAGCGGCGAGCTGCGCCTGCTGTCTCTTTAAGGCCTCTGAACGCTCTTTATTTTCTTGCTGCAGCCGCAGGAAATCCCTCCGCAACGTCGACTCACCAGGAACATTCAAAATAGAGCTTCAGACAGACATAAACAAACGGAGGTACAGTCAGCTGACATAAACACAGTTTGGGCAGTGAAGACATGAAGTTCTGTGGTTTGCAAAGACGACTGCACATCCAATTCTCACAGTTACATCGAGGACATGTACTCGTGTGCAGCTGGTAAAAAGGATTGATCCATGTGGAGTAATATGATTATGTTTTAATGGAATCTTCTGTGCACATTATTGGAAACATCTATGCGCATAAAACACTACCCTAAACATATCCATTAAGGGTGAAGGGTGTAATTGCTGCCCCAAAGCATCAAGTATAATTGCAAAACTAATGATTGTTTTAAAATAGCACGTGTCATGTTTTGACAAGGACGTCTCGTCTCCAACAAGCAAATGGTTTATTTGGTGTTGACTCAGTCAGACATGTACAGACAAGTCCAAAGTAAATCTAACCCCTAATAAGTCGTCACAAACTCTACACAAAAGTTGAATTTTCATCATTTAATTCATGCCTTAGATCAGTTTTGTTACACGTAAAATTACCCATGATTTTAAGTTTCAAGTAATATGCTACTTCAAGTCAAGTCTGTCCTAAGTAACATCATCAATTACTTCTATAGTCTATAAACAATGTTCTATAGTCTATAGAACGATCTACTTGTTTAAGTCAAGCCTCAAGCTGGTTATTGATTATCAACTAGAGGATTTAAAGGATTTATTTTTATCAATTAAATGAAGTACTGACTATTATAAATCCAGTCAATTATTATTTGATAATCAAAATAGCTACAGTACATGTTTAGATAAGACCTATTAGTTATTAGTTCTTCATGTAGTTTAGTTATCTACAAGTAAAACTTCTCCAGTTAGTTATTTGCTAGCTTAAGTCAAGTCTCAAGTCAATCATCCGTGACACTATCCTCTACTTCAAGTATTTTGTCAATTATCTGTTGAAGTCAAGCCTCAAGCTGGTTATTGGTTATCAAGTATTTTAACTGATTGGTCAGTTCAGTTATCAACTTTTGCCAAGGCAATTCCTATCAAAGACTATAGAATGCACAAGACATGTCACTAATATAGTTTTGAATGGGGAAAAGTGTAGCGGTCAATATGGTGAATGAAACTGTGATGCATATATTCTGGGAATGTGACATGATTAAGACCTACTGGAAAGAAATTCACAAATCAGTTCAGACGATTATTGGTCAACCTTTGGCCCTATCTTTAGCAATTTATCTCCTGGACAGTAAAACTGCTCTACATCTTAGTCATGGACTAGAATCTGTGTTTACACATTTACGTATCTAGCAAGAAAACATATTCTTTTGTTGTGGTCCTCTCTTTTTTCGGTCAATATGTGGATAAGTCAGATTGCCATTTTCTTACCCTTAGAAAAATTGACTTACGACTTATTTATTTTTTGTTCATTTTACCCTTCGCAAAAGACTTGACGTTCAAGCCAATGGACAATTGTATAATAGACGGCTATATTATTGTATATGACGACATAAGACACCTATACCACTGTTCTGTCGTTGCAAATCTTTAAATAAATGTTTAATAATAAAAATAATAATAGTATTAATAATAAAAAAATATGGCAAATGAAGCCCCACCTCCTAGTACAGGTGCCAATCATCGATCGCTATAAACTGACTATTCTCCTGTGGAGAGGCTTGGATCAGATGTGAGTTTCTGCAGATTTTATGTGATTTGAACGTTTAGAAATAAAAATAAATAGACAGTTGATGTTTTGTTTTATTGGTGATTCCTAATATGAAAGTTAATTGTAAGCTTGGCAGGCAATTTTGGAGAATTTGACGTGGAGATCTGCACGGGACTAAATTTTAAATCCCACTCCCACCCGCACCAGTCAGGTTTTAGTCCGAACCCGACTGCTCCTGCTTATGTTCAGCATTCATTGTCCCGCTGCCCGACCCGATCCGTTTTTTTACTCGCCGCTCCCATTCCTGCTAATGGGCAGGGGGGAGAACAAACCGAAAACCACCCAACTATACAGAGTCCAGACAGCCTATAACATGCTGTCTGTATAAACACACACACACACACACACACACACACACACACACACACACACACACACACACACACACACACACACACACACACACACACACACACACACACACACACACACACACACACACACACACACACACACACACACACACAAACACAAACACAACAGCAGCAAAAAAGCTAAACGCAGCATCACGCTGTCTTATTCACACACACACATACGCATGCTCGCTTGCTCGGAAGTCGGGAGCGATATTGTCAGACCGCCCGCTCCCATCCAAAAATACACCAGTTACCGACCGCTCCCGAGGTTTATTCGGAAAGGTATTCCGGTGCCGAAAGTAATCTGGTCGGGTGCAGACCTCTAAAATTTGATCAATGTTCATGTTAGATGAAGATTATCAGTTGGTTTAAGTCTTGAGTCATTTATCTGCTAGTTCAATCAAGTATGACTCAGTTATTAACTAATTTTAGATAAAATTACTAGTTTAAGTCTCTAGTTAGCTATCTATTAGTTCAAGTCACAATTCTAGCAACATTTTAGCTGACTGTGCAACATCTCTTTCTCTATTGGAGGTGTCAGTGTCAGAATGGTTTAAAAAACACCATAGTATTAACTAGGGCTGCACGATTCTGGCTAAAATGAGAATCACATTTTTATTTTTATTTTGCTCAGAATAAAGATCACGATTTTCTCACAACTCTATAGTTGTTTAGTAAAGGTTAATATGAGTAGGCTATTTTTATTGTGATAAACAAACAGCTCACGGTCAGGTCACGTGTGATTTTGCAGCCGTGAATACATCATTAAATGAAAACAAATTAAATTCTTTGGTGACTTATACCCTATAAATACAGTATGAGGACTGTTCAATGCCATTAGGAATCTGACCATGCCCACATTGTTGAGCAACATATATAAAACAACAAGGACTTATGTGACCGCCTTTATGCTTCTCTACTGAACTTGAAGACATGAATGACTGAAGATCATATGGGAGGGTCGAATTGGTTGTTGTTAGATTGAATATGGCTGCGGCCAGAAGTTAATGAAAATTATTTGTATTTTTAAATTAAATTTCCCATTTTTTGTATTTTATTAACGTCTACCCCCACCCCAACCCTAAACCTAACCATCACAGTAATGTAACAACTGTAGTTGTATCAAGTATTATTTATGTTATCTAATAAATTACACAATAAATTGTATTTTTTACCTCCTACCCCCACCCCCAACCCTAAATCCAACCGCCACAGTAGTGTGAAAATATTAATAATTGTTATACAGTGTCATAAAAATGCAGCTATATTAATGTGCATATCGCACTTCCGGCCATCCGCATATATAATCTAGGCAATATCGGTAGAATTAAGATTTTGATCTTTTAATGATTAATTGTGCATCCCTAGTATTGACTATATCTTACTATAGTATATTTTCATGTATGTGTCTGACAACTGAAAATAGATCTAGTAGCAGATATCACAGCCTCTGTGACTTTTTACCTTGCACTTTTTTGTTAACATGTATTATTATTTATTTAGGAAAAGAATTTACACATTCTGATTTAAATGCCTAATTATTAAATGGTGCAAATGCCTATAATTAAATCAAATGAGCTTAAAAATGTGTTCTTTGGAAGAGTGTACTTGCATTCTGATGATACTCTGGCATTTTGTAATGAGAGACAATAAATGACAATAATTTCATTTATCGCATTATATTTTGGTGCAATATATCGTACAACAAAAATAGATATTGTGAAAGGTCTACTTACTGCTTAAGTTAGTAAGTTAACAAAAGGTCAATAAAACTGTAGTTGAAACCTTTTTAATGGGTGCTTCTGAGGTGTTGTGTCGGGTTGAGTAAACACAGATGCTGCCATGTTTACCTGGATTCTCTCTCATCTCCTCTGTTCTCATCCTCTTCATCACTGCCGCTGTACTCGTACTCTGTCTCCTCTGAAAGGAATCAAGACAAAATGCAAAGAAGAGATGCACAGAGTGAGAGGTGGGCAGTAAATAATGAGAATGGCTATTGGCATTAATATAAAATGGCTCAACACAGTCTATGCAGACAGTCTAAATCATCATTGCTCTTCCAAACGGATAGCGTATGAACTGTAATAACACTGCTGAAGGCTGCTGGGTGATGCTTCCATTTTTAGCTGTTCCTCATTCTCCATATCCAGAATAAAACATAATTCGAGCCCAGCTGTGCTATTCGATTACACTACTGGCCACAGATCTTGTGTTACTCTAAGCTACATGAATTATAGACAAGTGTCACATTGTGCTCCAAAGGTGAGATCTGATTGGATGGGGGATTAGTGACGTCTCTGCACAAAGAGTCTTTTAAACATTCTGAAATCTCTGATATGTAAACAAGTGGACACATTATAATTATAATTCAAAGATGAATAAAAAATACTTTAGAACATTACAAGTGAAAAACTATGTGCCTCAAACCCCATTGCTTTCTTGTTCTCATGAAAATCCTGTGACTATAAAATCCTGATAAAAAAAACAGGCCAAACGGAACAAAATACAGACTATGTCACTGGCCTATTAATACACACGCACCAGGCTGTGTTTGACTAGCCACAATAATTTCTATTGAGATTACAACAATTATATTTTCCTTATCTTTAAGTTTATCTAAGCTCGAATTTAACATACTATGTACAGTTTAAGATTATTAGCCCCCCTTTGAATTTTTTTTCTTTTTTAAATATTTCCTAAATGATGTTTAAAAGAGTAAAGAAATTTTCACAGTTTGACTGATAATATTTTTTCTTCTGGAGAAAGTTGTATTTGTTTTATTTCGGCTAGAATAAAAGCAGTTTTTAATTTTTTAAAAAACATTTTAAGGTCAAAATTATTAGCGCCTTGAAGCTATATTTTTTCCTGATAGTCTACAGAACAAACCATCGTTATACAATAACTTGCCTTATTACCATAACCTACCCTAATAAATCTAGTTAAGCCTTTAAATGTCACTTTAAGCTGTATAGAAGTGTCTTGAAAATATCTAGTAAAATATTATTTACTGCCATCATGACAAAGATAAAATAAATCAGCTATTAGAAATGAGTTATTAAAAGTATTATGTTTATGAATGAGATGAGAAAATCTTCTCTCCGTTAAACAGAAATTGGGGGAAAAAATAAACGGGGCTAATAATTCAGGGGGGCTAATAATTCTGACTTCAACTGTATGTAGGACTCTCTTTGAAAACCATAAAAGCAGGGAGACTAATAAGGTTCCGCGAAGCATGCAGCCATGGGTCTCATCTGTTCACAGTTCGTCAGAACTCTAAATGTGGGACATACGGGATATAGATGTTTTCAGTGCCACCTATAAGAGGCATAAGGTCTGTTTAAATCAGGGGTGCCCAAACTTTCTCTTATAAAAGGGCCAAAAACCAAACTTGATTGAGCGCCGTGGGCCGCAGCTAAATATGCCATTATATATTATATTTAATTTGCTCACTTGTTTGCTTATTATTTCAAAATAACTAGAAAAAGTTGCTTTAAAACATATTAAATGATGATGCAGTACAAATTTAAATCATTTTAAAATCAACTTATTATATTGAAAACATAAACAACTCCGTTTATAACACAATAGAGTTCAATACTGAATACACTAGCTGTGCTGCTCCTGCCTTTGCCTTCATTTGCTCACCGATGTCTTGTGCATTGTCTTCTGTTAAGTGACAGTATTTACATTTTAAAAGTCGATTCATTTGAAACATTTAATTTTAGTTCGCTTTTTTGTAGCTCCTCAATTGATCTGGGAAACAAAAGGGTATCCATTAAATTCGAAATGATGATCTCTGTAGATGGCATTCGCCCCAACCAACTCCATCATTTTCCCTCTCTTTTCAGATGGGATGGCGGGCAAAACTAAAGGTTAGCATGGGCTAACTTTGAGCATCACTAGTCTAAATGCATCTTTTGTTAATTTAACAAGTATATTGTGAAATTTGTTTCTAATGAGGCAACAAACACATGTAAACTGCGGAGTATGAGTGTTTAATGCAGGTTTATGCATTGCGTCATATCACTCAGCTCTTATTGTGATTTTTCTTGAATGAAAGGATGTCAATAAACTTTACTAAATTCATCTATTAATGAAGAGGTAGATGTTAATTCCTGCCTCTGTTTTCACATACATTTAATAGCCTCTGTTGTTTCCTTTTGTCAAGTATAATTATTATTTCATTCATGACACAACTCAAACTAGATTCGTGGCTTAAAAATGGCTCACTAATTCCTTCTAGCTAAAAAAACCTCTCTACCACTTCAGATGTAAAAATTGTTAACAAGGCGCACACTCAATTTTTAAATATTTTTTGACAAATGAAGTATGATTATTTTGAACGTTTCATTTCAGAGTACATCACGCAGTGTGTTTGTGTGTGTGAGAGAAAGAGAGCCGGCACCAAAATGAGCTCATTAATATTCACGATTGTTCCGAATATGGTCAAAACAGCCTTTCATTGTAAGGGTGTGGTTTTTGTGGGCTGCAGATCGACTATGTAGATATCAAAGAACAATTTAACACACTTAACCAAAACACTCTAAGGTAACTTTAAAGTCTTAGAGGAGATTCTGTGCTGATTCTGATAGCAAAACAGATCATCTCCTGGATCAATTGTCAAGCATTTGTTTTATTAAATGCTTGAAACTTCTGTGATTAAAGTTCTTTTGTTCTTATACACCGTTTATGATTATTTAACATGAAGACAACATGAAACAACACAAATGGACATACCTTTTTCGCCACGTTTCTTGCGTGTTCTGTCGATGTGATCTTTGAGCTGGATGCGGACTTGTCTTTCAGTGGGCTGATCTCTGATGAATGAGTGTTTCAGGAGCTGTTCAGTGGACGGACGATTCGGATATGACTTTACCAGACAGCCCTCGATGAAGTCAATGAACTTCTTAGACCTGAAAATCAGCAAAACAAACAATTTATTTCGAGCAGGAAAGACCATCCTGGCACAACTGTTATTTACTCTTTTGTGTGCTCTAGATACATCTTACAATTGCTGATCAAGTACTACATAAAAAAATAAATAAATAAAGTCTGTAAGTCATGTCATAAAGTCAAAAAGGCTGTAACTTTTATAATAAAAGAGACTTATATTCAAGCAAGCAACAGATGAACATCAGAATTGGTGTGAAAAGAAGGAGGCAGGCATCTGTGAAGTTTTACATTTACAATTAATGTTGCTTACAGTGAATGCACTATCATCATTTGATTCATATTAATATTGTACATTCTTTTGTTTTCTGAATACTGTTATAATTGAAAGGATTTGCTGTGGAGTGAGGAGAATTAAAATACTTGTTTATTTAGTTTGTAACAGTTATATTTTAGGGCTATTATTTCTGAAGAATATATCAAAATCTGACTTACACACCAATCCAACAAACTAGTTTTCATTTCCTTGCAAACATTTAATTTTTGACCAGACTGGACTTTTTTAGGTATCATGTATTTGATGGAAAATAAGGTCCATTTATTTTTTTATGCCAAACGAATGGCAATTTCTATAATTTATGAAACAGTGAACTCTACAGTGAACTCTTCTGATTTAAATACAACAGCCAGGTACAGCTAGCAGATCCTGATGAGAAGAGATCATGTTAAAAATATGCCAATTAGCTGTGACAGTAGCTTCGGTTGCAGCTAGAATATGCTGTAAATGACCAACAAATTAGCGATAGATTGCATTGCATTTCATAACATTTATAAAATATATATAATAATGGTATATTAAAAAAAGTGTTTATCTTTTTTTGTCTTATTTTGTATTATGTTCTAAAAATATTAATAACCGTAACTGGTTGTCTTAGTTAAAAAAGTATTTAATGAGAAATATGAGCACACCAAAATTCAATAGTTTGATGTCGGTGTGAGTTTAAAAAGTTTCTGAAAGTTTTTCCTTACCAGGGCTGCATTAATTTGATGTAAAAAGTACTGTGAAATATTATAATTTGAATCTTCTACACTTTTCCATTTAAAAAAAAAGAAAAAAGAAAAGCTTGGTAAAAACTTAAAACATTATTAAATGTCATTGTTGAATTATTGTCCTAATCAATATAAAGCATCTTTGTAGTAATAACAAATATATACACTTCTGGTCAAAAGTTTGGGGTCAGAAAGATTTTTAAATGTTTTAAAATAAGCTTCTCCTGCTCACCAAGACACAAAAAGTACAAATTGTAAAACTGAAATTTTATTGCACTATAAAATAACTGTTCAAAAGTTGTTTATAATTTAATTTAATAATTTATTCCAGTGATTTTAAAGAGTCACATGATACTTCAGAAATCACTCTAATTTTAATAATAATAATTATTATAATTAATTAATTAATTAATTATTATTATTATTACTACTACAAGTTACATATTTTTATCATTTTATTTCAAAACATTTTTAAAAGAACATAGAAACAAAAAGACATTCAATACAAGTGTCAAAGGTCACCGAATACAATCTTTTTTACATTCGTATTTATGGTTGATAAAATGTTTCTATATAAAATTTTGTTAAGGGTTACAGATCAAAGATCAACAGGTTCCAGATATATATATACACACCACAGTAAAATTAAAACATAACATTTATTCTTAGCCATTTATCCCAGTATGCAGAAATTTTATAGACAAGTTGTTTGAGGAAAGTGTTAGTACTACCATATCATACACCTTTTACAATATTAATATTATTATTGGTAATAGTAATAAAAGCAACAATGACTGGAGTAATAATTTCATTTGAAACCACATACAATAAGTATTAAATATATATTTAATAAATAAATATTTAACAATTTTTTTTTTTTACATTTAATAAATGTCGCCTTGATGAACAGAATAATTTTCTTATAAAAAAAAAAAACAACAAAAAAAAAAAACAGACCCTAAACATTTGACTGCCTATATATTTTACAGACACCTTTAATTTTTATGGTGTATATTTCTGTCTTACACCCCCCCAAAAATTGATAGCTTAGAATTGATAAAAAGTCTTTCTTCTGGATCCTTGCCCAACATATGCTCCATCTTTACTTTTATAACCAGCTGTTCAAGGGCAGGGCTCTGACCAGAAGGACAAAAATAACTGGAAAACTAAAGTATGGCATGCCAACATATGACAACTGCAACCGACAGAGAAAAGAAGAACCTATATGAAATCAAGTTAGAAAGGCATTTTACATCATGCAACAACAGTTCACATGTGTAGAGATGTAGGTGGATGTGAGTGCAAACACTTTCACTCCTGTCTGAAAAGCAGTCTTACATGAGGAAACCACATACACCGAGAGCCGCTATATGGACGGCAGCAATCATACATATGCAGTGTGTGTATATATAGACGAAGGGGAAAAAAAGGGAGGGAAGAAAGAAGGAAAATATAGCTTGATCTCAAAATAACAGCTGAGACAGGGTGTCCTCACCATTTCTTGGACTTCAGTTTGGGAGGAGGGTTCCGTGGGATAAGGAACAAAGCTCGCATGGGATGCATGTCACACAACGCTGAGGGAAAGAGCACAAAAATCAAACACGCTGATAACAGACTCTTTCACCCATGTGTGCCCAATTATCAGACTGACTGACTGATTTGAGAGGTGACAACAATTCATGAACGCAAGTGGAGCAGTGACTGGACCGCTGCAACACGCTGTCCGTGTGAGAGAGAGATTATGACTAAGTGCTGTGCTGCAGAAGTTACCATCACAATTGAGTGCAGATCAAGCACTAGATCTAATTTGTTGGTAACACTTAAAATAATGGTCCATTAGTTAAAGGTGTAGCAGGTTTGCTTGTACACACACACCGCGTTTACATGCATAGCAGAGAGAGTGAGTGACAGCCGTAAAAACAAATGCTAAATCAAAACTTTAAAAGTTTGAAGAAAAAAAAAATAAAAGGAAGGACGACACCATGGCTGAAGTTTTTCTTTTAGAAAGATAATTACATTTTAGTCATGCAAAGCTTATGTGAATTTTGTTGTTATGAATGGGTTATCCGCACACACAAGTGTTGTTAAGCCACTGAAACCTTCTGGCGAAAGATTGATGTGAATATTTTCTGTTTCATAAGGGACCTTTTACAGCATCAATCATGTCGATAGTTTTTATTTAGTTTAACAACAAAACATCAGTAAATAGCGCTAATCTACCAAGCCTGCTTTACTGATTGTTCATTTTTGAACAATGACAACCTGTGACGTGCTCCCTATATTGTTCACCATGCTACTCTCAATATTCGGTCTGAAATAGCATGTAAGTATGGCTTAGTAATAAGTGTAACTTCTGCACGCCGCAGGCCAACCACTAAGCATACAGTAGTGGCTTTAGGACATAGCATGTGAGACAGCGATCCTTGCATGCACGAATATTGCACATTATGACAAGTTTTGCTCGCTACACAACTGAAAACGTGCAGTATAATACATACAATATAATACAGATTTTCGTTCAGAATTGTAGTATGTAGTAACTGGCGAATGACATGATCTAGCGGATTTCTGTTATCCTTAATGTGCGCGTTCGTGATTTCAGGAGGTGTGACTTTGGATGGCAGAAGAGGACCAATAATTCCCATAATTCTGATAAGTAGGCCAAACAATCTATTAACAAAAGTAGATTTGTACATCTGTTTTCAAAGATATTATGCTAACACAAAGCATTTAGGCAGATCACCTACTGCACTTTTAATGTATTTTCTAACATGAACAAACTACTAGTGATACATTTATTATGATATTTATTCATCTTTGTTAATGTTAATTAAACAACGTTAGTTTATGTTAACTCACAGTGCATTAACTAATGTTAACGAGCACATTAGATTTTAATAATTCATTAGTCAATGCTGAATTATGTATTAATAAATTCTTTACAAGATTATTCATATTAAGTTAATGTTAGTAAATACATTAACTTAGGGGTTTTCTTATTTTTTCAAACCGCGACCCCCAAAATAACAATGCCAGTGACTTGTGACCCCCCCATTCCTCAGAGGTGGTTTTAAATATAGAAATGTTGCGCAGACAACAATAGGTCTATATAAACATGATCATATTGCCAACACAAAAAAAGTGCAACAGTCTAACAACCATAGGCAGTACTTTACATAGTTATTTAATAATTTGTCTAATTTAATATTAACCTCAGCTAAGACAGGTGGGCAAAACGTTTTCGCACAAGTCTATTCTTGGTTTTGGAGACCGCCACTCAGAAATCCTTCTCAGTGTTAACTTGTGGCCTGTGTTTATTTTAAATGCATTTAAGGAGTCAGAAAGTTTAACCTGGTGTTATAAAATCTACTGCAGCTGACGCTATTGCTGTGTTGTTAATCTAACGTTAACACACCAATCCAATGAAAAAAAAAGGCTGATGACTTTTTATTTGCATGTTGTTGTCTTTTTATGTTAATATGAACAACTATTTTTATCTTCTGTGGGTCATGGATAAATTATAGTAATTCTAATAGTTTAATAAATTTTATTTGACTGTTGGAAATCACCAAGCAACCCCGTCATTGTCCCATGAGTCCCACTTTGATAACCGCTGCATTACTGACATTAACTAATGGACCAGTATTCTAAGTTATGCTGGATGGTCTACAATAATCTACTTAACCCCTTTAGTCACGCTGTCCCATAGTCAAGACATTTTTTTCAAACACATTTAAAAAAAATTATTATGACAATAATATTTCAAACCCAAATTTATCTTGACAAAATATATAATATGCAAATATAATCTTGATTTTTAAACAAATTCCAAATGAGGGATGTGTCTCTTTTATCACTACTTTCTTTATTATTTAATTTGTTAGACTGGCATAGCATGGATGAGTGTAGGAGAACGTTTATTTTGTGTTGTTTGGTTAATTGGTTTGTTTTATAAAATGTGAATCAAAGGCCACTTACCCACAAATCGAAATTTCTATCTTATATTTATTTACCCTCAGGTTGTTACAAACCCATAACATACTATGCTCCAGATAACTTCAGATATTTTAATCAAGAAAATAAAGGCACTTTAAAATAGTTGTTTTAGAAGAAGTTGTTTTAGTTTGAGCAGATATCCTTTAGGCTTTTATTTGCAGTCAAATATGTTTTACGGAAGCTTAGACAGAAATGGAGGGACAGACACAGACAAAAAAAAAACATTATTTAAAACATTATTTGCAAATGACAAGGTAAAAAAGGGTAAAAAAAAATTAGTGATATACAGTATTCTTCTTTTTGGGTTGAACTTCGGCAGAGGAAACAACACATAATAAACAGGGTTCTTTAATATGGATATTATTTTAGTTTCCTTCGAGGTATTGTTGTGTTTTTTACTGCAAATAGGATTATCATTTCAAACTCAGGACAAACTGATATATTCAACCCCTTTTCAATTTTACACTTAAAAACAGGAGCAACAGTAGTGTGGGTGATGCTGCTGGTGAGAGATACTGACAGTTATTTACTTGTTTTTTTTTTACTGATAATTATTTTATTACTTTAATTTTCATTAATTTCATTATTTTAATTACTTCATATTAAGATCTGAATCCACACTGTGACTTTAAGTCAACAAATACAACCCCACATTAGTGTACTTACGAGGTGCTCCTTCAGCCATTTCTATAGCAGTGATTCCCAGAGACCAGATATCACTCTGTTGTTGAAAGGAAAAGAAAAACAACATTATTTAATTCATGCAAAAGTCATAGTCTATGGTTACTGTTGTGCTGCATAAACATCACTGGCAGTACAAGAGAAGTAAGTTGGATGGATGGATGGATTGATAATCATACTTCACATACTAATCATATTGTATATTAACCTGGACCTCATAAAAAGAAACATCCATAAAAAATTAGTATGAACATAAAAATTTACCATGAGCTTAAAAGTGGCAGCAATTAGTTGTTTAATAAGCAGTTAGTCGTTGTGACAACAAGCGGTCACAAACATTGCTGAGTAATGATACCCATTGAAAGCAAACAAAGAGCAGCATTGAGTATCACTTCACTAAATAATGACCAAGCGAAATGTCACATATTAGAAGCTGACTGGCAGTTTTACTGGTATGAGTATTTGGCAACTGGGCGTGAGGTGATACCAACAAAGCAACCAATATGAGAAAGGTTGCAGAAAATATATAAAGTTTAATGCAGCTCTATCTAGACCACTTGTATGTTAAACATAAACACGTTCCCTTAAATGTACTTTTTTCTTAATATTAAAAATGAAAAAATAAAATAAAAAATTGCTTAGGGCACCTTTTAAAAAGAGACAAAAAACAGGCAGTGACCTCTCAGAAATGTAAAGTACCATTCAAAAGTCTGTGGTTTAAAAGTAATTAAAACTTTAACTTAGCAACAAGTGACAAAAAAGTGACAGTTAAGTCTTTTAAATTTTTACAAAATATTTCTTTTACAAATAAATGTTCTTTTTATTTCAATTGATTAAAGATTTCTAAAAAAAATGTATGGTTTTTACAAAGAATAATAAAAACAACTGTTCCCAGCATAAACATCAAATACAAAACTGTTCATTGAGGACCAAATCAGCATATTTGAATGATTTGTGAAGGAGGCTCAATAGTAAAGAGTAAAGCATTAAAAAAAACACCTTTTCTGCTCTTCACACCAGGGATATATATTTTAAAATATTGTAACAGAAAAACATCACCTCTTTCTTTATCCATCTTATTATATATACAGTATCAGCAATATCACATGAGTAGCAGTGCGATATGGCTGTATATCGGCACTGGTGGGAGGTGTGCGTTATGTAAAGCCATATTGCACTGCTACTCACATGATATTGCATTTATACAACAGTTCAATGGCATAATCTTGTATATATATAAAAAAGAAAATCCAACAATGAGAGCCTAAAAACTCTTTTTTATGAGGAACTTCTGCCACTCAATCAAGTCTGCAGCTAAACAACTACATTCTCGCATAAAAAAAGCCTCATAAGTACATTATGTTGTCCAACAGCTGCATTATTTTTCAAACTGTAGTGAGTTAATTGATCTGCTGTCACTCTATGTGGGCGGAGTAATACACAAAGGTGAGGAGGCTGTGCGAGTGTGCTGTTATTACGGGAATATTGCACAGCTATCAGCGAAGATTTGAGAACCAGACAGAACTTGATCTTTCCTCTTTTATATGTCCTAACAATGTTTATACATGTATTAACATTTATTAAGGTAGCTGGAAATTGATGGACTAACATAAAATAAACCCCTTTACGCTGTACTGTACTTTATTAACTCTGTATTCTTTAATAAAACAATAAATAAAAATCCACATTCACTAATCTTACTACAGCCTTTCTGCAGTTTTCACAAAGTCCAATTTAAGACTTTAAAACATTTTTAAGACTATTATGAATGATTTTTTTTTCTTATGGTCTGGTAGGTTTTGAAAATATTTTATTTGCCCAATGAAAAAAAATTCTATTTAGTTATTTCTTAACCACATATTTAAAATAATGTGTCAAACAAGCAAATCCTAGTTTTATACACAATTTATTTCAACATAACTTTTCTAAATAATCCAGAAACATATAAAATAACTCCTAAAAATATATTATCCCAAATTTATGGACAACAGTCTGTCCAGGTCAGTGTTTCCATCCTATATGGTCTATAAATACACAGAGAACTTTTGTTTAAATGTTCTCTGTTTATTTATAGACCATATGGGATGGGGACATTGCAAAGAATATAATCAAACCATATTAGTTATAAAGCTATTATAAGATCTGTTCAAAATACATTATAAGACCTGTTTAAAATGATTTAGGACAATATTTCTTTGACTTTTTAAGGCCTACACCATTATTATTATTTTTTTATTTAAGATTTTGAAGAGTCTGGGGACACCCTGCACTGTACTTTACATCAAATAAACAATGTTGTTCAACATAAAAGACTTCTTTCAAAAAAACTCTTGACCCCAAACTTTTGAACAGTTTAGTGTGCATCAACAGTCAGAAGCTCATTTTACCCTGTAATCATAGGTGGAGTCGGGATTTTCATCACAGGCAATGACTTCTGGGGCCATCCAGTATGGAGTGCCAATGAAAGTGTTTCTTCTGCCGACAGTACGATCCAACTGTGCGCTCACCCCAAAATCCACTACACAGAGAGTGAGAAGAAAAAAAAAGAAAAAGCGGAAGCAATCAGAGTCTGTAATATTACAGGGCCATTTCTGCTTTCAAGCGCTCTTATGAAACCTGTTGCGCAGCCAAGATGTTTATATTCATCTATGCTAATCTCTTCCACCTCACACACGCAGACTCTTCCACTTCCGCCACACTCTCCCTCAGGTTGTGATGTGAAGATATTTTTGTCATGGTGTCAGGCCTACATTAATGAGCTTCGGTGCTTTGCTCTAGTTGTTAAACGAAATGAAGGATATAGGATATAGGCTAGACAACACACACAAAATACAGCTACACAAATCAGATATCTCCATATCAGATAAGAGCTAAACTGAAGGTAATGAGAGTGTGTGTTTTTCATTGCGTGTCGAGCAAATATCCCACTCACCCAGTTTAACCTCTGCGTTCTCTGTAAGCAGCACATTCTGTCCCTTGATGTCTCGGTGGATGACTTTATGAGCATGGAGGTGAGACAGACCCTGAGGAGCAGACAGACAGTGTTGACTGGCTGTTCGACATCAAATATATAATTAATTACATCAAACTAAATTTCTATTTCTAACCAGCATTTTTTTCAGTCATTCAATCACATTATAGTCCATAGGCGTCACGTCAATTTAATCCAATGTGCAATTTCAGATTTTTGAGAATAATAGGTTTTAGATCCACAATAAAAGTACATTCTTATGTTTCTTAAAAATAATTGCATTTTTAATGCATATTTTTAATATTAATTAAGATTATTGTAGTTAATTGTGCACTTTTATGATGGATATACTGACTGAAAAAACAAACTCTACAGTAAACGAAGCAATTCCTTATAATTTTATTTTCAAGCCTCTCCCACATTCACCTTAAAAAAAACAAACAACTCTTGTCTGTTCTTGCAATATATGGCCTTGTTGACGTGGGCTTGTATGAGGGGATTAAAAGATACCGAATAAGCAAAATCTGTGTCTCATGAGTGGCACAATTCTCTGAAGGACTATAGAGAAAGGTTCTTACTTGCAAAATGTGCTAAAGAAGACATATGGTAAAGCTATAGCCTTGGGAGGTCCAGTAGTTGTGCTTAATATGTTTATTTCTAAAAACTTCATAGTATGTAGACATTTTTGTCTTATGAAGTTTATGCATTTTAGAAAATTTTTTAATCATAAAATCTGACCCTGAAATTATTTTTGGTATATGGTATGGGTATGATATTAAGTCTAATCCAATCATCTCAAGCTCAATACCTGGAGGGTCGCAGCTCTGCATAGTTTAGCTCCAATTCACACCTGCTTATTAGTCTCTAGTAGTCTTGAACAACTTGATTAGTTGGATTAGCTGTTTGATTAAGGTTGAAGCAAAACTGTGCAGAGCTGCGGCGCTCGAGGAATCGAGTTTGAGACCTATGATCTAATCAGAAAGCAGATAAAACCATATAATTGCACAATGTATTCATAATATTCTAGAATAGCCACAGTAAACTATATTATGTTCAACATTTAATACTTATTTATTACCTATTCACTAAAACTAATTCTTTGTATGTGTGAGCATACCTGGCAATAAAGCTCTTTCTGATTCTGATTATTACACAAAAAGCTAGGGATGGACAATATGGCAAAATTCACAATTTAAGTAATCTAATTTCCAATCCAAATTCAATCAATTAATTAATCAACATAAAACACAGCTAAATAAAATACAATCTAAACATTGTACTTTAAGCTTGCAACTTTCAAACAACTATGTTATTCCCCATCCTCATAGTGGTGTGTAAGATCGGAGTCATCCAAATGATGAAAAAGTATTGCCGTGAACAAAGCATTTTGACCACGAAATAAATGATAGAGTATAATATGAAATTACAGACTTTTTATTTTCGTCTATATAATATATACAGTTAGGTTCATAAATATTTGGACAATGACACACTTCTAACATTTTTGGCTCTGTACACCAACACAACTGATTTGAAATTAAACAACCAAGATGTGCTTTAGCTGCAGACTGTCCACTTTAATATGAGGGTATTTACATCCAAATCAGGTGAACGCTGTAGGAATTACAACAGTTTGCATATTTGCCTCCCACTTGTTAAGGGTCCAAAAATAATTGGACAATTGGCTTCTAAGCTGTCCCATGGCCAGGTGTACTATTCCCTAACTATCCTAATTAGCAGATCTGTTACTGTCAATTCTCAAATGAGATGCAAAGATCTGTCACTATCAGTCAAGCAAGCCATCATTAGGCTGAAAAGCACAACAAACCTATTGACCTTATTCTCCGCAGACGAGTGGGCACTGCCATTTGAAATTTTTTGGCACGAGACTTCCGGTCTCATTCACTTCCATTCATTTTTAGACATTAAATACTGCTCGTTTCGCTGTTTGCTGTTGAAAACTGATATTTCCTTGTTATATTATTCTACTTGGTCTGTATAGTCATGCAAACATTTGTTTGTAGAGCGAGTAGTTAGACCGTTTTTTGCCGTTAATTATTCCTTGTCATTTCTCCCATAGGCGACTGAAACGGAAGTTCTAAGACAATCGCGAAAACAGGCGCACTTCCGCATTTTAGAATAAGGTCAATAAGAGAAATAGCAAAAACATCAGGCTTGGCCAAACCTGCTCTATGGAACATTCTTAAAAAGAAAGAACACACCAGTGAGCTCAGCGACACCAAAAGACCCAGACGACCACAGGAACAACTGTGGTAATTGACTGAAGAATTTTTTCCCTGGTGAAGAAAACACCCTTCACAGCAGTTCACCAGATCAGGAACCAGATCAGGAACACTCTCCAGGAGGTAGGTGTATGTATGTCAAAGTCAACAGTCAAAAAACAGGAAGACCAGATTAGAGTTCTAAAAAAGCCTTCACCGTGCTGGAACAACATCCTATGAACAGATGAGATCAAGATCAACTTGTATCAGAGTGATGAGAAGAGAAGAGTATGGAGAAGGAAAGGAACTGCTCATGATCCTAAGCAGTGAAGCATGGTGGTATATTATCATGGCGTGGGCATGTATAGCTGTCAATGGAACTGGTTCTCTTGTATTTATTGATGATGTGACTGCTGACAAAAGCAGCAGGATGAATTCTGCAGTGTTTCAGGCAATATTTTCTGCTCATATTAAGCTAAATACTTCATAATTCATTGGATGGTGCTTCACAGTGTAGATGGAGAATGACCCAAAGCATGCTGCAAAAGCAATCAAAAAGTTTTTGAAGGGAAAGAAGTGGAATGTTATGCAATGGTCAAGTCAATCACCTGACCTAAATCCCATTGAGCATGAATTTCACTTTGAAGACAAAACTGAAGGGAAAATGCCCAAAGAACAAGCAGGAACTGAAGACAGTTGCTGTAGAGGTCTGGCAGAGCACCACCAGGAATGACACCCAGCATCTGGTGATGACTATGTGTCCCAGACTTAAGGCTGTAATTAACTGCAAAGGATTTGCAACCAATTATTAAAAAATCAAGGTTTGATTTATTATTGTTGTTCTGTCCCATTATTTTTGGACTCTTATGCTGTGTTCACACCAGACGCGGAACGCGTGAATAAATTGCGCTATTCTCGCGTAAATAGTCGCGTGAACATTTGAGGTTACTCGCTTCGTTCGCGCGTCAAACCCCGCTTCATTCGCGCATCAAACCCTGCTTCATTCGCGTGTCAAATTCACTTCAGAACAGACACGGATTCGCGTGATGGGCAGGGCTTCTGTCTGCCGCGTGACTCTAGCTTCATAGCTAAAGGGCTAACATGGATTTTATGAAGAAAATAACAGTGTTTATGTGCTTTATGAAGGATGATAAACAGCGTCGATACGTTTAGAGCCGTGTCTGAGTCCACTACATCCTTTCAGAGGTGCATCCAGCTCTTTAACCTCATAGACTCCTCCAGAAACTAAACCTGGCTGATGGAGGTTTTCAGCGGTGCTTCTGACTGAGCCCAGCCCAGTTTGATGAACTTCTTGTCGGTGTCTGCTGGGGGATTTCCCCTGGGACACCGACAACAGGCGATACGTCACAATCACGCCCCCACAAGAGCAAGCTCCTGATTGGTTAACGCGGCGCGAATGTCCGCTGAAGTTCAGATTTTCGAACGCGAGTGATTTGCGCGAAACGCGCATTAAGCGCGTCAAACGCACAAAACCATCAATTCGCGCCAAGCCATTCGCGCCATGCGCAATTCTCATCATTCGCGCCGCAGGATGTCTATTCGCGCGTTTGTATTAACTTAACATGTAAATCACTCGCGCTTGACGCGCGTGCCGCATCTGGTGTGAACGCAGCATCAACAAGTGGGAGGCACATATGCAAACTGTTGTATTTCCTACACCTGATTTGGTGTATAGAGCTAAAAGCGTTAGAATTGTGTCGATGTCCAAATATTTCTGCATCTTGCGTCTGATGTAATAATTGATTATGAAATCAATTATGAAAAATAAATCCACAAACTTTTGTATTAATAGCACAGTAATATTGCTATATCACTAAAGCATTCTGTTCAGTGAGATAGTACTTTTTTATTTAAACCAACGTTTGGCATCATTTACACTTTAGGAAAGTAACAATAAATAGCACAGTGATTTAAATTCATTGTTTGTTATTGCAAAACAAATGAGCTAACAACTAGATGTTCATTACCACTGCATAATAACAGTCACTGCAATAAAAAGAGACTTAAAGAGTCTCACCCTAAGGATCTCTCTGCAGATATAGGCGATCCAGTCTTCTTTTAAAGAGTTGCCTTTTGTGTTCTTCACCAAGTCTGTTACTGAGCCGGCACCACAAAACTCCATCACCAACTAAAGAAAAATACACAAAATACACATCATTATAAAACTGCAAGCTGATACAGGCCAGTGGTTCCTCCAAATAAAAGAGACCATGACCTCGAAAATTTTCAAGCTAAATCACTTCCGTTAATGGCAGACTGTAGCTGCAATAGAGCACAATATATTAATGCTGTTTTTTAAAGAAGTTATCAGAGTAATTATGAGATCAGGAGTCACAGGTTATGCTGGAGATCAAGTTTAGAGATTTGAGGAAGCAAACTGACCCAGAGCTGGTCATCGTGTCCAGGAGGACTCTTCTTCACAAAGGCTCCATAGTAGGTGGCGATATTTCTATGGTGACTGTACTTCTTCAGCATGTTAATCTCCGCTTTAATCTCCTCCTCTTCTTCCTCAGTCACATCCATGACTTTTATGGCTGCCAGCTGACCTGTCTTAACATGACGACCCTGAAACAGGAAAAAAAATTAAAAAATGAATCGGCAAGTAACAGAGCCTAAATTTACAAATAATTAACACCCTGTCAGCAGAATATACACCATATTAAGTATAGAGGTATTAAACTGATCAAAAGTGAGTGAAAAGACATTCATTAGGTTACCAAATATCCTTTCATTAAAGAATCTTGAGAAGTAACAAAGATTGAATATATATACTATCTGTAGAAAATTAAAGTGAATTTTAAATATATACTATAACAAAATATCAATTTTGATTATAGTAAAAAAGGCTTTATTTTTAGACAAATGAACAGACCCAAATAGTCTTTTTTTTTTAATCAAACTGATTTTTTTTTTTTGGAAATGCACCTTATTTTCCCATATACTATCTCCAATTATTTTTTGGACAACACGAACAGTATATATATATATATATATATATATATATATATATATATATATATATATATATATATATATATATATACTATATATACACACACACACACACATACACCACTGTAAAAAATTATGCCAATGCAGACTTTCTTTTCTTTGCAACCTTAATTTTTGCAAAATGGCCATTCCAGTGAAAACACATTGTTTCGTGAAATGCCATGTTACTGAATTATCACAATAGCATGTGTAATTCCAAATTTCACATTGTATACTGTTCTATAAACTAAATATTCAACTCTAAAGCTAAACTAGATAAACCACCTCGCCGTCTCTCCGCAAGCCACACATTCATCACTTGCCATATCCCTTTATAAACTACCGTACATGCTCATTATACACCATGACATAAACAATATCCTCACTACAGCTTATAAATGACACATTCTCCAAACAATAGAGCCTGAAGTATAAATTACACCTTACAAACAATTTAAAGAAGGCTCATGTCATACACTGCAATAATTACAGAGGCCTGTAGGGTTAAAATCACTACATGAGTCTGAATGTATAATGACAGGTCACATGGCTCCTTAAAAGTCAATTCCAATTTTTTTCTTCTTTGTTAAAATACTTCTATGCTAGAATAACATGCAGACTAGATGTAAATCATTTGTATATTAATCGGTCATGAAAGCATTAACTCCCTGACTTTCTCACTGCAGTTTTTTAAGGGGTATTTAACCTTTATTATATAGAAAAGTGGAGCGAGAAAGAGAGAGACAGGAATGCATGGGGAGTCAAGAGAAGGGAAGGATTGGCAAAGAATGTCGAACCACCAGCTGGGAATCGAACTCAGGTCTCTGTGCACTTAACTATTAAGACCAGCTTGACATTAACAGTGAAGTGAGATTGGACTAAGAGTATCTGTCAGACTGACAAACAGGTGATGAAATTAGCATGAAAAAAACCCCACTTGGAAGCTATTTAGAAGAGAAATACTTTAATGTAGTGATGGGAAGTTCAGATCACTTTACAAACTCTGAACTTTGAGTCTCGTTCAGCAGGATGAACTAATCTTTTTTTGAATCATTTCAGACAATTTGCCAAAATGTTACAAGTTGCTTCTCAAACATGTCAAACTAGAGATCAAACAAACCTTGATCACAGTACAAAGTCAATACTATAATGTTATGAATAAAAGCAGAATACTTGGTTGTTTACCTTGTTATTTTGTGTACAGTATAATTAGCTCAGCTCACCTCTTATCTGACAAGTCTTCAAGTTTGAGTCATTCATTCACATGACACTGACAGTCCCATAAGCTTAACTAATGAATGCAATCGGAGCCGGAAAGACCCATGATTAGTTCACAGATCGAGTCTTTAAGTTCTTTGTTTATCATGTGTCAGCACCATATAAAGCTTAACCCATGCAGTCTGACTGACAATTATATCATTCGTTGTCTCGATTCAATGTTTGGGTTTCATCATATGAAAGATTAATTGAAATCAAAATTATCTTAAGTTAAGTTAATTATCTTCATCATATACAAAGTTTTTAAACTCTGTCCAAAAACTCTATTATCACATTTATAAAAACTGAATTTCAAACATTTAAAAACAGAGCTACACTCTAAAATTAGAACTTTAGCACAAAAATATACAGTAGTATTAATAATAATGCAATAATGTGAGGTTGACGAACCAGAAAGGCTCGTAGTGGGTTCTTCATGTATGGTAAAGCGAGAAAACCTCAAAAAAAAAAAAAAAAAAAAAACTACTACTTGCTAATGTGACGTGCAAAGTGATGGTTTATTTACAATGTACGAGAGTGAAAAACAAAATAACCCAAAAACCCAGCAAAATAACCAAAAATAAAAGAACAAATAAACAGCAAACAAACTAACAATATATTTACAACCACACTAGTATACACTGACAAGTCACAAAGAGGTTAACTGACAGTGAATTAGCATTTGGGACTGCCTTTTAAAGGCGAAGCCCCACCCCTTTGACATAAACCCAGATATACTTATTAAAAAGGGAAGTATAAATATCAGTACATGTTTATAAGCTCACTGTTTAAAACACATTAGACATAAAATAGTCATAATTAATCTAAGTAAACCAAAATATATGACCATATAAATATATAAAGGAGGATTCGTATAAGAAGGATTAGAAATCATTTATTAATTTCTGTATCCGATCCTGCCATCAAGTCACATGTAAAGAGATGAACGACTCAAAAACCTAAGGACTCGAGAGATGAAGGAATCAAATCTTTTTCCAGCTTTGACTGCCTACAGTAGGATAGGCTTAGTTATAAGTCTTTCACATGATGAATGAAGACTCCAACCTGACAGAAGACTTGAAAAATCTGATTTGAAAAGGAGCTAATCCTCTCTCCACCTGTGCAAATAAACAAATCACTCTCTGAGAGGACTCATCGTTCCTGAGTGACATTAAAGATTGGTTCAAAATGAACTAATTGTTCAAGAACGACCCATCACTAATTCACTCACTGCTGTTATAGTTTTGAGTGCTCATGTTTACTGCCTGCATGCTCAAGATTTTTCATCATAAACAATAAAAGTGCTGAAACAGTGAAAGTTAGAGATGCATTTTTAAGCTTCAGTGACTCTAACAGGAGTTTCTGCAGAACTTGCAGAAGACCGACATGTTTTATCTGTGTCGCCAGAATGTGACATACTTTCTATTTCTCCAAACACAAAACAATTCATTTTGACATCTTGGATAACATGCGGTTACACCTTTTAGTCTACAGTTATGTTTGACTGTCTTGTAGGCTATTTCACAACCAAAGTCTTGCAACATTTTGAATAAGTCTGTCTTTTTTAGGCTTATTGTAATATACATTATTGTATTCACAATTTTAAAACATGGTCAGACTACAGACCATTTCAATGTGGTGATGGCACTGACCCATGAAGTGTTCTGCTTGTTATCAAACAATTTCATAACTGTAACAAGAGGCAATTCAGTCATAACTTAATGTTAAAACATCTATTATAACATTATTTTTCAATATGTGGACCTTGGTAAATTCTCAGAAACTAGGGAAGTTAAAAAATGTAAAATAGGAAATACGTTAGGACAATTGTTATTGTTTACATGCCTCAAAATGATCTATACGATAAGGTTTCATTAGTTGATGTATTCACTAATATAAAATATTAAGGAACTATATACAGCATTTATTAATCACAGTTCAACATTTACTTAGGCACTACAAAAATCTAAATTCGTGTGTGTTAAACTTTTTTTATATTAAACAATATTTAGAGCACTATGAGGTAACAAACTAATAATGAACAACTTTATTTTCATTAATCCTTGTGTATTGTTCACATGTACCACCCTTTTGTTATGTTTGCGGCTGTTTTTGCCCCACTGATTTACATTACACATTTTTTGAATGCAAAGCTACGACAGCAAATAATCCTCCATTCTTGATTGTTGTTGGTGTCGCTGATGGAAAGAGGTCAAATGTGTGATTTTTACTGTTGATCATCATTTTCACGCAAAAAAAATTAGCTTTGGAATTTTTGAAAAACTCAACAATACTCTAAAGCATTTCCCCAAACTATGTGTAGGAATACGATAAAAAATCCCATTTGTCAGAAGCTAGCTCTCTGTAACTCCAACATGTTCACCCAATGGTGCTAAGCAGGGCTGCGTCCAGTCAGTACCTGGATGGGAGACCACATGGGAAAGCTAGGTTGTTGCTGGAAGTGGTGTTGGTAAGGCCAGCAGGGGGCGCTCAACCTGCGGTCTGTGTGAGTCTCAACGCAGCAGTATAGTGAAGGGGACTCTATATTGCTCAGTGAGTGTCGTCATTTGGATGAGACGTTAAACCGAGGTCCTGACTCTCTGTGGTGGTGAAAAAAAATCCCAGGATGCCCTTTGAAAAAGAGTAGGGGTTTAACCCTAACATCCTGGCCAAATTTGCCCACTGGCCTCTGTTTATCATGGCCTCCTAACCATCCCCATATCATAATTGGCTTCATCATTCTGTCTCCTCTCCACCAATCAGCTGGTGTGCAGTCTGGCGCAATATGGCTGCTGTCACTGGTGGTGGACGTGTAAAACGCTTTGAGTGTCTAGAACAGTGCTATATGAATGTAAGGTAATATTATTAATTATTATTATTATTATTATTGTTATCCCATTTGCTGAGTGTTTTGGCCAAAATAAGCCACAAAGTCATCCAAGACTGGATAAAAACATGCCCAACATGGGCATGCAGGGTTAAAGATGAATAAATACTAGAGCTGCATGATTCTGGCTAAAATGAGAATCGCGATTTTTTTGCTTACAACAAAGATCACGATTTTCTCACGATTCTAAAGGTATGGTAAAAACAAGCATATGGCACAACCTCGATAATAATATTATGTGTAGGTCTACTGGTTTCTATAACTAATTGTATTCTACTTATAATAATTCTGATGTTGAATTATGTTTGAGATATATGCTTGCAATCTGTCATATTAGACAATTTTATTCACTGGTAAAATCAGACATTTGCCATTATCAGATTATGTTCAACAATATATAAGCTAGAGTACTTATACTGACATTGTAAACATTCATTTTCATGCACAACTGTGGGTTCGCTATGAAAGAAAAAACATCAAATGCTTGTCTTAACCATAACTCTAAAATGCGATATGATCATTTAAAATGAATGACTTTCGGTTTCATTCTGACTGCTAAGTGCTTGTTCATACTTCGCGCGCGGCTCCCAAACGATCACTCTGTGCCACAAACTAAATATTATTTACAACTGTATTACCTGTTACTCGCAACATATGCAGGTTCTGATCACAAAAGTAGGTGCGCGCGCGCCCTCTCTATGATAACAGGTCACGATCAGCAGCTCATGTCACGTGTGCTTTCCCGATCGCGAAAACATCATTATATTAAGACAAAAATTACATTTTTAGGTAAATTACACCTCATAAATACAGTATGTGACTCATTCAACATCATTTGGAGGTGTCAATGTCACTGAGCAACGTGTGTGAAACAATGAAAAGACTTGTGCAGCCGCCTTTTCTTCTCTCCTGAACTTGAAAATATGATTGGCAGAATCGTAGAAATGCTGGATTAAGATCGTCTAGGGGGTCGAATCGAGATCGCGAACTTTTAACGATTAATTGTGCAGCTCTAATAAATACCGTAATAAAGTATTGTTCATTGTTTGTTCATGTTAGTAAATACATTAACTAATGCAACCTTAATGTAAAGTTTCACCAAAATATGGACATTATTGTAAACTATGTAGCCAAGTGATGTCTATTGCATTACTTTATCTGACTTGCATACAAGCTTGAATAATCAGTATTTTGATGGTCAACAAACCGGTAGTCAATACTGGCAAAAACACTAATAGAAGCATCCCTATTTGTCACTAGAGGTGCAAAAATGACACAATTTAAGCTGTTCTTCTTGTGCAGGGGACTTCATCATCTCAAGAGCGAGTATTGACAGGTCTGAGCGCAGCTGCAATGATCTGAGGCAGTCGGTGTGTTACTGCACCATGCTGAGAGTGCAATGACATTCTCACACATGTCCTCACGTACACAACTGCTTTACAGCACTACTGTCCTCTGTTACTCATGTACCAGCAGCATCTCTAATCCATCTCCCACCGAAACCTTCATCACACCACATCACGCATTTCCTCACAGAACACAAATGGAGGTTTAATTGAATTACTGTGGCGTCATGTATTATTGTCGATATCTCTCCTTTTCTCACCCTTCATCTCTCCTTATGACTCACCTTGTAAACTTGTCCATAGGTGCCGTTGCCCACGACCTCCACCAACTCGAAGATCCCTGCTGGGTCCTGCCAGAACAAAAACAATTTTAGGATTAAAATATCATTTCAAACATGCAAATCCTGAGTGGGGAGAGACAATTAATTTGGACTTATTTTAAAATTGCTCTAGCCTAGCCAAATTAAAATTATAAATGCCCTAGAGGCTTAAGCTAGAAACATACTTTATTTAAGAATGTGAACAATTGAAGCATGCTCTTTCAATGGTTTAGCTTTAAAAAACCTGGAGAAATACTGTACAGTCACCACTTTATCAAATCTTGAATACTAAATGAATAAACTGTTGCATATTAAAAGTTAATTTGCACAAATGGACAAGTCAGTGAGAGCTCATTTGGGAAAAAAAATTATGAAAATGATTTATAAGTTGTGTTTTGGCAAATGAAGACTTCATATGTATTATTTTTATCAATGTGGTTTAATGATTCAGTTTTAGCTCTCAAAAAAAGACAAGAAAAACAAACAATGTTTGTAAAGACCTTTTATAAAAGAATTTGAAAACTTGATTCATATTTCTTAAAATCTCTAAATAAAACTATTAGTAACCAGAACTACTGGAAACCAAAATGTCTATGAAAAATATTCTTAAGTAGAAATAGAAAGTGTTTCCTGATAGTTTAACCAGTTTTTCTTATATACATTGCAGCATCCAGGAACTGTACACTTAAAGTACAACACATTTTGAACAACACAACGAAACGTGTCCTGTTGTAAACAATCCGTATCAGCCCAGATGGAAGTTTGTTCCCACTCAAACCTCATCATTATGCGACAAGTAACATGTGCTCCAGACTGTCGTGAACACATAGGCTGCATCCATATTGTATACTTCCATACTATATAGTATGCTAAAAAAGTATACGAGCAGAGTAGTATGTCCAAATTCATAAAACAGTATGCGAGAAGTACCCGGATGACATACTACTTCCGGCGACATTCTGAAGTGTGACATTCTACACTATTCTGCACTACTAACTGTAGGTCACGTGATGATGACAAAATTGTGGATGTAGTATGAGTTCCATTCATACTACTGACATTCATACTGTATAGAATGTACTTTTCTAACGGTCAAGAAGTACATTTAAATTCAAATGCTGTACCTACTGAGTACTGTAGGTGATTTCGGACACAGCTATTCAAACTTTGGCTGGGGCTGTGGAGTAATGTGGAGGTGATAGTTGCAAATAATGTTCAGTTTACAGAACAGACTCATAGTTTTGCTTCACAAGATCTCACCTCATGTACAAAGGCTTAACCTTTTTTTGACTTTCAAAGAGCTGAAGGCCATTGTACATTCTTTCGAATCACCAATGATCATGGTTTCAATTAAAATGATGAGAAATAGATCTATCAGAGCTTGAAGTGTGTACATTGGTGTACTATGTTTGAGGCAGCTACACTATATTTTAAGTGGCCTTGTTATGGTGTGTAATTGTGCATTTAATTAAAGAACACTATTAATTAACAACATACATGTAGAACAGACTTTGAACTTCTGTTTATGATTATTGCACGTAATTATGCAAAACTTACTCTTATAATTATTTAATTAATGTAATGGAGGCCGGCTAGCAAAGTGTTTAGCAGGTAAACCTCACTCCTCTGACATCTGAAGCTGCTCTAGCAACAGACGTGGTCTTGAGCAAAAGACTCCCATGCAAAGAATCACCTCAGCTCAGACCAGTTTGGGTGCAGAAAAACCGGTGGGTTACACATGGTGGCTCGTCCGGGATGGGAGTGAGGTTTAGGGGGTGAGTGTAAAAGGTCAGCTAGCAAAGTGCTATGCAGGTAAATCTCAAGGCTGATTTATACTTCTGCGTCGAGTGATCGGCGTGACACACAATGCATGCTTCACAATGACAAACATCTGCATGCTGTTTGTGTTGCTCTGCAATAACACTTCTTAAACGCTAGCTGGCAGTAGGTTTTTATGTTCTTCTGTGCCGTGTTTCTTTCTTTTTTTAAACGCTACCTTTATTAACAAGTAGCTGACACTCGCTCATTTAGAGGCAGGAGCTGGCTGATGTGCAATAACATTAATCATAAGGTAAACACAAAACAACAGTTTTCATCTAAAGCAACTTCACGAGACTCCGCACCTGTAAACACTCACTCCAACAGGTTTGCACGGCTCTTGGTCCTGCCCACACTGGTCACAGCTACCAAGCCGACCAATCACAGGGCTTGCGCTACATGTCGTTGCGACATGTAGTTACATTTTTGGCAAAGTCTGCGCCAGACCGTACGCATGACACAGAAGTTTAATCAGCCTATGACTCCTGTGACCCCAAAAGGTGGTCTAGCGACAGATGCTAGAGGTCATGGTCTGTAACCTTCTTGTTAGAACAACTGACTCTCATACAAAGAATCGCCAGTTCGATCCCAGCATCAGACCAGGTTGGGTCCGGAAAGACTGTTGGGTTACATTAAGTAAGTATATAAAATGTGCATCTTTCTGGGCTTTAACAGAGTACTGCACTCTCTGTACTTTCTTATTTCCTCACTCCCAGTACAAAAAAGTATTAAAACTACATCATTTACCATCCAAATGACAGGAAACATTTCATGTCCTAAATCAAGCTCACTTTGGAGATGGTTTTTCCTTTATACCAGAGGCTTCCTGCTGGCTGACGATGGCAATGACTGAACCATTACCTGCTCAGCCATTGAGAACAAGACAAAGTGACGAGTCTTCACAAACCTCTCGCTTTCAAAAGCATTTGTGTGTCATTGTCATGAATTAAGAGCCATTATGCAACTCTCAAGAAGTGTTATCTTATGTGCAGCTACAGCTGGGGAGCGCAGCCAAAAACTAGAATGAGTACACAGCAAATTCATCAGAGTTAAATTCTCGGTGTTGAAGCATTTGAGAGTAAAGTGTTGACGTTAAAGAGTTAGATTTTGATAAATGAATATAATAAGAGTTAGAATTGATTTTATTCAGTGCGAAATCAAGGAGTTATCTTTTCTACACTTGGTGGTGTTATTTCCAACATCCGGGAATTCATGCAGCCCCAGTCACTGAAGAATTTTCCAGACGCCATTTTCCATCTGAGGTTTAGAACAGCAACTGGTGAGTCAAACTACCTAAATGTTGGTATTTTACTGACTTTCTTTAAGGAAATACAGTTGTAAACATGTTGTTAAGTTAATAACTTTAGAATGGAGTGACAATTTTAAACTTCTGTGGTTCATTCATGGTCGTTTGTGTATCTAGCTTAACTGCATTACTATTGACTTCTTTTCAAGAATGTTTTTATATATGCTCACGCATACATAGTGCATAAAAACATCAAATGTACATGTTCAGCACATTTCTGTCACGCTTAATGCCATTTTGTGCGTTGTTACCCATCTGTAAAATAAAATCGACACTTCTCCTTTAATTCTAAGCAAACTAGCGAGGGAATCCCCGGAGCAGCCTAACGTTAGCCTACTCTGCCCGGATGCTAACGGCAACACAGGACGGTTTCCATAAGCTCTGGAGAGTTTCTAAAACATATCTGGTGAGTAAATGAACATATGCTTACTTGTAAAAGGCTTCCTGACTGAAACAAATGATTGTTTGTTATTCGTGTACGTTAATTTGGTTATTTTAAACACCTCGGCCCTTTTGGTTCATTCGTGGCCGTCCATATACCGTTAACGTTAGTCCATAACTTAGACTCGTGTGATAACGTACGCTTGAATTATATTAAGTGTTGACAACCATTAAAGTCGGAATGTTAACATTAATGTCTTTAAATGACCGCGTTTGCACTTTATCAGACATTTAACGTTACAGAAGTCTCCCGGAAGTTGCGGGACTAACGTTAACGTTATCCCGCAAATGCACAGAGACTCCCAGATGCCCAAGTAGATGCCCGCAAATGAATGATCATCTCCCGGAAATCGCGCGTCTCCCGCCCGGTCATTAAACACTTTGCACGCCCCTCTCCACCGCATCCCTCCCAGCTCTTCAGGTACGTCGCGCTCAAGTCACCCCCACCGCTCTTCAGGTACGTCGCGCGCAGCTCATCCCATTGCTCTTCAGGTACTCATCTCTCCCGCTACCTCCCGCAAATCAACTCTGTATCCCCCGAAAATGACTTTTCCCAACTCGGGATGTCTGACGTTAGTAAGTTAGGCTATTTCTGTTGTCAGGAACATCTTAGTCAAGCTTTTTCTCCCGCATGATATTGTGCTTAAAACTATAGGCTAAACTTAGCATGTACTGTACACAACATTTCCGTTTTATTAGTGCGTTGTAAACAGCCACCTGTCTGTAAAATTAATCAACTGATTCATATTTGAGCAGCCTAATGATGATACAGGTTTGATTTGTAGATTTATTATCAATAATCAACATCTGAATCAAAAGATATGTGAAAATGTGTGAGGCATACTTTGTGATGTTCTTCTCTCTTTTTTATCTGAAGGTTATGCATATGTGTTAGATACTAATGTGTTGTTGTTTTTTAACAGCCACAGTTCTCTGTACAATAACACAAGACCCTGTGACGGTGGCTGATTAGAGACGGATGGTGTATTTCCAGAGTTGGTGAAATGACCAAGCACACCTTCTTGGTCATATGTGGTGATAATAATGAAGGTATGTTTGATAAATTTCTGTATTTGTTTCACAATAAGCTGAGAGGGTATTAGAGCATTAGAGAATAACAAATGACATGAAGGTGATAAGTTTTGTATTGTGGGTGAACTTTTACTTAAATAATGTTTTGCTGTTGTCTTTGCACTTTTTCTCTTCTGCTTATCCTAATATTTTAGATTATATTTGGACCTGAAACATCTGCTAGACTCCAGTAAAGGTGGCGTCAATACTGGACCTGAAAGGGCCTAACAAGTTGAATCTGGTAAAGAAACGCACACACACACACACACACACACACACACACACACACACACACACACACACACACACACACACACACACACACACACACGCACGCACACGCTTACAGAAAACTGTAAGTTTATGAATATTTTTTACACTGTGGCCAATATTT